AGTGCTCACAGGGTCCAGTCCCATGTTACAAGCAAGGCAACAGATTTGGAAACAAGAGGCAAAGAGTTGATAATTGGCATACCCTGAGAAAGCTCTGCAAGAGTATTTAACAAGATACTAGCTCTGCAGCACACAAAGGATGCCAAGCCCTACCTGACCCTTTCCTGGGAATGGAGCACAAGCTATCTCTGGACTTACAGGCCTGGGATCGAGTAAGATGGCCTGCGTGTGAATCCTGCCTTTGCCTGTCCTTGCCACTCAACACCTTACGAAACCCCTCTGCACTTTCTCCAGATATCTGTAAAATGGGGTGACAACAGTACACCTACATCATAGATTAGATGTAGTAAACAAGTTAACATATAAAGGGCTTAGAGGAGAACATCTTAGTTTTTATTAGGTGGTTGCTTGGTCAGAACAGCAAACAAAGATGTTTCTAATCTTATACCAAAACCAGAAATGTAAGTGGGAGTTAATAGGGCAGATTTTGTTAATTGGCAGGCCTGAGACATCCTTTCTTTGGTATCATCCTCCCCCTCAATTCCCAGAGCTCCACTCCTGCCTGTGATTGATCGCTCCAATGTTCTCTTACTCATTCATAGCCCCCATCAGAGAAGCAGTTATTTTGCTAAAGTTAAGTCACCAACTAAAGCAGTGGTTCTCAACTCAGATAATCGATTTTGTGGCCATCCCCACCCCCAGGAGCTATTTGGAAAAGTCTGGAGACAATTTGTTATACCTGGGGTTGGGGGTGGGGAGGTAGAGAGGATATTTTCAGACCCTGAGGATACTTCTCAGCTAGTGGTGAAAATACATTAACATCTGACAGATTAGTAGAAGAAAAAGAACTAATTTGGGGGTTATTTTCTATTTTTTGTTTATATATATTTTTTTTATTAAGGAAACATTGGTCTACAACAGCATGGTTCAGAAATACAGGATCCCACCTCTTCAGGAATAAAAAAAAAAAAAATTTAATCACATACTTATTGAGAATCTGCATGGCTGTAAATTCCAGAGTAAACAGAACAAACCAAGGGTTTTTATCCTGAGTAAAGAATGGGACAGAGACCTGAGGAGAGAGGGGACTCGTGACAAAAATCACACTAACTAGATGTTTGCCACCATATAGATAAGTTTCTCTGATAAAGAGGTAATCTGAAGATAATTTTTAATTTGGGCACCATTCTGAGTCTTCATTCTTCTATGCCTTTAAAGGATGGTAATAGTTTCTCTTGAAACCCACAGGGCCTCCACTGACCTTAGTTCAAAATAATCCACCTGCCAATGTGACACATCTGGGAAGGCTTGAAGCTTCTTGGGAAGGCCAATCCTTCAGGTACAAGGGGTTTGGAGAAAGGGAACAGAGATAAAGTAAACATTGACTTGCTCTCCTGAAATACTGGGATGTTGGTTCAGCCAAGGCTACCAAATCCAGACTGTCTGCCCCATAGTGAGGGTCTAAATGTGCAATTCTGATGTCCTTGGGCTCATCATTTATCTAGAAATTGAGTTTCCAGTTCTTTCCACCCAAGAAATCAGGGGATGATTTCTCCAGAGAACTGCTATTGCAGCAGAATATCCAAAATTTAAAAAAATCTTGTTAGAAGGTAATGTTTGCCTTTTCCCAACTTTAGGAAATATATTACTTTTTTCTTTCCATAAGGCACCCCTCTGTTTAAGACAAATTTCTTTCCAAGCCTTAGGCCCCCAGCCTGAGAGCTCTGTAGCACAGCAAAATCTTACTAAGGTAATGAAGGCTCTCAGGTAAAAATATATATATATATATATATATATATATATATACATAATAAAGGAAATGAAAAGTATGAGATGGAACATTGTAAAATGAAAAGTCATTAAATAAGCAAGAAGGGCAGAATACTGAGTTACTGTAAAATCCTATTTGTCTCAGGCACAGCCTACTCCAGGAATCACCTAGCCAGCAAAGATGAAGTGTGTATGCGCAGTCTGAGGCAACACATGTGAACAAAGAAAAGTTAGCTTTTCTGTAACAATATCAGCCATGTGTGTTATGAGACTTAAAGGACTGCAAGTGAAAAAGACCCCTCTGAGGCCAAACCACCAACCAAATTCCATGCATATGAAATTCTGAAAACAGCTGGAAACCAAATCTATTTTTCTGTTAGCTATTTATGATGCTTCCCTTTTTGGCTGTATTACATGCTTGAAATCCTTCATGCTAGCGGTAGCCCTTAGCAAAAAGAGTCACTACTCTGTTCTCCATAAACTAGGATAATTGATAGTTTTTAAGGGAACTTATAATAATAGTCTTTCCCATTACTAAAAAGTTCCTAGTTAACTTAGGAATACACATATGTAAATCATTTGAAAAAACTTTTAATTTGCTTTAAAAGTTCTTTCCCTTCATTTTATCAAATTCATACTTATTAGTTAGTATCTAACAATCCTCCTACCAAATGTAGATTGTAATTACTCAAAGGTATTGCAGGTATCAGGCAATTTATAAGGAAATCTCATATTCATATAAATGTTGGCATCCTTCTTTTACAGAACAATTTACTACCACATCTTCATGCAATTCAAAATGCTACTTAAATAAATAAATAAATCTCTAAAAAAAAATGCTACTTAAAAATTTTTCTAAGAACAAATTCGCGGGTAAAGCCAAATATATTTGTGTGATAATTCTAGCTTTAAAAATCAAGGTATAGCTGCATAATGATTATACTGTATTTAATCATAGAATGGGAAATCAAGTTTTTTCAATGTTAGCACTTGCAAAGCAGGCAACAGGAGTCAGTCTGTGAAAGAAAAAGAAATTACATCAGCAATTTTAACAGCAGCAGGAATGGAAGGGAGGCCAATCTGCTTTTTTCCTTTCTCTAGTCAGAAAGAATCCAGAGACCTCTCTGGAAGCTCACGTTCCAGCCATTACTTTAAACAACTTGACAAGTTACATAATCGCTATGGTCATTACTAATAGTAATTGTAGTCATTGTTAATAATACACACTAAGGAACATCCACAAGCACTTCCTTTGTTTTCTGGACAGAATAATTCTGCAAGGTTGGACATTTGTTTCTTTATCCCCTGAAGATTGTTACCAGATACATTTTCTAAGGTAATTGGGGGTAGGAATTGCCTCAACTGACCAAAAATTTATGGATATGTAATCCAATAGAATTCCCAGCTATCCAAAAAAGTAGTGCACACCTGTGAAAGCTTTATAAAATGAAATGACATAAAGCAAAGAAATAATTACCATTAGTTACATGGTATTTTTTTGAGGATTTCAACACCTCCCCAAAATCTAACAAATCATACCAAAATACACATTAAACCTAAAATAATATTAAAATGTAGTAAAAGCAGGAATATCATAAACACACGCCTGCATAAAGCAGTTTTCATGAACGAGGTTGGAGGTAATGCTCTGGCTTCTGGGGTACACAGCACATCCAGAATGACAGCTGCAAGACAAATTCTGAATGCTATTTCCAATGCTTGCCTTTCTTCATAAAAGTGAACTACTTCTGGGGTGTTGTTATTGTATAGCCTTTACTTTGCTTAATTTCATTTTCTTGATCTTTATGAATTGGGAAAAATTACCTCATTATGGTGTAAAACTAAAAAACAAATTCAACACAATGAAGCTATAAAATACATGAAATACATTATGAACTGTAATGTAAGGTAATATTGTAAAAAAATTATTATTTAAAAATATAAACAAATAAATGCTTTAGTAGATCCCCATTACTAGCCTTAAGTTTTCTACAATAGAACTAACCAGTTTTAATCAGGGTAAACCAGTTTTTAACACACACATTATCTGGAAAGGTAGTCAATTACTTTTTATTATTATTATTTTTTAGAAGATTGATTTATTTATTTATACAAGCACTGAGTACAGTCAGAAGTGCGGGAGGATGAGAGAATTCACTGAGCCAGAGCGGAGAGCAGAACAGGCAGAAGGACCAAAGTACACTGCTGAGGGGAGCAGCGGGTGGCAGGAAAGGTCTGCGCGCCATGTGGGACCCTCCTCTGGTGGCCGGGGAGCAGCCGGGGATCGAACCGGTGCTGCAGAGACTGCGGGCAGCTTCGCAACCCAGCGCTCAACCGCTGGGCCACCTGGGAGGCCCCAATTACTTTTTAAATATGCTAAGAGTTTCTATTGTGTCCCTTGAATTGCATAGACCTAAACTTACTTCTCCAAAGTAAGGATACTGAGTCATATTTATAAATGACTCAGAAAATTATTTGTCTAGGAAGAGCAAAAGGTTATGATGAGTTACCATGAAAACTCTTCCCTGTTTTCAAGAGTTTGGTATTAGAAAAAAATGTGTTTTGACGTTAAATTAACCATCAGGGAACCACACCCAAATAATGTTGAAGTCATTGGAGCGTTATATTTGTCTTTTGACTCCTAATATCCATAAAGGACCATGTGACCTTCCCACCTTAGTTGTGCCAGTTTTCAAGGGTTATTATGAAAACTCTTCTTACAAAGGTTAAACATACTAGATAGAGTCCCCTTAAACTACCCTACACAGAGTTAAACTGTTGACTGAATCACTCATGATTAATCTTTAACATAATGTTTCCTTTCCAATTAAATGTTTATTATGTCTAAAATACACGTGCTATATTTATTAGTATAAAATTATATTGTGTGCATCAGCAATTCAAGATGTCCTAGATGAAGCAATACAATGTCCTGATTGGAAGTTCTCCAATATTTACTATGTTCTTTACTATGTTATTTAATATGACTTTCAGAATGCCTGAATTTGCTATAATAGTATTTTTCAAAGGTGACTAAATATTTTATATACTACACAGGGAATTTAATTCACAAATCTTCAGTTAAATATTCACTTTTTCTAACTAAATAAACCACCTATTTTAAAAGGCTACGGGTACATGGATAGCTATCAAAAATTGGTTTGTTTCATACGTGATATGAACAAGAAAGCAATTTTGTAAGCAGAAAAACTACTCACGGGCTCCAAAGTTTAAAAATAATTACAGTCACAGAAAAGGTCACTTTTTATGGAAAAGTTTTTATTTTATTTTGTAAAAAGTAGTGTGTTGAGCATATTTACTTTACTCTTTCAAAGCAACGCAAGTACAACGATGAGCATTGAGTAAAAAGTACCCTGCTTTATGAACTTATTTTTACACACTGAAGGCATACAGCTCACTAATGGTAGAAATTATGTGACCCAATTATAAAACATAACATGTGAGAGTAAACATACACAACTGAATAGTTGTGAAAAAATAGAGGATTAATCAAAATATTCTGTTTAAAAATATTAAATTCAAGTTTCATGGAAATTTTATGCATAAAAAATCAGATTATATAACCAGAAGACTCTTCAATGGTCATTTCTGACAAACAAATATTAACTTTAGTCAAAAAGTTAAACTTTTAACTTCTCTTTTTTCAAAATTTCACTCTTCAAATTAAAATAAAATACTTAAAACATTATATAATTCTTATGCCAAGAAATCTCCTTGTGATGTCCAAATAAATCTGCTAATGGAAAAAGAGTAAGAAAAGCCAATCTAGGAAAGAAAATATTTCAATTATGTGAGAGTTAAAATGTGATAAATTATTGACTTTTTCCCCCTCCCCATCATTTCTTTTCATGTTGCCTTTGGAAACTAAGAGTAACTTATAGAGCGTTCACCTTGATCTACACTTTCTCGTAAGCCTCTCATGGCTGTGACACAGCACAGGGAAGTACTAACCTCACCCTCTCTTTCACGCAGGAATATGTAAGCCCAAACCTCACTCCTATGCCTGGGCTGCAGGAAGTAATATTACAAAAGTGCCTAGAGCCTATAAATTCTTTCAGCAACAAAATGGACTTCTCTAGTGAGGATTCTGCAATACTACTTTGTTGCAGTAATGCCAATTAACCACTTTTAAAAATTCAAAACCTGAAATTCAAACTGTCCATAGACAAATAATCACTTAAAAGTAAGGGAAAATGAGAAGTAAATACAACCCCAACCACTTTAAAGTCTCCCTCCTCCCATCCTACATCACGCAATTCATTTTTCCCATAATTATCCTACTTAGAAACATAAGTTTTCACCTCAAATGCATCAATGCATCAGTGCTGCTTAACGCATGGAACATCTGGAGGCACTGGGAGGCAAACTGAAGTCTGGAGTCCGGTTACTGTCAATCAGTCTGGCCCTGCCCATTTTCAGTCTGGTTCAAGGCACCGGTGGCATCTAGAGGTGATTCTGGGGCTCCTGTGGAACTGGTGGCTGTGCAGGCAGAAGGGGAAGGCCCAGCAGCGCACAGTGGAGTTCGTTTCAGCTTTATCACCCGGTGAGAGGTGGCCTTCTTTTCAGAGAGCAGAACCTTAGCTGGAGGTGGGAATGTAGCTCCATTTTCAGCACTGCCACGGCCAGGTATACCTGGGCCCACAAGGGACTGGGCTTTCAGAGCTTCCTTGGCACCTGGAGATGGGTTTGCGGCCCGCGAACTGGCCTGGAGGGCACTGACTGGAGGCACCCTGACTGAAGCTGAGTTCTTGACTTTAATTTGGGTGCTGGTAGAAGGTCCCAAAAACCTGACTGGTTTAGGACCAGTCTTAGAGTTCATACTTTCTTCTTCCTCTTCATTGAATGCTATCAGTCGCCTGTAAATACAAAAGTATGTCACAGTCAGCATTTACAGGTTCAGTAACTACTGAAAACTGACCAAACTTTACCGTCAGAGTGAACTAAAAGGTTTTAAGAAGGGAGTACTTAGCAATACAGGGCCATATCAATAAACAAGAAAAAGCTCAAATAAACAATCTAACTTTACCTGGAAGAACTAGAAAAAGAATAAACAAAACCAAAAAAGAAGAGAAAATAATAAAAAATAGAGTGGAAATAAATGAAATAGAAAACAAAAAGATAGCTCAAAAGGTCAATGGAATCAAGAGTTGGTTCTTTGAACAGATAAACAAGAATGAGGACCCTTAGGTAGATTCACTAAGAAAAGTGAAAAATACAAATAAAAACAGTGAATTCTGATGCTTGGAAACAGGAACATGATAATAGCATGTGATTTGAAAATTGCCATATGTAGTAAAGAATATATCTAGTACATTCAACCCTAAAACTACTGGACAGAACTAATTTTCTAAGGTTAGTCACATGATTCATGGGGATCTCACAAGTGCTCCAAGTTATTGTTGATGCATCAAAAATGATGCCTAAAAAATTCTGTGAGGAAAGACAACTAACAAAGAAGTCTCCATTAAACCATTACTGCTTGCTGTGTTTTTCAGTTCTTATCTTTTATTAGACCTAGACCAACGTTTCCTGACATTGGCACTATTGCCATTTGGGGTTGGATAATTCTTTGTGGGGTTGCTCTGTGCATTCAAGATGGCTAGCAGCATCCCTGGCCACTACCCAGTAGTATCCTCCACCATGAATGTGACAACCAAAAATGTCTCCAAACATTACCAATATTCCCTTGGGGGAAATTATTCCCAGCTGAGAACCATTACTCTAAACCTAAATTATATTTGCTAACTTTAGGATCAAAAGGAAAAATAAATGGTGACAATAAAGTAAGAAGAAAAAAACTGTTTTAATAAGAGATAATTAACTGCTTGATAAATTTCTCTGAATTTTTGTGCAAGATTCAGAGGGCAAAAGTAAGAAAGTAAGAAATTCCACAGGGACATTGATCCATATTCTAGAACAGGTGATTAAGAAATCACAATATCTGAAAGCCACAAATAGTATCCAGACACTAAAAAAGAAATACAATATTAAATGTATTTTATGCACAATGAAAGGCATAGATGTAGAGTAAGTTTAATATTAATAATTTCATGGGATACAAGAAAATAACATTAAATAGATAATGCTATTTGTAGCAACAAGGAAAAGGGAATTCGGGATAAGTCACGGCAGATTTCAACTATTAAATCTAATTAACTCATATTTTTACAATTGCCACAAAAGTCTGGGATTTCACTTTTGTAAGAAAAAATTGCTTACCACAGCATTCCCACTGTGTCCAGTGGTATTTTTAAACTCACTCTCCCAAAAAGAACATACCATACACTCAGTTTTAGAGAATTATTTGCATTTTCACATAGTTTAGGTTAACTCAGCATTTATTGAAACTTATGTTTTGATGTTAAGGTAGAATATTCACCGGGGTAGTTAATAAGTTTAGTAAGGGCAAGAATCATCATTTTCCCTTCAAAAAGGCAGCAAAAATATAGGTCACAGATTAAAACAACAAATAACAAACTGAATACAGATAACCTCTTTCGAATTGGAGCCATATGACGCATGCTTCCAAGCAAAGGCCTTTCTTCCAGAGTCCAACATTCTATCAGCTCATGAGGCACCCGCCAGTAGCTAACACCTACAAGATAAAAAACAAACAAACAAACAAAAAAAACAGTTGCACTGTCTTCTGCAAAATGTTCAGCAACATTTCATACAGACCAGCCAGAAAGAGTCTGAGGCTCGTGCCTTCCATGTGACTAACAGAGGGACACCCAAGAACAGGAAATGCCCCCACAAAGAGCCTGGATAGCAGTGGGACAACTCATGACCTGAGGCTACAAAAAGCTGGCTGCAAGCCCACGCCCTGTCACTGATTCCCTGAGAAAACTCAGCAGGCCATAAACAGGCCCTGGGCAGTATGAGAACAGGCTCTAGAGCCAAGACTGCTTGGGTCTGAATCCCACTTCTGTTATTCACAAACCACGTGATCTTGGGAAAGTTACTGAACTTTTCCTTTCCTCAATTTTTCATTTGTGACATGTGACAATAATAGCACATACCTCATAGGATCATTGTGCTGACTAAATGTGTAAACAAATGTAAAATGTTTAGAACATTAGGGCCTGGCAGAGACTAGCACTCAAGAGATGTCAGGTACCTTTATTATAATTTATAGGAGTGGAACGACCTGCCTGAATTGCTGTAACCATGAAATCAGGTAAATTTTGTGATCTACTCTATAAGAAGCAACCACAATATGAATTTGAGATACCACTCTTCTGTAAAAATCTTTTCAAACAAGAGTAATCTGAATTAATATGGTAGGCCAAGATTCCAGCTAGATTCATTTTAATCTTAAAATCTGGTGTTTCTGATTGAATGTGAAAAAAATATATTTTTATGAACCTGAAAACATTATGCTAAGAGAAAGAAGATGGTCACAGTCATGTATTGTATGATTTCAATTATATGAAATATCTAGAAAAGGCAAATACATAATATATTGAGATAGAAAGCAGGTTGGTAACTGCAAGGGGCTGAGGGGGTAAGGGGAGGGAGAGTAACTGCTTAATTGGTACTGCGTTTCCCTTTGGGATGATGAAAATATTATAGAATTAGATAGTGGCGGTGATTATACAACAATGTAAATGTAGTAAATGTCTAAATTCTATGTAATGTAATTTTCCCTCAATTTTTTAAAACAAGAACCATAAAAAATTACATAGAGACACATAAAAAAGGTTTAAAGAATAATGTTGCAAAAATGGACTTGGTATCTTCTTTTGTATCATTAAAGGTCTGGCAATAACAAGTAACTTAGCAAATCAGGCGTGTAAATTATTATATAAATATGTAAATTATTATATAAATATGTCTAATACTCAAAGAATACTATGAACCCTATTTTAAGACCATAACTTTCTGGAACTGCCAGATAATACAGTTCCAAAACCTACTGATATTGTAAAAATAATCCCATATCTCAACCATTAAAATTTTAAAGTCAGATTTACTGAAATATAATTTTATAAAATAAAATTCGCCCTGTTAAAGGACACTGCTCAATGGGTTTTGACAAATACATAGTCGTGTACCCACAACCATGATCATATGTAGAATATTTCTATGCCCCATGAAGCTCCCTCACCCCCCTTTGTAGCCTATGCCACCCCCTTCCATTCCCTAGTTTTGCCTTTTTCCAGAATGGCATATAAATGGGGTTATACAGCACATGGCCTTCTGTGTCTGACTTCTTTAGCATGCATTGAAGAGTCATCCATGTAGATCTATGTGTCAATGACAATTTCCTTTTATTGCTGAGTAGTAGTCTACTGCTATTTGTTTAAAAATCTTCTATTTATCCCCCACCTATTAAGTAATTCACACTCAATGTACAAGATTTGGGAGCTATAGAAAAGTATATATAAAATCAAAATCACTTTCTAATCCTAAAACTGGGAATCACAGTTCATGACATATCAGTGTATTTCATTACGGTCTTTTTTCTGCTCAGATGATAATTAAAATAATTATTTTTCTTATTAAAATTATTATTTATTATTAAAAATTAGTATTTATTATTAAAAATTATTGTTTATTATTAAAAATTATTAAAAATTAAATAATTAAAAATATTTTACATTTCCTGCTTTTGATCACTTCCTATTTTATCATGGGCACTTATCTATGCCAAAAGTTATTCAAAATAATTTTAATAGCTATATTATCCCATGGATCTGCCAAAAATATATTTAACTCTATTATAGACATTTAAATTGTTTTTTAAATCTGTTTTAAATAATGCGTAATTGAACTATTCTGTTCATAAGTCATTGTCTGCTTTTGATTATGTCCTTAAGGTGGATGCCAGAAGTAGAATTACTAGATCAACGAATATAAACAATTTTGATATAAATTATTTTACAAAGAAGTAATATTAATTTTTACTCCTGCCAAAAATGTGTGAGCAATCTTTCCTAATCTGGTATATAAAAATAAGTTCTAACTTAATGTATTTTCATGAGTAAATGAGTTTGAATCTCCTGACACACTCTTATTTCTTTTCTGGGAATTTTATGGTCATGAATCCTACACATTTATTTATTGGAGGGATTGAGTTGATTCTCTAATCATTTGAAATAAACCTTCTCTCTCTTAAGGATATCCTTTTTCCAGCTAATGCAACATTATTATTCTAGTTCTTTAGTAGTCTTTTAATTTCATATTTCAAAGTCCTTAAGATTTTCAATAATGTGTAATCAAGTTTATTAATCTTTGTGATTTTTTTTATATATATATATTTTTTTATAGAGGCTTTTATTTATTTATTTATTTATTTGTTTGTTTGTTTTGTTTATACATGCACTGGGTACAGTCAGAAGCGCGGGAGGGTGAGAGAATTCACCAGAGCCAGAGCGGGGAGCAGAGCAGGCAGAAGGACCGAAGTACACTGCTGAGGGGAGCAGCGGGCGGCAGGAGAGGTCTGCTCCTCCGGTGGCCGGGGAGCAGCCAGGGATCGAACCGGCGCCGCAGAGGCCGCGGGCATCTTCGCAACCCGGCGCTCAACCGCTGCGCCACCGGGGAGGCCCAATCTTTGTGATTTCTTAAAGCTCTTTATTTCTTTTCCTACTAACAAATAAATTACTTGCTTCAATTTACACTTGGTTTATTATAGTATTTTTCATTCAAAAATCTACCAGGAATTATTTTGATAAATGATGTGAGGTTAAAATTCTGCTTTTCTCTAAGCATATTTCTCACACATTAAATAATCTATCCTTTCTTCACTGCTATTTAAAATTTTCTTATGCCATAGTATTTTTATCTGTATAACTTTATGGGGATTTCCTCTTCTGTGAACCTATTCTTTTAACAGAAACCCTGGTTTTTGTCATTGTAGATCTATGCAGAATGTTTTACAATCAAATCCAGTTACACTATGTTTGCTGGGATGACAAGTAGTCTGACTTCTACTTCCCCAAATGTTCTTGGCCATTTTATCTATTTATTCTTTCAAAGGAATTTTAGAATCATTTTAAGATTCCCACAGAGTTCTACTGATATTTTGGTAAGAAATGTGTTGAACCTATGAATTAACCTGAGAACGGATGTCTATAATATTCAGATTTCCCATTCAGGATCATGTTATGTCTCACCATATTCTTTATGTCTTCTTTTATTTTTTAATGGATAAATACATCCTAGCAGTTTTCGTCATAAAAGACCCAAGAATTTCTTAGTAGGGTAAGTCCTGTTTATTTTATTTATTTATTTATTTATTAAAGATTTATTTATTTATTTATACAAGCACTGGGTACAGTCAGAAGAGCGGGAGGGTGAGAATCCACCAGAGCCAGAGCAGGGAGCAGAACAGGCAGAAGGAACGAAGTACACTGCTGAGGGGAGGAGCGGGCTCGGCAGGAGAGGTCTGCGCATCATGTGGGACCCTCGCCAGTGTCCAGGGATCGAACCGGCACTGTAGAGGCTGCGGCCAGCTTCGCAGCCCAGCGCTCAACCGCTGCGCCACCGGGGAGGCCCCCTGTTTATTTTATATTTTGTTTATCACTGTTGTGGCTGGATTTCTGCCTATAATTTCTAAACAATTTATCTTAAGTAAACTGTTAATATTGTATCCAGCTAATTTAGTCTACTAAATCCATCATTTAAAATACTATGAGTTGATACTTGGGGTTTCCTAAGAAGACTATTGTCCATAAATAGCACTGACTATTTTCCTTCCAATAGCACCTTCTCTTACATCTGTTTCTAATGTTATATCTTTCCACAGGCCTTCTAGAAATTCGCTAAGTAACAATGATGTTCCATATATATACTTTCTCAAAAAAAAAAAAAGATAAAATCAGTTGCAAGTTCTGTAAAAGCTGGTAATCCCAGCTCTCCACTCTGGCTTCCTGAGTCAGTGGAAAAGCAACCCAGCCAGTCCGGCCAGAAGCCTCCTTGGCAGCCTGCCAGGCTATGGGCCAAAAGAGACATGGAGAAATAACATGGGGTTTATTACTCAACTTTAGCCTAAGTCTCAAAGTTAGTTAAATCCAAAATAATAAGCTTAAAAAGAATAGCACATCTTTCATTACGTTTTATCCTGTCATCTTTTGAGGGGTATGAAAAGAAAAGGGAGAAATACTGAAGGGGGTAAAGTTGAGAAAAGGAAGACAGGTTGGTGTTAACACCCCGCCTGAGGAGGAACAGCCAATGTAGAGTTGTTAAGTCTCTTCTCTCCTTTTATTCTGTCCTATGGGACTCGCAACGTCTGTCTCTACCAGCTTTTAAGGTTTTTTGAGGACTAAGACATATCTTATTTATCTTCAGCCTCAATTCTAGTACTTATCATAGTGCCTGCACTCAATAGACAATCAACGCAAGCTCGTTAATTATGACAAAAAATATTTAAACACAGAACCATTAAACCTCTCTGATCCTTAAGCGAGTGGCATGGTGGCTCTGAGACTCAGTTTCCTTATCAATAAAATGGTAAATAGCATACAGATTTGTTTCAGGACTAAGAGATATTGACAAACTATTTGACACACTGGATATTAACAGCATTAATATAGCCCACTCTCACGTAAGCAGTTAGGTAAAAATGATCAGATTTCAAAGTATGCACTTAAAAATGACTTTGTTTTGTAAGGGTTCTGTAGACATCTTTCCCAGCATTATTTTTTATTTCTCTCTCTCTTTCTCTTTTTGATTATGCATTTTATGCTTAATTTAGAAGTATACTCCCTACGACAATATTAAGTACATACTGGGTGCTAAATAAATTCACATCAAATTTAACTAATAAGCATAACTAACAGAAGCATAGTTCAGGTTTCTGAATTATAAACTATTACTAATATCTAACAATTCATGGGGTTAAAGATCTTTAAGTAAACTGTCTCAATGTTAGCATGAGGTGACAAATTCCTTAACACGCACAAAATTACTGCTTCAGAAAAAGAAATGCAGTATTTGAGCATACTTTGTCTTATTAAGGAAAAATCTACCTGCTGCCATGAAATAAAAGAATTGTACTATACCTTTTCCCTCCCAGGCATCAAAGGCATCCATCATTTCCTTCAATTCTGCTACTGAATAATAGCTCCAAATGTACTGAACATTATTTCCAGCCTCTCTAAAAATATGCAAAAAGTAATGAAAATATATTACCTAGGTATTAATATAATAAAAACATATAATAAAATAATAAAAACATATTACCTAGGAATATATACAAACATACACAGCTAACAGACATAAATGCTTGTTAATTAACAAAAAATATATAAAAGCAGTAAGTGTTCTTCTGTGACCCCGAAGCATACATGTGTGTACATGTATGTACATACATATAAACATATATATTACTTATAATCTATGCTATATTACTTATACGCTATTATTAGTATACTAAAAATATACTATACTCATCTACCGAACTATCTCCATCTGATCTCATTTTCCTGTAATAAAGTATTTACTAATTCCTTCATACACAGACCATGCAAACAAATCAACAAAGTTTTCTATGAAATCACCAAACCCTAATAAAGCTAGAAAATTCAAACTTTGACTAAAACTTTCCTCGGACTGCATCAGGCACTTACATAGGTGTATATTTACCTATGAAGAATTCAGAAACTGATGATATATTTAATCATCTAAAAGGCCAGCTTATATGGTCATGCATTAGCCACTTATATTGAAGCCAGAAGTTGCTCAGTCTATGCTTGGAGTCTGCTGCTTGGATTCTGCGGCTTGCTGGGGTGGAAAGTTGCTGGGTGTGCTTCTTGAACACAGTAGTAGCCGCAGCTACCTTGACCCCCCCATTCCAAACAATAAAGAGAGTAAATGATGGATGGGGTGACAAGCTTCTTCAAACAACCTATATAAAGTCCTGCCATTTCTGCTCTTTGGGGCTCAGACTTTTGGGGAGCTATCCCACTGAGCCCACCGCTGTGACAATTAAATCTCTCTCTCCACCTCTCTGAGTGCCGCCTGATTTCTCTGGGTAATAGCCATAACAATATGTGACCCAATCCAATTTCCCAGGGAATTAAAAAAATTTGCTAAGTCAATTAATTAATGTAAGTAAGATTATAGGGAAAATACTAAGAGAATAACCGTTAGGAACTTAACATATTTGAGTTAAAGCATTTTAAAGCATTTTAAAGCTAAGAGGGACCATGGAAGTTTTTCATGCTTTCTCAAAATAGGACACCAACATACTAGCTGGTCCTGAGTACCTCAGCAGGTCTGCTGACTTCTAGATCAGTGCCTCAGCTCTAGACCGTGGTGGAGGGGAGAAACCCAAGCATGTGACTGGGCTTTTCTTTCTTTTTCTTTTTCAATAAGCCCTCTCAGGGGATTCTGAAGCCCACTCCCAGTTGAGAACCACTGTATTAGGCCAAGAAAATATCCTGTATCTTATATGTATTATAATGGTCTTAATTATAATCTCCATTGCTGGAAGGGCTCACATTGATAAGCTGACAGACATTGATGGTATTTTCCAGTCAAGAATATAATTCATTGAACAACACCTCTGAGAAGAGACCAAGACTTTATTTGTGTTCCTTTTCGTATTTAAATATGGACATACCTTTTAAAAATGCTTTTACTGTGAATTCTTCCTCCCAGCTGCTTATCGATAGCATCTGTTCCATCAGATTTTGTAGCATATACACCAATAATTCTACTCTCACAGCTTGCACCAGATGTGTTAAGATAGTGGAGAACCCAAACTGTTGGTTTATTGCAAACTAAACCATACGAATCACAGAAGTCTGTTAAAGCCTGAAGCAAAAATATATATACAGAATTTGAATTTAATTCTGGAGTAAAGTAAAATGAATTTACTCTATTACATTCATGTAAAGCTGCACTTTCAGTTGGTCATAAGGGAAATAAAATGATTATAAACTTAATAATAGTCATTATGCCTTTAAAAATCAATCAAGCATTTATTGAATTTATTGTGGGAGGGCAATCACCCTCCCAAAGCAACACCCAAAACACCACCCAAATTTATCTATATGAAATATCTAGAGAATCATTCTTCACATGGAAATAACATTTCATTTCAAAATTTGCATGTAATAAAGAAAAGTCAGGCATTTTCCCCCTTTATTTTCCGAAAATTTCCCATTTGACTCACTCTTCCTTTCACCTTCTACTGAATACTCCAGTGGTTGCAGTTAACTTTTAACTCCATATCCAATAATGGATTGATCAGATTAACTTGCTCTTTTACACGGAAAATGCGAAGATATGAGCTCAATATATACACTCTGAACTCATTTGGCATTTAACCACCCATTCATTATTTCACTTGAATACTGAGTGCCTACTATGTGCTGACCACTATCTAAGGCCCCAGAGATATGATGGTGAACAAGAGCCCTTCTATAGTTTACAGTGAATGCAGAAGACAGACATTACATAAGTCATCAGTACACAGGGTTACAAATGCTACAGGTGAGCCTACGAGGTGCTATGGGAAAAAGCAGGAGGGAGGGGCAGGGGCCTTCTCTGGGAGAAATGCCTTATCCCTATAACACATACTTTTGTCTGTCTGCTCACTGCTATCCCCCAAGTATAATAGTTCCTGACACAAAGGAGATGTTAACTATTTACTGACTCAGTGGAAGAAAATATGGCCCTGAGGTATTGTGCATCTTTACTTATTATTGCTATCTGACTCTTGCATTGCTTTTAATTTTACTTGAACATCTGAGAATCCCCAACGATTTATAAGCTATTTATAAAAGGGCAAGAAGTGTATGTCGCATTTCTTCGTGCCCCCAATCCCTAGTATAGTGCTCTATATGCCACAAATCATAAAGATCTTTAAAATATGATTTAAATAGGTGCATCACATGCTACAGTACTGCTCTTAATTTAAAAAGAATTTCAAGAGTGGAATAGTTCTATAAAAAAAAATCCATCAGAAAGTGTCATCTTCAGTGAGGAATAAAAACTCCATACACTGGGCCTCCCCAGTGGCGCAGCATCTGAGCGCTGGGCTACGAAGCTGCCTGCAGCCTCTGCAGCGCTAGTTCGATCCCCGGCTGCCGGCAAGGGTTCCACATGGCGCGCAGACCTCTCCTGCCACACCAGCTGCTCCCCTCAGCAGTGTACTTCGTGAGTCTGCCTGTTCTGCTCCCCGCTCTGGCTCTGGTGAATTCTCTCACCCTCCCACGCTTCTGACTGTACCCAGTGCCTGTATAAATAAATAAATAAATCTTTAAAAAAAAAAAAAAAACTCCACACACCATTGACTGTCAACGTAACACATTTTCCTAGAATAGAACATTGGCCTTAAACAAATACGTAGTAATTAAGAAATGTGTCTTCAAAAATAGAAAGTCTCTCATGTTGGATTTCATGACAACACAGACTAAGCAAAATAACACACATTACTTTGTGCATAATAAGTGTGTGTGTGTGTATGCATACATGTATATTTTAAAACTTAAGAAAATGCCAAGACCTTTTTAAGTTCTATATTTGACCTTAAAGAATATGTCTCCATTTCATTGGCCAAGTGGTCAGACAGGCTGTAGGGATAAGGGATGCCAAAGTAATCAGCCTCTTCCTGCAGAGCAACCCGAGTCTGCTCATCTGTGGGAATGTGAACTTCTCCATGAAGATAATCCAAAAGGTATTTAAACAGATGGCCATCACGGTCAATAACACAAGCCCCTAAAAAACATTAAATTCAAAATGAATGCACAGATATATATGGCCATCAATAAAATTTCAATGTGTCAAACTAAAATCAGACTGAAGGCTCATACAATTAGATATGTTCCTTTCCTACAAGAAAACATCAAGTGTTCAAAATAGGTGTAGTCAAATTGGTTACCAGACTCTGTATTCTCACCAACCATGTATGAAAAGATATTCTGAGCACCATCTGGAATTTTGGAGGCAATGACCATATTGCCACTACAGTCACTACAAAAGCCATGGCTATCTTACACTGCTGCTAGAAAGGGAAGCTTGGCCCTAGCCTCAGCCCAGCTAGGCCAGGAAAGAAGCATGGAGTCCTCCTTAATTAGGGCATGTGAGGTTACTACGTCCAGCATTTGTCCCAGGGTTCCTAGCTCTAGGAATGCCATATGTTTGGACTTACTAGGTTAGTTCCTTTGTACAATGAGATCCTAAACTTTAAAAAAGAATTGCTATGTGGTATCACTTATGAAACATGACTTTTATTAGACAATTTAGCAGAATTCCTTCTATGATTAGTTTTAAAAAGAAGGAATTAAAAAAATAAAACTCGGGGACTGAGGAAAAAAAAATTCAATCCCTGCATACCATCTTTTCTCCAGAAACCTTTCTGCCCAGATGAACACCAAGCTCTGGGCACCAGCCAATTGGTGTTTTCCATTCAGCTGGCAAAGCAATCTGTCAAGACCCAACATTACTAGCAGCCCTTTACACTCAAAACTCCTCAATCCCTCTCTATGAGTTCCAATACCCTTAAGACATGCAAAAAGTCACACTTGCATTACTGAATTAAAGTCATCTCCAGAGCACTTAAGAAGAGAGAGCAAACTTGGAACCCTACCCTATGTTTGTTTTTTCTGAAAAACCAATTGTCATTCCTTTGCCAGTGGGTGACTAATGGTATCGCTGCACTAACATTTCTGACATTTTTCTCAGGCACACATATCAACCCACACAGGGCTACCCAGCTAGATGAGGTGGCTATTTGATCACTAATTCTACACTGACAGTGACCACCCTGTCAGCTACAAGGGGAGATGCTTTGTCCAGAGAAAGACTTTTTTTTTCATTTGAAAAAGACAGAATTTGAAATATTTATTCAACCTCAATACTTTTACCCATGAAGTTGTATGAATATAACTTTCAAAATAAAATTAATCCCCTAATTATATCATGATTGGCCTTTGCGCTCTCATTTTTGTCAACTTCGTGCAACGGCATCAGATTCCAGAAACTGGTATTTAATTTCTCCATGTACTGAATGAATCTCCATATAATTCTAACGATCTCAGTAATTAACACACTAATGTAATACATTCAGCTGCAATTAGGAAACTCAAAGAGAATTTAAAGGAGACTCCTATTTTAATGAATATTCATGATCATGCTTACAGACTTTATTTACCTGATTCATCTGTTTTTAGAGGAAAACGACCACTGAACATGGATGCCAGCATTGAGTCCTTAAAGCGGCACAAGGACTCACGTCTGGCTGTATAATGACAGCCACCCACGTTCAGTCGCAGAACATCTAACACCTCTTCTTCTGTCTTGGGACCGTCCATTGCTCCCACTGACACCTGAATTTTTACCTCAAAACACTTTCAGAAACTGCAAAACAATGGTGGTCCTGTCCCCTCTGTAAAAACAAAAGACAGTCACCACTGACATTCCCAACAATGCACTGAATAGATAATAAATATACTTTAATGTGATTTAAAATAAATTCCATGGCATTGGCAATTTTGATGAAAGATTTTACATATTATGAAAAAAGTTTGAGATATGCTAAGCAGCTGGAAAACTTTGGCTCACAGGATTTGTAAATGATAATAACTATTACCAAACAAATTATAGCTGTTGAAGTGATTGTGTAAAGAATTAAACAAGACAATACACAGTCTGTCACACAAAAAGCATACATGAGATGTGCCTGTGATCTTTGATATCACATAGCTTTTTAAACTACATTAAGTTGGAGAGAGCTGTGGAGACTGCCCTTCCACTTACTAACTGTGGGACTGTGGGCAAATATTTATCTTCCTCTGCTTGTTTCCACATCTATAAAACATAAGTAGCAACTATGCCTGTCTCAAAAAAACTATCAGAGGAACAACTGACAAACAAACAAAAAAACATGTAAAACAAATCTCTGTCTCAGATTAAATACTCAATAAATGATAAATATTATCCATCGTGATATAAATTTACCATATATATATATGGACTTGATATTAGCCCTGGAGATTTAAATAATTCAAGATTTTTGTAATGGAAACTATAATTCTTAAGCTAGGTAACTAAGTAATATATTTTATTTACTGAGTTCAGAATTCTATGTATACTAGTAGACTGTTCAGAAAAACAAAAAAAAGCATCTCTAAATCACCTGTTTTTTTCACTCTAAAATGGCTAAAGTTTTAGGGGAAGTTTGAAGATTTGATTTAACACATTCTGGAGATGGATAGACCACAGATGACTTACGGTATTTATATGGAACCTCAAACAGTTTACTCCCAATTTTGAGATCCACTGTATCTGTACATTTCATAGCAAGCCTAAAATGGCTGCTAAGAGGCTCAACTACAGCCTTGGCAATTCACTTTTTTTTTTTTTTAAAGATCTACTTATTTATGCATACAAGAATGGGGATACAGGCCAGAGGTGCTGGCAGTGAGAGGATCCACCAGAGACAGAGTGGGGAACAGAATAGGCAGACTGACTGAAACACACTGCTGAGGGGAGCAGCAGTGAGTCAAGAGAGGTCTGCTGCGCCATGTGGGTAGCTCCCTGGCCAGGGATCGAACTCATGCTGCAGTGGCTGCGGAGAGCTTCAAAGGCTGTATCTTAACCCCTTGTGCCACCAGGGAGGCCCTGGCAATTCACTTTTGACTATGCAATCAACTGAATACATTTGCAGGTGCTTCAATTTGGCCAGTCTCCAGGGTTATGGAATAATGAGACCATTAGAGAGTCTGAGAAAGATCACAGGTACCAAAGGTGCTCAGCAGAAGGAGATCATTGGTCCAGCTTTCAAAATGGTCCAGCTTTCAAAAACCACTGGAATTTCTGGTTCTGTGGAATCCTACCTGTTCTTCAAACGTGGGGGGTGGTGGGAAAATTTCATTATTTGCAGGATTTTCCCAAATGCCCTCAGCCCCTAGTTAGAATCCTTGCACAGCTTTACAAATATATTTTGTACCTCTGTCCACATTTGCCTCATTGATTGAATCCCCAATGTTAAGAACTACAAATCCAAGAAAGTCAGGGCTATGTGGCTCTCAGTAATACCTGTTAACTGAATGCTTACTATGTACCAGTAACTACAGGAGACACTTGACAGGACCTAATTTCCACACGAGCCCTATTGGGTAGTAATTACTGTCCCTTTTGATGGATGAGGACAGTGGGGAAAGAATGAAGTGTGCAGAGTCAGCCCCAATCCTGGTCAGCACGACGAATCCCAAATTCTCCCTGCTGTAGGCCACACTGCCTCTGTCAGCAGCACTGTTTCACCCCTAAGGCCCCTGATCAGTGCACTTCATTCACTCAGCGCCTGTCTGAAGACTCCTTTGGGCGGCAAGAGGAGCACAGCAGCGCCCTGAGTGCAAGGACTTAAGAGACACCCCACCTGAGTCGGTGTCTCCTGACAGAGGACGATCACCTTTTCAAGGCAGGTCGGCGGGCCCCATTCTCAAATGCACCCAGTTAGGCTCCCTGTTCGTAAATGCCTCACAGTGCGGCCCTGTGACCACCTGCATCAAAACAATGTGGGGCGACGGATGAAATGCAGATCCCCAGGCCACGGCAGAGAGTTCGGTTCAAAAAGTCTGAGGAAGGGTCCGAGTCCGCTGCGGATCCCACCGTGAGAAACGCCCTTAAGGATCCACTTCTCCCGGAAGAGGGACAAAAGGGGAGGAGCGGGAACCCCGCGGCCCAGGGACCCCAAATCAGCCCGGAGCCCAAGCCTGCAGTCCCGGACGCCCGAGTTATCAGCGCAGCCCGGGCCCTTCTTCGGGGCGCCCCGCCGCCTCCCGGGCCCGCGAGGCCCACCCGGCGCCCCTTTCCTCCGCAGGGCCGGGCCGTGTAGGCAGCCTCCCCGACTGACCTGCAGCCCGCCGGGCAATCGGCGCAGCCGCCGGACGCCGCGGGGCCGACGCGGAAGTGAGCGCCTCCACCGCTGCTCGGCAACTCGCGGGACAGCGCCGCCCCACCGGCGCCCCCGCGCGGCCAGACCCGGAACTGGCGACCGGAGAAGACGCGAGCGAAAGAGGCCCCGCCCCCGACACGCCCCTCCCCGCCCCGCCTTTCGGCTGGCCCCGCCCCTCGGCCTCTGTTGTGGGTGGAGAAGGGCGCTAGAGTTTGGGGTCTCAATACTCCGTAGAAAAGAGGAGGTAGAAAGACTTAGGCTGTTTTAACACAAGAAAGAAAGAAAAGAATCATAGAAGTTGCAATTGTCCAGGGTCGGTAAGCAGCGAGAGTTAGGATGAATTAAGTCTTTCGCCCCCACCGCCAAGTGAGGGCTCTTACCGCCAAGTGAGGACACTTGCCTCCAAACTGGGCTGCTCGTTACCAAGGTTTATTAATATGTTGCGTTTAGATAAGTCCATTTGGATAGCGTTTGCAATCTCCAAAGCTGTTTCACAGAGAACATTTTTGTTTAATTTAGTCTGTGACAAGCGTATATTTTATTCCCATTACAATAAGGAAAATTGAAGTTGGAGCAGACACTGAACACATGAACACCTGGCATCCTGCTAAATCTTTTGCATGCACTATTTAATCTCCTTTTAATAATCCCCAAAGAGTTCTTTCAGTTTCCAGCTGCATCCTAGCTTGTTCAAGAGACTGTGCTAAGTATTTCAAGATGAATAAAATAGTCCTATTTTCAAAATGTTTCCCCAGAGCCAACAATAATTGGCTTCTAATTCCACTGGCTGGGTGTTAAGAGGGAATAAGTCAATCAGGGGAGAGCCCACCTATTCCAGTCAGATGTTAATAGACTTGTTCTACCTAAAATTCTGGAGCACCAGCTGCAGACCAGGCACTGGGAGTAAAGAAGAGAATGAACTCATCAATCAATTCCCTTGACTCATGTCCCTTACATTCTAGAGCAGAGGTAAAAACAAAACAAAACACTTTTTTGTGAATATCTTAGGCTTTGAGGATCATACATAACAACTCAACTTTGCTGCTGCAGTGTCAAAGCAGTCATAGCAACAAATGAAAGCCTGTTCCAAAGTGTGTTCCAACTTTGCAGTCATGAGTCACTTAACTAAGGGAACAGTTTCTGAGAAATGCATTGTTAGGTGATTTCATTGTTCTACAATGTCAAACGGTGTAATTACACAAATCTAAATGGCATAGCCTATTATACAAGGAGGCTATAGACCCAACTATAGCCTGTTGGGGCTACCATCATATAGGCAGCCCAGTGTTGACCAAATCATAGTTAAGTGACACATGACCGTATTATGGTCACCAAAATTTGAATTACACATAATTTTCACGTGTTGTAAAACATTCTTCTAAAAAAATTGTTTTTTTTTTTAAGATTTTTTTTTTAAGATTTTATTCTTTCTTTTTTTTTTTAAGATTTATTTATTTATACAAGCACTGGGTACAGTCAGAAGCGCGGGAGGGTGAGAGAATTCACCAGAGCTAGAGCAGGGAGCAGAGCAGGCAGAAGGACTGAAGTACACTGCTGAGGGGAGCAGCAGGCGGCAGGAGAGGTCTGCGCGCCATGCGGGACCCTCCTCTGATGGCCGGGGAGCAGCCAGGGATTGAACCGGCGCACAGAGGCCGCGGGCAGCCCCGCAACCCAGCGCTCAACTGCTGCGCCACCGGGGAGGCCCTAAAAAAATTGCTTTAAACGTAAATATATGAAAACCATTCTTGTTAGATTATGGACTATAGAAAAACAATTGGCCATCCATGGACTGTAGTTTGCCTGCTCCTACTCAGGTGGGAAAAACAGACACTAAGCAACATAGTTACAGGTCGAATAACTAATTGGGAGGAAATAGTGAGGGTAATGTCAGGTGGTGATGACAACTGGGGTGGAAAATGCCTCATTGATGAAGCAATATTTAAATTGAGTACTAGGGATGAGAATGAGTCCACCCTCTGAAGGGATGAGGGGAGAGTATTTTAAGGAAGAAGGGAGGGCAAGTATAAAGACCTGGAAGCAGGAAAAGACTTCACAATTTGTAGGAAGAGGATGCACTTAGTGAGCATGGAGGCAGGGGGGAGATGATAGGGATAAAGTGGAAAGGAGAGGCACAACCAGGTTTTAGTGCATCTTGTGGCTATAATAAGAGTATAAACTTTAAACATAACATGAAGCCATTGAAAAGTTTTAAGCACGGAAGTGTCATGATTGATATACCATAAAAAAATCACGCTGTCTACTATAATGAGAATGGATTGAAGGGGCATAAAACGAAAGTAGGCTACTGTTGCGGAAATGCAGGGGCTAAATGGCATAGCTTCTACTGCAGAGGTGATAGCCACTGAGAAAAGTGGGTGGATGCAAGAGTTATATGTAGGAAATAGAAATAATATAAAACTTGCTGACATATCAGCTATGACATGTTAGTTCAGACTCTGAGAAACAAGTAGTAAGTTCAGATTTACAGAGGGAGACATCTATGAGGGATATGAGGAATCTGAGGAGGACTGGGAGAGCCCTTAGACTGGAGGCAGATTCAACTCCTGTGGACAGAAAAGGAAAACTCATAGATATGATGTAATTCTAAGAATGTTTCAGGAAGCCAGTAGGGAGTCTTCAAGTCCGTGTTCCCCATTCAAGGGATCTTCTGTCTCCCCGGAATGGACTTGCCTTGATATCTCTGCCACACTGAGTCACAAGCCCGAAGTAGTTAGTGAAAAGTGCAGCCTGAAACATGATCGATTTTAGGGCACAGAAGCTGGAGCCATCCGTCAATAATGTTCCCTGTAATTGGAGATCTGAGGGGAGAATTTTAATGATTGCCACATACGGGAAATGAGATAAAAGGTGGCGGGGAAATTCAGGATTACTTCTAAATTGTTGCCTTGAACAACTGGATCATGGCATTGTTTAACGAAATGGTGAAATTATGGGAGAGATCAGAAACTGTGTTTTGGATCATTAAGATTAGATATTCAGTAGACATCCATGTGCAGATCAAATAGCAACTGAATGAAGCTAGAGTACAGGAATGAAATTCTGGGCTAAGGGGTGAATTTGAAAGGTATCAGCATTTAAAGCCAGAGGATTAGATGAAATCATCAGTGTAAAGAGCAGGTAAGTAAGAAGAAATAAGATGAAGCACAAGTCCAAACACTTACAAGTCAAGTTTAGAAAAATGAGGCAGAAAGGAAGGAGCATGGAATGCTACAGGAATCAACTGAAGAAAGTGTAATTAATTTACATCAAATGCTGCTAAAAAAAAAGTGGAGAGTTCGCCAAGGATATAACCCCAGATAAATTGGGTTGGAGAGTAAACAGGAGCTGGAAACTTGGATACAATTCTGCAGAAAAAAAATTGTAAAGAGAAGTAGAAGGGCGGGGCTATAGTAGAGGTGGAAGGAGGGGTCAAGGAAAGGGATTTTAAAATGAGAGTCACTAGACAGCATTCAAAAAAGATAAACACATGCAATTTGCAGCAACATGGATGGCGCTGGAAGGGATCATGCTCAGCGAAATAAGCCAGAAAGAAAAAGAAAAATACCGGATGGTCTCACTCGTAGCAGGAATCTAGAAAACTTAAATAAGGGACCAGGAAAAAGAATAACTATAAGAAAGAAAATATCAAAATCAACAAATAACTATGAACAAGAGACACTCTATGGGGGGTGGGGGGCAGGGAAAGGAGGGCTTGGGGTAAAATAGGGGGGTTGTAATTGTATGGGGAATATAAAAATAAAATTTAAATTTTAAATAAATAAATAAATGAAAAATAAAATGAGAGTCACTAGAGCAGGTTATGCTGATAGAAATATCTAATATCAATAGATAGGTAGAGACTGGTGATGCAGGAGAGAGGGAACAATTGAAGGAATAAAATACTTGAGAAAGCAAAAGGGTGCCAGAGGGCAATGCACAAAAAGAGGAATTTCTGTCAGAAGAAAGGATAGGAATTAAAATAGAAAAGATAGATTTCTTTTTTAAAAGATTTATTCAGTTATGCATACAAGAGCTGGGGTGCAGGCCAGAAGTATGGCGGGGGGGGGGGCTGTGTAGGATTCACCAGAGACAAAATGGGGAACAGAACAGGCAGATCTACTGAAATACACTGTTGAGGGGAGCAGCAGATGAGACAGACAGGAGAGGTCTGCTGTGCCATGTGGGTCATCTCCCTGGCTGGGGATCAAGCTCCTGCTACAGTGGCTGCAGATAGTTTCATAGTCTGACACTTAACCCCTTACCACCAAGGAGGCCCTGAAAAGATAGATTTAAATTCAAAGAAGTTGGTAGACTTCACAGTGAAGAAAATAGGAATAATTATTGTAGTAAAATAGCACAAAGTACTGAAATAAACCTTTGTCAGTCTTTTGGCTGTCAGCTCAAAATGCCCTTCCTGAGTCGAGGTGGGAGGCAGAGATGGACTCTCACTGAGATGCAGCAACAATCAGATACTGGCTAAATGTTCAGGCCTCCTTTGCAGCCTCCTTTGCAGGTGCTTGTAGCCTATGCTTGACATATCAGACACACTGAACCCCACTAAAATCAGGGCTAGCAACAAAATGTAGTGATGCAGAAGTGGGGAACTACAGCACAGTTATGCTCACTTTCCCAGTAGCAGTTTGGGGGGTGGGGGGAAGGGCTGGGAGGCATGTAGGGTTACTGTGCAGCCAGATTCCCCCCAACCTGTAGCTTCAACTTTTAGAAAGATTAAACTAAGCAGAATCAAATGCCAAGCACCCTTTGTTCTCCCTTTACCCTCCCACTGCCCCCCTTGTGATTTATTCTCTACCTACATTCTCAGGAAGCTTGAGAACTGATGGTGCTACATCTTCAACAAAAATTCTCTGTGCCCCTCTGAGGTTAATAACATCAGGGCAAGCATCCGCTGGACTGTTAAGCCCCAAAGGAACACTATCTGCTGAAGAAGATAAACACTGCATCTCAGGAGCCCACACTGCTGAGCATCTCCTTCATCTGGGAATGCCAAGCCCCTTATTCAGTCCTGCACCTCTTCACTTTCCTAAGCTAATCACAGCATCCTCATCGGTTGGGGGAACCAGATACTTTTAAGGTACTAACCCTGCCGAATTTCTTGTTGGCTACCTTGTATAATAAACTCCTTAATGCAAAGACACTCTCTTGGTTCAGAATTTGGCTTTCTGGGCAGTGAGCAAAATACCTAGTTTGGTCTGTTACAACTGAGGCCTATGCAAGATCAGTAGCACCCTCACAGGCTGAATGGGTAGTGTGACTATGGCTGCGACTTTTTCTATTGCCAAGACCCCATTGTTTTCGCCTGTTTTCCAAGCCCAAATCTCTATCCTCTCCAGAAAAGCTTTAAATTATCCAAAGTCCTTTTCTGCTTCTATCAGCCTGTTTTTTTCTTGGTGAAATTCAACCTGCCAGGCTGATACAAATTATCAGATCAAATGTATGCTAGCATATAAGTACACTATTTCTACTTTTATTTATTGATTTGCAGTGTTTCTTTTACTTGGCTCCCTTTCAGGGACTATTTTTCTTGGATGAGTTTGTTTTGAGTTTTGTTTTAGAAATGAGGATATGTTAAAGAGGATTTTTGTTGCTGCTTGGCAATTTGTTTTCTTCTCCCTCTCCCTCCATTTGTGGGTCCAGTCAATCAAATTTTAATTGACTGGAATCTACCCTTAGATAGAGAAAATCAGGCAACTAATGCATGTAACGATAAAGAAAAATGGAGGAAGAGGTGCAAAATTCAGTGCCTCATGCAGGAGACTATCATAATAGAGCTCATTTAATTTAACTGATTTATTTTATAGATAAGGAACTTGCAGCAAAGAACACAGCAAAGAACAGCTCAGGATATAACTAACTGTATTTTCACACTGCTAGTCCAGGCTTTCTGCTTCTATCCATCATACCAAGAAGCAAATGCCCAGAAAGCAAACTCAGATCAGGTTACATTTAGCTCAATTACTTACACTTTTTAGGTTTATGGTTGTGTATAACAAGAACTTACATTTTGAAAAATCTAAGAACTGACATTTTGAAAGATTTACAAAGCTCTTGGTTCATTAAATTCTCTCTACTACTCTGAGATAAGATAATCAGTATTTTTTTTTAAGTGTTGGTATTCATGTCTTGATAAATTTTTAAACAACTCTCCCTCCTCTGACCTCACTATTTCCTTCACTGTTTTGGTTTTGAAATTGTAGTTGCAATATGAGTCAGGAAGAAAGCATTATTAATATATTGAACAATGAGTCTGTTGATTGGAACTATCATAAAAAATATATTGGGTATTGTTATTAACCTTTATTTCACAAATGAGAAAGGATAAGCTGAGAGAGATTATGTGACTTGACAACATTAAATTGCCACTAAATCACAAAACCATGACGTGGTTTGTTAAAAAAAAAAAACATATATTGAGAATATAATGTGTCAAGCTGGGTAAACAAGATATATTGTTAGTTAATCCCTCCATAACCAGAAATTTTTATAACCCATGTATTTTAAATTACCATTATTGAAGTTTTTACTGTAATTTTAATAGTTGGCTAATCTATACTTTTCTACTTAAACAAGATTCATGTAACCAGCTTTCTTTGGATACTTATCTTGAAGTACATTAGGCTAAAATGTCTAACTCAAAACAAATTTTTGTATTATTTTGCCTAGATTTTCTAAAGTAAAATGGAGAGTCATGATATTTGACTCTTCCCAAATGAAGAAGAAATTGACAAAAATAGAAAACTGATGGAATCACTGTATAATCAACTATTAAAATCTAGATTTAACAAACTCTTTTCATTTTAGATTAATTAAATACAAATTCTTTATGTAGATTACTAAAGTCACTTGTGAAAGGACACTAAGCTCATTGACTTGGAACACTAAGTGAATTGTGTGAGTGTGTGTGTGTTTGTGTGTATGTGTGTGGTGTTAATGTGTAACAGAAATGGCATTCTTGAATACCTTTTGAAAACAGACAATAAAAAACCTAAATAATAATGAAATCCAGGGGTTTTTTTTTGATAGTAGATTTTAGTTAGTGTCGGGTCAGTTTATGGCGCCAAGGATGTATTTCCTTCTTTACAGATTTAAAATAATGAACTCTAGCATTTGAAGGAAAATGTTACTAGTTTTAAGATCAAATATAAACTGTTAAAACTTTATTAACCATTATTTGATTTTAATTTGCTTTGTAGTTAAACCATGTCTTTCTTGTTTTTATTTTTATTTTTCCTGATTCCAACTGCTCTTCATTTGAGGTAACATTGGTTTACAACATTGCATATAATTCAGGGAAGAGGGCCAGTATATTTAAGGAAAAGAGGGGAGGCTTTTAAGTGAAAACTAAATAGTGCTGGTATAATAATGCAAAGATGAAAAGAAACGGAAAGATGCAGAAATAATAATAAGATGTGGGCAGGTAGTCTCACTGTAATATCATTAACAACAAAAACTTTCCAAGACTTCAGCTTAAGTTTTTTAGCTATCTGATTGACAGAAGGTAGTTTTTTTTTGGTTTTTTTTTTTAAGATTTATTTATTTATGCATACAAGAGCTGGGGTTTAGGCCAGAGGTGCGGGGGCAGGGTTTGGGGTGGGGAGGGAATGGGGTGAGAAGATTCACCAGAGACAGAGTGGGGAGCAGAACAGACAGGCGAGACAGGAGAGGTCTGCTGTGCCATCTGGGTTGCTCCCTGACCGGCCGGGGAATCGAACTCGTGCTGCAGAGTCTGCGGATTGCTACATAGTGCTTTGCTTAACACCTTGCGCCACCAGGGATGCCCAAAAGGTAGTTGTTTTAAAGGAACACTTACTTCTCAACACCACAGCAGAGAGTGCAAAACCACTACCTGCTCAAAAATCGCAGGGCACCCTGGGCTCAACTGACCACGCCCCCTCCAAACACTCGCGACGAGACCCCGCCCCTTCCGTCTTCCACTTCCTGGTGCCCGCGCTTGCGCCGCCTTCTCGGGACATGATTGGTTAGTCTCTAGCTCACTGAGTGCTCACGTATGGCAACCGCCAACGGCTGCTGAGTTTAAACCCGAGCTCTAGCCGCAGGCGCCGAGCTCCCGGAGCTGGGTGCTGGCCCCCCCAACGCTGAAAAAGCGGTAAGTCTGTGAAATTTGCCGTGGCATGCCCCTCCCTGGCGGGCTCCGTGTCTTAACCTGCCGAACCTCTGGTACCCCGAGTACCCCCGTCAGCCCAGCCCCGCGCGGCGGCCAACTCGCCCCCACCTTTGCCCCCACCTTTGCCCCCACCTTTGCCCTCCGCCCTCCAGAATCCCCAGCCGCGGCGCCCCTGCCTTGGTGGCTGCTGTGTCCCCCTCTTTGAGAGCAGTCTCTAGCTCACTGAGTGCTCAGGAAATGTCTGCTGAAGGAATGGTGGAAACCAAGGCTTGTCCAAGTTCTCGGAGGAGCCCTTTCCTGTGGGGCTCTCCTTTCGAAGGGCTGCCGGCTGAAGGCGAAGGGGGCATGGAAGATCGGCAAGAACTTGCACTTGAACTGGGGAGGAAATAGGGACAGTGATATTTCTTTTTTTTTTTTTTATTTTTTTTTTTATAGAGGCATGTTTTCTTTATTTGTTTGTTTGTTTGTTTATACATGCACTGGGTACAGTCAGAAGCGCGGGAGGGTGAGAGAATTCACCAGAGCCAGAGCAGAGCAGGGAACAGAACAGCCAGACTGATGAAATACACTGCTGAGGGGAGCAGCCTGCGCGGCAGGAGAGGTCTGCTCACCATGTGGGACCCTCCTCCAGTGGCCGGGGAGCAGCCGGGGATCGAACCGGCGCCGCAGAGGCCGCGGGCAGCTTCACAACCCAGCGCTCAACCGCTGCGCCACCGGGGAGGCCCATATTTCTTTTTTTTTTTTAACTGAGGAATGCAATTCAGGTGAATTGGTGGTGGAACTGAGTATTCTGATTTAGATATACCCAAGATGCTGGCCAGACAAGAGCTCCAGAGTCATAATAAATAGATAATATTAGTTACTACAGACTAGATACCGGCTCCAATTCTGGGCTCATGTTGTCCCTACAACGTGATGCCTTTATTTTCTATAATTTTATCTATCTGGAAATTGAGACTTAGAGGTGTTAAGATCATATGCTATTAAATGTTGAAACTGGACTCTCACACAGTGCACCCACTATTTATAATACTCAAGTGTCCATTTGGTATCGCCTTGGGACAGTTTTCCAAGGGCCTGGTTTGGGCTTCCCAGTTCTTATGCAGTGAGGTCGTTAATATGGAGGATGACAGAGCAGTGTTAAGGAAGACTGTGGTATCTGACATGAGTATTTGGGTGGGGACTTGGTAATGTAATTAAGTTAGGTAACTAATAAACAACTTTTTGGGGAAAACAGTTCAGCTGTAGTTTTGTAAAATATTTGATCATCCTGACTGGATGTTTTTTTGGAGATGAACTGGGTTTCTATGTTAGGATCTCTATCAGGTGTGGGATGTGCAAGTGTGCATGGAGTTTCTGTGTGTGCCAGCCTCTGTTCTATCTATGGAATATATGGTGATCTACTTTGAGTTACTTATCTTTTCTTTTTGGCAAAACTTTTAGAAGAAATAATAATTCTTAGTGTTGAAAGTTTCCTAGTTTAAGTTCTTCTCCATTGCAGAAATGTACTAACATCTTCATAATGTAGTCAAAGGAGAGTTATATTGAGTAGTTTTTGCTCTTTGAAATTTCTTCCATTTATCCATAGTTGTTTCTTCAACAAATGTGTATCCATTAGCTGCCATGCATCATGCAGCAAGGGCACAAACATCAAAAAAAAAAGTTGACACAAATCTATGCCTTCTGTGGAACTCATGTTTTAAATAGTAGAAGACAGATAATATGTTTTTTAAGTGTAATTTATGTTAGACATTGATATGTCATTGTCTTTGAAATGAGATGAAAAGTGAATTGGATCCAGGTATGCAGTTTTAAATTGTTTGGTCTAGAAAGGCTAATTAATAGTGACATTTGAACAAATACTTAACAGAAGTGAACAACTCTACATTTATTTTAAGGAAAAGTTGATACACATGAGGAAAAGGAATACAAATATTCTGCCAATGGAAGCTTGCCAAGATGGCCAACTCTACTGGCCTTTAGTGAAGAAAAGTAGTGAAGAGGTCAGAGGGACACTGATGGGGAGTTGGGGAAGGGAAGACATACCAAATTGTATAGTACTTTATAGGCCATTATAAGGATTATGACATTACTGTTAGGTGAGATGGAAAACTGGAGGGTTTTTTAACAGAATTGAAATGAATTTACTTAAGTTCTAAAGGAATTATTTTGGCTACTGGGTTGAAAACAGGGGAGAGAAGATGGCAGCAGGGACACCACTTATGTAGCTGTAGCAATGTACATGAGAGAAGGGCAACCTGAAATGGAGTAGTTGCAATAGAAATGATGGGAAGTGGTCCTTGTGACTGTAGTGTGAAAGTTGGGCCAGCATGACTGATCAGAGAGTGGATATGAGATGTGAAAGCACTTTCTGACCTGAACAACTGGAGGGTTAAAGTTGCCATTAAGTGAGATAGAGAGGACATGGTAGAGCAGGTCTGGGTGGGGGGCGGTTAGGGCTGGTTAAAATGTAGATGCATATTGGACTTCCTTGTTAGAGATAAATAGACAATTGGATGAAAACCTCTGGAATTAATTAGGGATTTAAATTTGTAAATCCATCTGCATTTAAATGTATAAATCAATGCACTGGATCACATCTTCAAGGGAGTATGAGTAGATAGAAAACAGATAAGAAACAAGTACTAAAATATGGTGCACTTCGATGGTACAGGATTAGGTTGCTTACAGAACCAGCAGAAGAGACTTAAAAGAAGAAGTCAGTGGACAGGAGAAAACCCAAAAGAATATGATGCTTTGGAAAACAGTTGAAGAAAGTCTTTTGAGGAGAGAATGATCTGATGTTCATAGAGCAAGTAAAATGGGAACAGGGTCTTGATTACTGTATTTGATATAGTAACATGGCATTTTAGTGACCTTAGTGATCAATGTCCATACAGTAGCATTGAAAGCAAAAACGAAATTGAACCGGATCAAAAGAGAATGAGAGGGCCTCCCTGGTGGCACAAGGGGTTAAGCACCACTCTATGAAGCAATCCGCAGCCTCTGCAGCAAGAGTTCGATCCCCAGCCCGCCAGGGAGCAACCCACATGGCGAAGCATACCTCTCCTGTCTTGCCCACTGCTCCCCTCAGCAGTGTATTTCAGTCAGTCTGCCTGTTCTGCTCCCCACTCTGTCTTTGGTGAATCCTCTCACCCCCTGCATCTCTGGTCTGTACCCCAGCTCTTGTATGCATAAATAAATAAATCTTAAAAAAAGAGAGAGAGAATGAGGATGAACTGGAAACAGCAAGTAAAGATAACTCATTAAAGGAGTTTTACTGTGAAGGGAAACAAAAAGAATAATAGCATTTCAAAATCAAGAGGCAGATAAAAATTCATGACATTGTGAACGTTAGATACTCAGTTGGGGAAGGCAGACAATTTGTAAATTCTATAGTGTATTAAATAGTGATTTAAATGCTATGGAAAAAAAGGGTTAGAACCATCAGATATGCTGGGGGAAGGATCTACAGTTTTAACTCGCTTCATTGAGAAAGTGATATTTGAACAAACACTTGAAGGAGAAAAGTGAATAAACCATTTCTGTATAAAGGAAGAGCTTTCTTTGTAGAGGGAATAACCAACACCAAGGACCTGAGACTGAAGATTGTCTGCCATGACACGAGCAGTTTGATGTTGATGGCTAGTGGGACTTGAGATATAGGAACTAGAGGGAGAAGGAGAGGAAATGGAGCGATGGTGGATATTTCTAGAAAGACCATTTTAAGGACTTAGGCAATTCTATAAAAGAAATGGGAACCATAGGGGAGTTTTACATTTTATAAATTAGAAAATATACCATATTGAAGGTAGGAGTTGCAGTGGGAAATAAGAGGCTATAGAAATAATTCAGGTGTGGGCCTCCCTGGTTGTGCAAGGGTTAAGATGCAACCTATAAAGCTATCTGCAGCTACTGCAGCATGACTTCTATTCCTGGCCAGCCAGGGAGCAACCTCTCCTGTCTTGCCCGCTGCTCCCCTCAGCAGTGTACTTCGGTCAGTCTGCCTGTTCTGGATCACATCTGCCTGTCTCTGGAGAATCCTCTCACCCCCTACCCCCTACACCTCTGGCCTGTACCCCAGCTCTTGTATGCATAAATAAATAAATCTTTAAAAAAAAAAAAGAAATAATTCAGAGGAGACATGTAGTGCCTTCATCTAGGTTAGTAGCAGTGGAAATACAGCGAAATAGTCAGATTCTAAGTGTTTCGTGAATATAAATAGGGTTGTGAGAGCGATTTTTGGCCAAAGCAGAAAACTCTATCTATTAGGATATTGTTGCCATTGGTTGGAATGGAAATGGCTATGAGAAAGCCGTTTTGGGCGACTAAGTTATATGCCTATTTTTCTTAGTCGAGTAGAATTGTGAGTGGACAGCTGTATGAATCCAGGGAAACTGAGACGAGTGATCCAGACTGAGGACTTAAATTTTGGAATCCCTTGCAATAGGTGGTGTTTGAGGCCTCGGTTATGAAGTCACGAAAGAAGTGAATGTAGGTTAAGAGATCCAAGGGAAGAACCTATTAGAGGTTGGCAGGATGTATGAAAGAGACTGAGAAGAAGCAGTTAATTTTAATTAATTTTTAAAAAGTCAAGGAGTTTGATATTTTGAAAAACCCAAAAATGATTTGTGAGGAAGATGAAAAAATAAACGCCAAATGTTGCTGATAGACCAAATTAGATAAGGACTTGGAATTCACTATTAGATTTAGCGGTATGGAGCTCATTAGAGAACTTGACAAAAGCAGTTTTGTGGAGTGGAGTGAAAGCCTGACTGAAGAGGTGTATGAGAGAATTGGAAACTGAGTAGACAATTCTTTCAAGTTTTGCTATCACCTTTCTAGAGAAATGGAATGGTAGTCTGAGGGTGAAGTGGGAATAAGAGAGTATTTTTTAAGATAAATAGCAGTGTCTTTATAAGCAGAAGAGTATGATCCAGTGGAGAAGGAAAAAGAGAATGATGACGTAGAGGAGAAAATTGTTGGAGAGGTGCCTCTGAGGAGGCAGGGAGGCATGGGATCCAGCGGGTGAATCCCTATCTAAATAAGGCAAACTTGGCATTCGAAACACAAAGACAAATGCAAGGATACAGCATGATTGTAGGTTGAAAACTGTAATGGGAGTTTAAGAATGTTCTTTACAGGCTGCTTCAGAAGTATTCTCAGGGAGAGTAGAAGTGAGCCAGGATATGAAATTATTGTCTAGTAAGAGAGAATAGCACAGGGATTGGCAGTTGACAGTAGCTCAAAGGGGTGAGAGGTAGTGGAGTCTAATGATAATATAATTTTAGGGATTTTAGGAAGGATGAAAGAAATATGTATGCAATCATGAATGTAGTGCATCCTCCAGTGGGCCTATAGGAGAAAAAACAGCCACCGCATGACAGAAGTATAGGCAAACTCACATCCTTCTGGAAGAAGCAGGTTCAAGAATATAAAGGGGGCATTCAGAGAAGAGATTGAGGCTAGAAATTCTGATGATGGATTGTGAGTTTCAAGGGATTTGGAGTTGAATATGGGTGAGATACAGATCTTAGATTCATTTCCTATAGCTACTATATCAAATTACCACAAATTGGATGGCTTAAAAACAATAGCAATTTGTTCTCTTATAATTTTAGAGACCAAAAGTCCAAACTCAGTATCACTGAACTGAAATCAAGGTGTCTGCAGGGCTCTCCTCCTGCTAGAGGACCTGGGGAGGATCTATTCCGGACCTCTTGTGTTGTCACTTCTGGTGGCTCTCTGCAATCCTTGACTTCTGGCTTCATCACTCCAATCTTTGCCTCTCCCTTAGAAGGACACTAGTATTGTCATTTTGGTGCCTACCTAGATAATCCAGGATAATTTTCCTACCAAAAGATCCTCAATTTAATCACTTTTGTAAAACACTCCCCCCTTTTTTTTCCTGCATAAGATTTAGAATGACAAGTATTAGGACCTGATGTCTCTGAGGGATCAATTTCAGCACACTGCAGGACCAAATAAGAAATGTGTGGAGAGTTGGAGGGAGGTTAGAGTAAGGGAAGTGAGGGTCTTTTGGGTCTGGGAGTGCTTGTGCTGATTGACCTTAAGAACAGTGAGATTAGTTCTGTGGACTCTAGGCAAGTAGTGGTGGAGAGATTGAGTATTAGAGGTTAGGCAGATGCAGATGACAGGATTTCTATCTTTTTAGTTTTTAAAAAATGAATTTTATTTTGTAAAAGAGTTTGGGTTTTTGGTTTTGTTTTGTTTTTGAGGTAACATTGATTTACAACATTGTATATGATCAAAGGAGTATAGGCTCTCTCCCTTCCGGTGTTCTTACCATACAGCACCCGTAATCAAAATACCCATCGTCCACCACCATAGTCCTTCGTGCTCCTTCCTCACTTTGTTCTCTTCTCTTCTCTGGTAGCCTCACTTCTATAGTCAGATTTCTAGATTTTGTTATTGATTTGGCTTTCAGATATCTGCAGATGGAAGCAATAAGCTTGGGAGGGGATGGGGGCTTTGGGAGTGTCCAAGTACATGGTTCAACATCTACTATTCCATCTCAGTATAAGCTTTTCTGTTCCTACTCTGCCCAGGCACTTAATCACCTCTATTCATTGCATATTATATCCATTATTCTTGTCATATGATTCTCCTCTTATTATTGCTATTAGATTTTAAGGTCTAATAGACCTAAATCTAATAGACAAATAGAAAATTTTTTAATTTTCTACTCTTCCAATATCACCCTCATAGCCCATTCATCCCATATGATTAGGTGCATCTCTTCTGTGCCTATCTCTAATGTCACACTTCTTATATTGCATCAAAATAGTATCTATACCCACACAGGACTATGAAGCCATATCCTGTTTTCTGTCTCCAGTGCCTAGCCTAGTGCCTGGCACATCAATATAAAAATATAGTTTTAAATGAAAAAACAAAGTTAATGTACCTTTTTTGGATTCTACTTTACATCACTGGTGATTGCATTCATTCTTCCAAATTTTCACAAAAGGTTTTACAAATACTTATGTAGAATAAACATGATCGTTACTTTTTAGAATGTATTTTTCTGTTACGCCTTTTTATTAACACTAAGGTTTCTTTCTTTTCTTTTTTTTACTTCAGTGATGGAGTACCCAGCTATGGAAACTGGCTCACTTTTTACCTCAGGAATTAAAAGACATGTGAGAGACAAAAGAAATTCAAAGACTGCCAAGTTGAATGTTTCTCTTGCTTCAAAAATCAGAACAAAAATATTAAGTATGTGCCATTAGTTTTGAAGTATACTCACAATTTTAGTTTTCCTGGGGAATTGACATATTTAGTACTTTCATCAAGTGTAAAAAATTACTTTGTTAACTGATCCTTTTTCTCCATTTAGTCCTTCATAACTCCTACTCCAGTTAGTTGGGTAGTTTTGATGACTAATTCCTCAGCAGTGACAACTGAATTTTCAGCAGAAGGACTGAGGTAACCCAAAGCAGCTCCTATACTGCAAGAAAATACCAATGTGACGTGTCTGGAAGAAAGCTGGAAGACGTAACAGGTTGTTCTGGAATGCTGTAGCAATTGGATAATTGGTGACCTACATACAGTAGATGGTGTCTTAATGGGTGATTTTATATAAGCAAAGGTCAGCAAAGACATTGAGAAGTTTGGAGATGGGGTTTTATGAATTCAGAAACTAAGATATCAGAAAGGCAAAAGTAAGTGGAAAAACTCCCCAAGGATATTTCTCTTTAACTCTTGAAAATATCTTAATTGTTCATACCCATTTTAGCAAGAGCAGGAGAGGTCTCCTGCTAACATAGCACCTGTGAAAGGTAATTGTGTATACCTTGTAAAATAGCTGAGCTTCCTGAGTATCTTTAAATCACAATGTTGTTTCTATCCAGATCCCGAGGACCACATTGTATGTGAGACTACCTCCTATAGTGGCTATTTTCTGTTCTCTTTGACAGGACCTCTGTACATCCACTGTTATTAAAGAATACACTGAGTTTGAGGAGTACAACAGGAAAATATTGTTATCTTTTAGCTTCTGGAAGACCTAAGTTGCTGCTTGTCTATTTCCACTTGCTCTGTCAAGCATGACTCTCTGAAACTACCTTCTCTGTGCCAAAGATAAAGTACTTTTTTGGCCCTATTTTTTTAGGTGCTCAGGCTTTCCTTGAGTTAAAAATATGAGTTTTATAAAACACATTTTACACATGCTATACTTTTGTTCAGTGGAATATGTTATTGAATAGTGACATGTAAATCAAAATTATGAAAATATAATTATACTGTAAGTGTACCAAGGGAACATACTAAATTTAAACTGAACTTTTCCAGTGAATTCACAATAAAATTCCTTTACTATCAAAAAAGCCTTTCTGGTTTAAATTATATTTACATAGTGCTTATAAAGAGAAGAGATCAACATTAGATTGCTTTAAATGCCTAGAAGTAAAAGGTAGAATGTAGTGAAGGTAGTAGATCCCACAGAATTTAATAATCTACCCAACATCACACTAAGTGTGTTACTGTACTTGCTATACTAAAACCCTTTCACTCAAAGTTTTGAAAAATGGACTTGATCCTTTGTTTAGTCATGGAGCCACAGAAGTTAGTTTTAAAATTTTCAGATTGTCTCTGCTGATTCCTTTGGGATACCCAGCTAGAACTGTGGGATCAGCTTTTTCATTCTACCTTCCAGTCAAAGGTAGGAAGGGGAAGGTAGGGCAACAAGCATCATGATTTAGTTTTTGTGACAACTTAATTGTCTAAAATATTGTGTCAATACTAGAGTCATTTCATTTGAACTCTGTATTCATAAACACTCTGTATTCTTCACAACTCTTATTCTTCATATTCTATATTTTTTATTTCTTTAATTCCAAACTTGGTATATATTTTTTCAAACTATGTCAGTGTTATTCTCTTTTCCTGCCTTCAGTTAAAACTTGTAAAGTGAAATACATTTTGTCTAAAATAGTTTTATAAAAGAATATGAACATTAACTGAAGTTTATGTTCAATACTAACTCTAAAAATTTTTTTACAGACAATTCTTCTATTTTCAAAATTTCTTTAAAACATAACAACAGAGCATTAGCTCAGGCTCTTAGTAGAGAGAAAGAAAATTCTCGAAGAATAACAACTGAAAAGATGTTATTGCAAAAAGAAGTGGAGAAACTGAATTTTGAGAACACATTTCTTCGCCTCAAGCTAAATAATTTGGTATGGAAGCTACATCATATTTGAAATCAAAATTAACTAAAATATTAGCTATTTTAGAGGTTCTGAAAATCTTTTTCAAATCTCCAATTATTATAAGAAATTACTGAGGGCCTCCCCAGTGGTGCAGTGGTTGAGCGCCGGGTTGCAAAGCTGCCCGGAGCTTCTGCAGCGCCGGTTCGATCCCCAGCCGCCGGGAGAGGGTCCCACATGGCACGCAGACCTCCCGTGCCGCCCGCTGCTCCCCTCAGCAGTGTACTTTGTCACTCTGCCTGTTCTGCTCTCCATTCAGGCTCTGGTGAATTCTCTCACAGTCCCATGCCTCTGACTGTACCCAGTGCTTGTATAAATAAATAAATAAATCTTTAAAAAAAATTGCTTTAAAAAAAAAGAAATTACTGAAACTATGTGCCATATTAATGGGCAGATTATTCACAGATAGTAAAATAAGTATCTTGAATCTATGTTCTAAATTGTGCTTATGTAGTGTAAAAGCATACTGTGGCTCAGAAAACCAGTATAATACCTCGAGCAACTTTGATTGTTTCTCATAAGCAAGACTTGGTATATGAATACATCTTAAGAAAATAGGCATAATTCCATCTAAGTTAAGAAGATAGGCATAATTCCATCTCAGTTCTAGTGAATTGAAAGGAAGAGAGTCCCAGAGTGTTATTCTCTAATCTCAGCAATTCAATGACTGCGAGCCAAATAGAATGAAGATATAGTTGTTTGCTTGTCCTCCCTTCTTCATATCTGTCCAGATAGTGCACTGCCGCTGCATAGTCAGGCTGCAACTACACATCTGACTTTAAAATGAGTAAGAAATTAATGTAAAATTGGGAAGTGACCTACATGAGAAAATAGAAAAATGAAAGAACATTTATGATTGATAGCTTAAAAGCTTTCAGAGTGAGAGAGAATAATGCTATTTGAATTTATAAGGTAGCACCTTTTTAGCTCTATGTGATTTCAGTTATTTTCTAAATCTTTTCAACTTACGATATTTGTAAATGTATGATCAGTCTCAATTGATTACAAGGGTTATTTATTTTACATATACAGAATAAGAAGCTTATAGAAATAGAAGCACTCATGAACAATAACTTGATAACTGCAATTGAAATGAGTACCCTTTCTGAGGTAAGTAGAATTTATGTGTAAGTAGGGTAATATTTTAGCATTGTTAAGGATGACAGATTAGTTATATAGCATCAAGGTTAGAGACTCATCTTTTAAACTTTGTACAAAGAAGTGATGATAATATCAGTTTTAACTGACTAATAATATATTCTAATTTGGTATAATTATTGAAATTATTAGATGTAAGTTAGATTTTGATTACAACTAACACAGGTTAGATAGTTCAGTAGAGCATAGTAGCCCCTAAGCAGACTCAGAAACAAAAGATATTAGTAGAAAGGTGGTATTTCAAATTAGGAAAGAATTTATATGCTTAAAAAAAAAAAGGAGGAACACAAATAACTATGGGGGGATGAAAATAGAAACAGATCTTGCTTCTGTTTTTGAAATTTTTAAATGAATTTGAATGTAAAAAGGCAAATCATGTAAAATGAGAAGAAAATACAAATGAGTTCACATTAGGTTTGAGAAGCCTTTCTATACCTAGAAACAGAGATAGAAACCATAAAGAAGTTGGTGGATTTTCTTAGAAAAAAATTGTTAGATGTCTAAAAGTAAAAAATAAAAGATAAATAGCAAACTGGGAAAATTAAGACTACATTCATTGTTTTCCAATCTCATCCATTGCCTGATACTTTCTAAAAAGTGAAACTCCTGTTCTTTTTCTCACCATACTACTACTTTCCTCCTCCTGCTCTTCAGTCTCTTCAACAAACAATGCTCCCTTCTCCTGTTCCTCAAATATAGGCCAGCTGCCACCTCTAGACCTCTGTACTTGTTCACTTGCTTCAAATCTTGACTCAAGTAACTCATTGAAGTCTTCCATGGCAACCCTGTATAAATCTAAATCCACCAGCACCCCTATCCCAACATTTTGTGTTCTGCTTCTGCTCTTTAATTTTTCTCTTTAGCACTTAACGCTATCACATACAATTTTATTGTTCTTCCCGTCAGAATATGTCCTTTTTGGATGAAGGATTTTTGTCTATGCCTGAATAATGTCTCAAACATAATAGAATGCAATAAATACTTATAAAATGTTGGATAGTGTTTTCCTATTAAGAATTTTTTTTAAGTGTGAGGTGTAGGTATTTATTCTGCAATATTTGTTATTGAACTTTTAAAATAAAAAAATGTTAAATAATATGAAATCCTTTCTTTTTTGGCATCTGTGGTGATGATCAGTCCTATATAGTCTTTCTTTTTAGTTGATTTAGTAGCTTTCTAATTTTTAACTTCAGGAATAAATTGCACAAATGATTTATTGTTCTTTTAATGTGCTCCTGAATTCTTTTTGCTAGTATTTTGTTTGGGAACTTAATTGTTATCCAGAAGTGAGGTTTCCTTGAAGTTTTCTTTTTGTACAGTCATTAGGTATTGATAAAAATGTTTTATGGCCTCTGCTAACACCAGGATGACAGGACTAATGATAGAGGAGAGATTGTTACCATTGAAAATCCTGGTTCTCTCTTAGATTCTTCTGTTATCATCCTAGAAGAGAGAGAAGAGCCTCTTTGTTAGCAAGTGAGAACAAATGTCCAGAGACACCACATGTTCTCCACAGACACTGCTTGCTGGGGGAGGGACTCATTACAGCTCTTCCCTCCACAGCTTCTGACAGCCCTTTAGGTTTAGAGGGGAGTATTGCTTGAGTGTGAAAGTCTAGTCTCCCTATTTGACTTTTGCTTCTTTGTCAAAAAGTAATTGACCAAATAGGTGAAGGTCTTTTTCTGGACTATTTCATTAATCTATTTTTCTGTCTTTATGCTAATACTATAATGCCTCAGTTACTATACACTTCCAACTTTGTTCTTTTTTTTTTTTCTTCCAAAGTTGTTTTAGCTATGCTACGTCATTCACATTTCTGTGTGAATTTTAAAATCAACTTGTTAGTTTGGCCATACTCCTGTTAATGATACAGGCTAACATTGTAGTTGGAAGATATTGTTGTAAGGTGCCTAATTTTAGTCTTTGCTAAATAATTAAAACATGTTCAGAGACCATATCAGAAAATATAAAATATAGACAAGGAAAACCTAAAAGATTTTGAATTTTAAATGGCTTTTAAAAATATATATTTATTTATCTGAAGGGTGTGATCCTGTACTGCTATATCATATACAGTGTCTTAAACCAATGTTACCTCAGTTTAAAAAAATGTATTATAAAATCCAATAATATATTACATAACACTTATCTAGACATAAGCAAGGTACATGTATTTACAGAGATATTGTATATGTGTGGGTATATATATTTATATTTATTCCTAGACATAAAAGGATGGTTGGAAAATTATACTAAGATATTAGTGCTGACTGTCTTTGAATGGCATAATTAAGGATGAAATATGTTTAATATTATCACATTCTCATTCAACTATTGAAGTCTAATCTGCTTGAAGTCAAAGCAGATATTGTTCTATTACTCTTGGTTTCCTTATGTAATTTGGTACCTTAATAACATGATTTAATGAGATTAGAAGTTTTGTTGCTATTCATTTTCTTTGTTCTTTTCAAAAATAGTTTCATCAGAGTTCCTTCCTCCTGCCAACTAGCAGTAAGAAACGAGCTAGTAAACAGTGCAAATTGATGCATCTTCCATTTGCAAGGTGATTACATCAAAACTTGGTTAAAATAATGACTTGCATGATTCTACCTGACTCGAACTTTGAATAGTTGTTATGAAGAGAATCACGATATATGACATTTTGTAATTGACTTTTCTCTCTTTGCATAACATTTTGATTGTACATCCAGTTAGCATGTATTACTACTTCATTCCTTTTTATGACTGAATAATATTCTGACTGAATAATAGTCTTTTGTGTGGATATACTACATTTTGTTTATTCATTAGTTAGTGAACACGTTTCCACTTTTGTACTATTGTGAGCAGTGGTGCTATGAACATTCACATAAAATTCTGTATGCACATACTTTTCAGTTCTGTTGTTTGTATACCTACAAGTAGAATTGTGGGGTCATACGATAACTCTTATGTTGAACTTTTGGAATTTTCCAGAGTTGTTGCACCATTTTATATTACCACCAGTAAAGTATTGGTTCCAGTTTTCCACATCTCCAACACTTGTTATTACCCATCCTTTTGGTTGTAGCTATCCTAGTTGTTATGAAGTGATATCTCATTGTGATTTTGATTTGTATTTCCCCTATGATTAATGATACTGAGCATATATTCATGTGTTGATTGACCATTTTTTTAAGATTTATTTATTTATGCATGCAAGAATTGGGGTACAGGCCAGAGGTGTAGGGTGTGAGAGGATTCATCAGAGACCGAGTGGGGAACAGAACAGGTGGGTTGACTGAAATGCACTGCTGAGGGGAGCAGCAGGCGAGGCAGGAGAGGTCTGCCGTGCCATTGGGGCTCGAACTCGTGCTGCAGTAGTTGCAGATAGCTTCATAGTGCTGACGATTAACCCCTTGAGCCACCAGGGAGGCCCAGATTGACCATATATATGTCAGGGTCATTCTCTTTTTCTCTTGAGTTGGAATCATGTTTTTCTGTTGCTTTATAGCTTGAATAATAATACGTGCATAATGCACATTGTAAATCCTATGTTCTAGAAAATCTGAACTCGATTTCCCCAAGTTTGATGTTTTTATTGTAGCAGATACCGTGCCTGAACTCAAACTTCTTACTTCCCTGTGATAAGCAACATATAAAATCTTGTTTTATTTCTTTTACCCTCACTTGATCTGTTCGGTATCTTCTGTGTGTGTGTGTGTGTGTATGTGTAAGAGGGAGATTGATTCAGGGATCAGCAAGAGATTAGGAGGGATTTTTCACAATATTTGGGCCTTTTCTACCTCTCCTATTATTTCCCTGTTGTAGTTGTCTTTATTGGTTCTTGTTGAACTAATAAGACTGGATTTCTAACTTTTTGAAACGGTAGACCTGATTAAGGTTGTAAACAGTGGGAAATTAACCCTTCTAAGTATCACCCCCGCCCTTCTGTATCCACTTGCTTTTTTGTTCACTCTCCAGAAATTTCAGGTAGTTTTTGTTGTTAGGTTATCTATGATTTGTTTGGCATGCAAGGCAAAAATCTTTATCATTGGGGTATAATACTCTTCATTCTTTGAATTTGAAAAGGTTAGTTTACCAAATTATTTCAGTGGGATTCCATCTTTTTCTCTCCTTAAATTTTTTTTAAGATGTATTTATTTATGCATACAAGAGCTGGGGTGTAGGCCAGAGGTGTGGGGAGGGGTGGGTGAAAGCATTCACCAGAGAGAGAGTGGGGAGAAGAACAGGTATATCTACTGAAATACACTGCTGAGGGGAGCAGTGGGCAAGACAGGAGAGGTCTACTGCACCACGTGGGTTAGCTCCCTGGCCAGAGATCGAACTCATGCTGCAGTGGCTGGCGATAGCTTCCAGTGCTGAGATTTAACCCCTTGTGCCACCAGGGAGGCCCTTCTCTCCATAAATGCAACTACTCTAGGAATATGACTTTAGTCAAACTCTTCCACAGGAAGAGTTTTTTGGCTTCCCACAGAATTAGTTATAGGAAAATTAACATTATATGTGAGTATATTAAGTATATTTGAACTTTATTCATTTCACTATTATTATCCTAATAACCCAACCAGTGATTGTATAAATTATCTATCTCCTTTTGGGACCCCTGAGGCTATGGAGTAAAAAACATTCTTATTTTACTTTTAAGTTCTCTGTTGTTAGAAAGTGCCTTTTTCCTATCTGATTGTCTTTATTGAATACAAAAAAGTACCAGAATGGATTTGTGGTTGGATCTTAAATAAATGAAATAGAGAAAGTACTATACTTGTAATTTTCTAAATAATTTTTATAAAATACAGAATTTTTCATTCCCTTTTATTGTTAGGGTTCCATTAACTTCAAATGATGATGATGATGATGATAAAGAGAAAATGCTGTGTGACAACAATGCCGTATCAAAGACATCACCTGATATTCCCTCTTCAGTGTCAACAAGACAATCTTTATCAACTCAGAACAATTTGGAGTTGTTATTTCTTAAAGAAAATAATCAGAATGTGTGTGGGTTAGATGACTCAGAACATATTTCTTCTTCTATTGTCGATATATTTCCCAAAGGTGAGTTTTTTTTTAATTCATTTTTAATATCAAAGTTACATTCATCATATTTTCTTCTTGAGTTCAGTGGTGTATAAACAGTTAATAAATTGATCTCCTATGTTAGAGCTTTGCTGACTTCTACCATTTAAAACTCCTGACAGGAAATCTAATAATTAGAAAATAAGCTGACCAATGTCAGGCCTACAGCAGTGTAATACTGTTATTTTGAAGGCAATATTTAGACGTGATGAATGGAAGGGTACCATATATTTATTTAGTTTCACCTTCTTTTCCCAGATGGCAAAAATTGGGGGCCTATATAGGTGTAACGATTTTTTTCAAGAGCCTAACCAATTAGAGATAAAAGCAAAAACTTGAGTCCAGGTAATGATGGACCAAGAAAAAAAATAATGACACCTGTATTTTAAATTCATGATATTTCAAAATATTAATCCTGTGGTGTACTCTGGATTATGCATTTGTTACAGATTTTCAGACTGGTATATGGAGCCATAACTATAATGAAATATGGAGTTACACTTTTTTTTTTTTTTTTTTAAAGATTTATTTATACAAGCATTGGGTACAGTCAGAAGTGTGAAAGGTGAGAGAATCCACCAGAGCCAGAGGGGAGAGCAGAGCAGGCAGACTGACTTAGTACACTGCTTAGGGGATCAACGGGCCGCAGGAGAGGTGTGCGCCCCTTGTGGGACCCTCACCCTGCGGCCGGGCATCGAACCAGTGCTGCAGAGGCTGTGGGCAGCTTTGCAACCCAACGCTCAACCGCTGCACCACCGGGGAGACCCTGGACTTACACTTTTTTAAAAAATAATTTTTAAATAATTTTTTTTTAAGATTTATTTATTTTTATACAAGAGCTGGAGTACAGGCCAGAGGCACAAGAGGGTGAAAGGATTCACCAGAGATAGAGCGGGGAGCAGAACAGGCAGACTGACAAAATACACTGCTGAGGGGAGCAGCGGGCAAGACAGGAGATGTCTGCACAAGACAGGAGAGGTCTGCCACGCCATGTGGGATTCTTGCTGACTGGTCGGGATTAAACCTGCACTGCAGAGGCCGCGGAGAGCTTCACGGCACTGTGCTCAACACACTGCACCACCAGAGAGGCCTGGAGTTACACTTTTATTTGGGTTCATTTGCTGCTCTTCTCTCACTCTAGAAATATGTTAATGGCTCCATTTTACTTTTGGTATTAATGCAGAATGAATTATCAGTGTATGTTTTCCATAGATACAAATGGAAAAGATAACTTTTGAATGTTCTGATCATTTCTGCTTTATTTTTTATACTATTTTTATAAAGTATAGATTATTTTTAATAAATAAAGTATAGGTTCTTTATAAATATGTAAACTACATTATCAGAAATCCTTTGTAAAATAACTTGATTTATTATCTAATTTGTTTAAAATAATAAATTCCTTGCTATTACTTATTTCTGAAAATTATTTCCCTTTATCGTAGAAAACCATTCTCACTCAGACCAAAGTTCCAAGATTTCGCTAATGAATGAGATGAAAAATGTCCAGCCTGTCAGCCACATAAAGGACAAACCATCTCTTAGTAATGTGACGAAAAGGAAGAAACGTGTATCATCTTGGGAGCCAAATAATCCTTCTGCAGATATTCCATGTGTCGCAGATTTACATGAACAACAGATTTCATGTCCAGAATTAAATTGGAATAATGAGATGAATAATCATACTAAGGAAATAAATGTAAGGATGCAAAGAAATAAACAGTGCCTTCCTGAGTCTTCTGAGCCTACAAGTGAACCTACCACAGAGGGCATGAATGAGGTTCAGGGTAGTGAGGACTTTCAATTGCAGAAAACCGTGTATGATGGGGACATGGATTTAACTGCTAGTGAAGTAAGCAAAATTATTGCAGTATCTACAGGAACTAAAAATAAAAGTAATAAAAAACTAAATGATTGTGGAGTGAAAACTTTTAGAAAAGTGAAAGATTCAAGCTCTGAAAAAAAGAAAGAAAGATCAAAGAGAGAAGTGAAAAATAGAACAGATGTGGATATTGAGACAACACTTGAAAATGGACAAGAAAGAAGATCTGTTGTCCTGGATGGCAAAGGGGATTCAGAAGATCTGAATTTTATGTTCCATACTGAACAGCAGGCTCAACAACCAAGTATGCTGAAGAAAATAACATTTCATAATGGCTTTTATAAGGATGATAGACAAAATACACAGTATCATAAAAAGAAGAAAATACATGCAACAAATGAGCAAGAGGAAACATACTCTTTCCCCCAAAGTGCAGATAAATGTCAGCAGGAGAGCAAATCTGATATGTGTCAGAATTCTCTAGCTTGTAAGAAAAGTAAGACTTCTAGAAAGACATTTGTGATTCAGACATTAGAGAAAGGTAACTTACTCCCAAATCTAAAGGATAAAGAAACCATTTCTGAAAACCTAAAAGTCACAAATAAATTTCAAACAGCTGATCTTCCCACCAAAGACAATGGGAATTTATGTGATTATGAGACCCAAAATACATTGGATTTTAAAAAACATGTCACTGATGTGCAGTCTGCTCAGCAAAATGAATCAAAAATAAATAAGAAGCTTAGGCAGAAGGTAAATCGAAAGACAGAAATAATTTCTGAAATGAACCAAATACATGAGGACAATCCTGAAGATGTACATGGCCCAGGAAAAGGTAACTTTTCCCTTCAAATCCAAGAGGGTGAAGAAAACATTTCTGGAAACCTAAAAGTTTCAAATGAGTTTCAAAAACATACTCTTTCCATCAGTAGTAATGGAAACCTGTATAATTATGACACCCAAAATATGTTGGATTTGAAAAAGCATGTCACTTATATGCAACCTGCTGAGCAGAATGAATCAAAAATAAACAAGAAGCTTAAGCAAAAAGTAAATCGGAAGACAGAAATAATTTCTGAAGTGAATCGTTTAGATAATGACAAAAGTGTGTATTGCCCCAAAAGGAGTAACACTTTCTTTCTAATGCAGGATAAAGAAATCTCTGAAAGCTTAGAAGACCCTAGTGAGTTTCAAGCACTTGTTCATTCTACCAAAGATAGTGGAAATCTATATCATTTTGACACTCAAGATGTTTTGGGAATGAAAAAGCCTGCCTATGATCTGGAACCTTCTTCTCAAAATAAATCAAAACGAGATAAAAAATCTAGGCAAAAGGTACATAGGAAGACAGAAATAATTTCTGAAGCCAACCAAATATTTGAGGATGACATGGGCATGCATGACTCAGAAAAAGGTGATTTATTTTCTCTAGCTCAAAAAGATAAAGGAATCCATAAAGACCTGAAAGACTCAAATGAGTTTCAAATTGCTGATCCTTCTTCCAGAGATAATAGGAACCTATGTAATTATGAGACTCAAAACGTTTTGGGAGTGAAAAAACATGTTACTGATATACCACCCGTAAAGCAAAATGAACCAAAAATAAATAAAAGGCTCAGGCAGAAAGTAAATCGGCAGGCAGAAGCAATTTTGGAAGGGAACCAAACAAATGAGTTTAATAACAAAGGTTTGCATGATCCTGAAAAAGTTAACTTCTTTCCCCTAATCCAAAAGGATAAAGAAACCATTTCTGAAAACCTAGAAGTTACAAATGAATTTCATACAGCTTATCTTTCTACTAAAGATAATGAAAGTTTATGTGATTTTGAGGCTCACAGTACGTTGGATTTGAAAAAACATGTCACTAATATGCAACCTACCCAGCAAAATGAATCAAAAAAAAAAAAACTTCAGCAGACAGTAAATCGGAAGACAAGACTAATTTCTGAAATGAGCCAAATATATGAGGATAATACTAAAGATGTGCAAAGCCAAGAAAGCCATACAAAAGATCTTGATTTTAAAATAAATAAATCTAAACAAATGTTCGAATGTGTAGGTATTACCAGTGGATACAATATGAAAATCAGTAGTAGTGAAAAGGAAAATTGTGACCAAATTTCAAATCATTACAAACTGGATAAAAAACATGGGAAAAAATCACCAGGCAAAGCAAAGAACGTTTTGGCAGAAGGTAAAAATAAACCTAGTTTGAAGTCACCAAATTCTTCACAAACATCTATCTCAGAGTCAGACTTAAAACATAATACTGATGAAGCAGATTCTGATCGTGGAAACCAAATGAAACCACGTAAGAATCCAAAGCAAAGCACTACAACTCTGACTAAAAAAGATACTCCCTTTGTGGAAGTGACAAAAGAAGACCAAAAAACAGATAAAGAGACATCCAAATCAAAGAGAAGGAAGACCTTCATAAATCCTACTCATAGACAGGAAGTATTGGAGATAATACCTGACACCATTCAGGGACTATCATTTCAATCAGAACAAACTGATAAAGAAAAAGCATTGGAAAGTGAGAAAATTATCAAAATAAAGCCAGACTTTTACACAAAGGTGTTTAAATCTTTATCTCAGATATATTCGCCTAATATACATGATTCTCCCTTTAACAGTGTTCATGAAGGTTCAATACCTTTGAGTATTTCTTCTAGTAAAAATATAATGAAAGAAAATTCTGCCCAGAACTCACCAGTCAGTGATGATGTAAATGAGAAGATGAAAGAAATGGATTTTAAAATCAACCAGAGAACACAAAAATCAGGAGTAGGTAGGTCAATACCTGAAGTGCTCAAGTTTTAAAAGTTATTTTTACTTAACCAATATTTTCTATTATAACTGATATTTTTATGAAATTTGAAATGGAGGAATTGAAAGAAAGTTTAGTATTTTAAGTAGAGTAAGAATATCTTGGGTATTCATAACCTAAAAAACTAATTTGACCTTTGCCATAAAGTGTTTCATACATTTGAAGAAAGTCGAGTATTTTGAATAATACTTAATAACCCTGGTTTGATTTTACAAAAGACAATTGCAGATTTCTTAAGAGTAGTACTCTCTCAAACAGCGTATATTTAATGTGATCAAAACATTCTTCTAATTATCACCTGGTAGAACTGGTAGAACTGCAGTGAACTTTTGGCATATGGACTTGAATCTTTGGACATTATATACTTGAAATCATACTACATATAACATTACTTGTCCTATTTGTTTTTCTTAACATTCTCTCCTAATGGTATTAGAAATATTGTAACATCAGACATTCCCATGTCAGTTAATTTTCTACTAGGAGCCTATATGCAAACATTAGGCTCCCAGTTCATATATATATATATATATATATATATAGAATACCAGGAATTTGACGGACAAGGCTATTCCAGGTAAAAATATTGAAGCAAAAGAAGTACAAAGATCTAAAGATGCAGAATATGATAGTGCACTCATGAGCAATATTTCATCTCTACACTTATGATGTTTTTCCACAGAATATGCAATTGATGACCTGTTGAATGAATGTGCTATATAATTTGGGTGATTCAGTAAATGGCTTGAATTTTGCTCAGCCTATGTGTGATTTCAGAACTAAAATGTTGCAGGCTGCTTTCGTAGTTTGCTTCAAATTTTAAGACTCTTTCCTCTCAGTATCACTGGAAAGCAATTAAACTGATTTATAAATATTTTCAGTGCTACTGCTTAATATTTAAAAGTTATAACTTGATTCTGTTTAAAAATTGGCTGCCAGCATCTTGCAAACCACTATAGATCCCATATCTTTCCATCTATGTATTTTGACAAATATTTATGAAAATAATTTTCTTTTCAGGTGATAGGACACTACAGGACTTGACAAATACCAGTTTTGTTTCAAATAACACTGCTAAATCTGAAAATAAGACAGAAGACTTGTCATCAGAGCTGCCAAGCCGAAGACGAAAGTGTGCTCCTCTCTGTTTTAAAGAGCCAAGTCTCAGAAAGTAAGTTTTCAGTGATAAATGCTCCAGCAAGGTGGAATCTTATCTAATGAAATGCAATCTCAGAATTAAGACACCACATCTCCCTTGCCATATTCTATTGGTTAGATGCAAGTCACAGCTCCCATTCGTTCATACAGGGGGATGGACACCAGTAGACAGATCATTGGAGTGGTTTTTTCTTAAAGTCTGTCTGTCTTCCAGATCATTAATCTCAACAGAAAACTAAGGAATATATGCATATATACTAATCAATTCATACTCATTTATCTGTTTGTGTATAGAAAAAACCATACACTAAAACTTCTGATTCCAGTCCAACTCCCACAGGATTCATTTCAGCTTTGCTAATTCATTTCTTTCTCCATAAGTGAGAAGCTGGACATTCATTATCTGTAATATATTCAATTGTAGCATGCACATTGTTTTCAGAATTGCTAACCTATATCCTTGTGAGAAACAACATTTTAGTATGATCTTTTTGTCACAGGTTAGTAATTTTCACACGCATCCCTTTCAACATAGTTATTCTGTAACTCAGGTACATTTATTATTGTTTGTATTCCATTTTCTTTTTTTTCACATCTTGGTAGGTTTGTTGTTTATTTTGGGGGGGGGTTGATACATTTCTTGGGTTGTACAAGTTAAAGTTATATAAAATGGCATATGCAGAGAAGTTTCAAATACTTTCATCCCTGCTACCACATTCCCATTACCCCTTTCTGTCATATTTTCACCTATATCTTGTGGTTTTCTTTAGTTTCTGGTTTGTCATTCTTGTATTTCTTTTGCATAAATAAGAAGGTAGGTGTATATTCTCCTTTTCCTTGCATAAAGGTACTATACTGCAGCTACTCTATTGGACTTTGCTTTTTTTTAATTTAACAATATTTTCTGGAAATCACTCAATATCAATTCATTTTTCATCTCTGAAAAGTCAGATTTTTCTCTTTTATAACTAGATAATATTTAATTGTATATAGATGATGTACTGTAGTTTATTTAATCACATTCCCATATTTGCACATTTAGGTTATCGCCAATGTTTTGCAGTTATAAATAATACCATACTGAGTAGTCTTGGGCATATATCTTTTCATATTGTTGGGGAATTTAGATAAATTCCTAAAAGTGGGATTGCTGGGGTAAAAAATACATAAATAGTTTTATCGGATATTGCCACACTTCTTTCCAAAGACCTGTACCAGTTTACATTCCAAGTATCAGAAAAGTACCTACTGGAATTAATAGGAATGATCCTATTAATATAAAAGTCACACGTAGAAAAAAACCAAACAGTATGCTTTTTAGTTGTGCAACTGATCAATAGTAAAAACTATGAAGTGAAGCAAGAGAGTGATTAACAATAATCTAGTATTATGTGATTAACAACAATCTAGTATTATGTTCTTAGAGGTTTCTGGGGCACACAGGAAGCCTCAGAGTAGTAATATTTTCTTAACATTTGTCATAGGTGCTTTGGAATCTATTTGATTGTTCTTAAGTTGTACACCTTCATATATTACATGTATGCTAAAGTTAATAATAAAAAGGAAATATGTAGTAAAACATGCAGTATAAAATCTACATTGATTAATTTTCCTTAAACCTTATTTATAATCCCCACTGTTACAGTTTTTTTCAACATATGGCAAAGTTTATGGTTTGAGGAAACTGCTTCCTACTGGTAAGAGGCAGCAATTTTCTCCTCCATACTGAAGGACAAAAGCATTTAGTTTGGAGTTGTTATTATTGTTAATATTCCATTTTTTTCTACTTTGCAGGAAGATGAGGAGATGAGGTGAATTTATGGATTCTGGTTTTTCTGAATTCTCAAAACATAACGAGTCATTGCAGGGATCCAACTAGGATCAAACAGATGAAAAATGGAATGAAGAGTGTTGCATTTTTTTGTTCTGTTTTGTGCCTTCTCATGGAGTGCTGACTTATTCATGTTTAAATATATGTGCACAAAATTGCTATTTTGTAATACTAAATTTTTCAAGTCATTTTGGCCATGCTATAGCTTATCTTCCTGTTCATTTAAACTTCTTTCAACTTAACAGCCTTTAATTAAACCATAGCTGTTATCCTTTTAACCAAATAAAGTGTATTCTGAATATTTTTGATTATCTTGTTGCATACCTAGCTGCCTTGTTTTGTTTTAAACTATTAATGTGAACACATCTATAAGAGTTTAAAAGTTGCCTCCTGCCCTGGCCAGTTTTCTCTCACACTTTATTCTTCTACTTTCAGAATGACTTGTTAGGTGTCCGCCTATATATTACTTCTATTATATTGTGATCTGTTTAGTTGTCGGGGAGGGGGGTGGTTAACCTTTCAAACTCTTTGGATTGAGTTTTTGTGACTTTATTTTAAAGATTGCTTACTATTCCAGTAATAAGGAGTAAGTATATTAATATCTGAGATCACTGAACATAAAACCATGTTCAAAAAAGTTACCATAGTGAAATCCTATTATGCCTGATGAGAAAGCTTTCTTAGACAATACCTGACAAGTAAAAGGGTGGACCCAGAAATCTGCATTTTTAACAAACACTTCGGGTATTCTAATTCTGGGGCAAATTGTCCTAACTTTGAGAAACTGATGTAGTAATACAGAGTCCCTCAGAGCTTACTTATAATATTTGCAATTTTGGCTGAATGGAGGCTAGAATCTTTATTAAAAAGGAACACTTTACAGAGCAGTTAAGAGTTCAGTACTCTGAGATCAGGATAATAAATAATTAAAAAAACAAAAACAAAATTAACAGGCCACTATAAGTCAGAGACATTCTACAGAGGTGGGGGAGGGAGAAGTAAGAACCCAAGGGACTATGGTGGTGGTGTGCGGGTGGTTTGATGGTGGGAATTTTCTGTGGACTACACCTGAGAGGAAAAAGCAAATATTGTACAAAAATAAACGATGTAAAATATATACAAATAAATTTAATTTAAAAGAAGTTAAGTACCCTGATCATCTTTTTTGTATACTTTCCTGTGCTTCTATTACTTTTAAGACTTTGGGCCTTTTAGAGTCATTCTCTGGCTATTATACTTTTGCTTCTATTGTTTATGTCTATTTTTCCTGCTTTCTATGAGACATCTTTTTATCCCCTTTGCCATGAAAATTATTTTTCATTATGTCCTCAAATTTATCAACATTTTCTTTTGCTGATGCTGAAAAATAGTCACAGTAAGAAACAATCTTTCTATTCCCAACTTACGTTTACCCATGATTTCATTTTGTTTTTACATTTATATTTCTTATTCATGTGGATTTTGTTGGGTGTGAGGTATAAATGTCTTTTGACCTTTTCCAGATAATTCCCCATTACTTAAAAAGCTCATGTTTTCCAGTACTGCCACCTTTTAAAATATATTTTCATATATAGTTAAAATTATAAATTATTACATACAGTTAATATTCTCTTCTGGTCTGTCTTTTTATGCCCTAATATACTTTTTCTAGTTATATAAACTTAAGGGAGTTTCAAAGTTTTCCCCCATAGATGTTTTGTATAGTGCTTGATTAATTTATGTGTAGGCATATTACCCTTTTTCTTGGTAATATAAAATGGAATCTTTCCTTGATCCTCTTCTACTTATTGTTTGCTTTTATGAAGTTTGCTGGTTTCTGTAACTTTAGTTACTAAACTGGTATTATTTGTAATATTTTCCAGGTATAACTCTTGAATACCAAGTTCTCTCTACCTTTTTCCCCAATTCTTACACTTCTCACTACTTTCTTGTCTAATTGCATGGCTGCTATTTTAAGTGTTTTAAATGTGGTGGAAATAGTGCATATATTTTTTCTGTTCCTGATTTTCATGGTAATGCCTCTGGTTTTGCCCCATTGATGGCTGTTTTGAACTTGTTATTTATATTTCTAATCACATTAAAATATTTTATTGGGTGAGTTTTTAAAAAATTATGAATGGGTATTGAATTTTATCAAGTCACTTTTGGCATTGATGGAAATAGTATTAGCATCCAACCAAGAGACAGAAATTATTTTAGAAATTATTAACCATATTATTAACCATACACTGGAGAACTGAATAAGAACTAATAGACAAAAGGGACACAGATGTATCATAGAGGACATAACTAAAGGAAGTACCTGCCACTTTTGAAGCTAACAGGAAAAGGATGGAATTACTGAAACTGACTTGGAAGAAACACTACAGGATTTTGGGGGACTGTGCAACAGGTTGGTGCTGTTTCCTTGCGGGCTATGACAAGACTGGTCTAAGGTAGAAAGGCTGTAAACTGTAATGTGGAAAAGGAGCCTACTGTTGCTATTGAAACCAATTTTTCTGATGGAGTAAACCATTTCTGTCATGATGCCAACAGGAACCATTTCTGTCATGATGCCAACAGGAATGAACAAATTTTTCCTTTCTCCTCCAGTTTGCATCTAGTACTTTTTTTTTTAAAGATTTATTTGTTTTTATTTATACAAGCACTGGGTACAGTCAGAAGCGCGGGAGGGTGAGAGAATTCACCAGAGCCAGAGCGGGGAGCGGAGCAGGCAGAAGGACACTGCTGAGGGGAGCAGCGGGCGGCAGGAGAGGTCTGCGCGCCATGTGGGACCCTCCTCCAGTGGCCGGGGAGCAGCTGGAGAGCGAACCAGCACTGCAGAGGCTGCAGGCAGCTTCGCAACCCAATGCTCAACCGCTGCGCCACCGGGGAGGCCCTGCATCTAGTACTTTCTATCACTAGAGATAAAAGGGAAACTGGCAGGGCCTGATTCCACCACTCTCAGCCTCCCCAGATGTTTAATGCATCCCAGCCTATCCTCTGCCTGCCCTTCCATCAAGACCTACCTTCTCTCATCCCCACTCCTCCAACTAAGCCAGAGTGCTGTGAGAACTCCTGTTTACCTGCCTGGGAAGCCCCACACTTCTCAAGGTGGTGATGGCTGACTTTTGCTGTCAAAAAGTAGAGCTTATTTCAGTAAACAATTTTCACAGAAGTTATTAGTTCAGAGCGCAAATACAGCACTGACAAGAACAGGCGTGCTCTGAGAAAAAACAATCAAAAGGAGTCAGGCAGAGGAGAAATGTGGTTTAAAGGACAGCTCTTAAAGTGGAGTAAATAAGTGTGGATCAGCACAAAGATGATAGATGGTGGTTCTCCTTCGATATATTGCTGTGGTGAACTATATAGATTTGTTGATACAGAAATTTGCTTATTTTTGTAGAGTAAATCCCACTTTTTACTGTATACTAGCTGCTCTCGCAATTGTTACATCCACCTCTATAGTTTGCTGTGTGATTCTGATCTTTGCAAATCACATTTTGCTAGCTGACTCCTTTATAGCTTCCGTCAGTAGGGGGCAGTAGAAGGAGACAGAAAATCATGAAGAAGGAAAAAGGGCTTTCCCATTCCCCTTAGCTTGTTTTCCTGTCAAAAGCACCTCAGCAGTAGTGCTTCACTTCGGGTAGCAGTTGGTTCCAGTTGTCAGTTAGCTTAGCATTCCTAGACCCAGCGCCAGTATGCCCCCTTGGAAGCACCAGCTGCAGTTGTCTTGTGCCCTCTCAGAGACCCCAGGCCTAGCTCCTTTTGCTACAGGCCATCCTTAGAGATCTGAGTTCCGACTCTTGGAAACCTTGCCCTAGCTCATAAGGTATTAACAGTGCCTGGGCAGCGCCCACCTCTCAAAGGTTTCCTCCAAGCTCATTGGTTGTAATAATCCCAGCCTCTTAGTATTTTTTTTTTTTTAACCCCAGCTAGTCCCTGTACATTGCTGCAGGGAATGCAAAATGATACAATCTTCAAAGAAGATTTGGAGACTATCCAGCAAAATTACATATGCATATAAAGTCATCCGACCCAGCAATCTCACTTTTTGGAAAGCATACTAAAAATTTTCTTGAAAAAGAAAAAAATCTCACGTAACAGGAAAAAAGAAACAACGTAAGTAATCATCAACAGGGGCCAGCTAAGAATGCCACCTGAAATGAATGAAAATTACTTTGTCAAATTGGGAAGAAATACAGAGATACCTGGACCTTAGAAAAAATAAATTTGTATCTTTAGTACAGCATACTCTCAGGAGCCTAAGCTTTCATTCACTAGCCTCATTGCTGCCATAATACTGATGTGATTATTTTGAAATAACTCTAAAACAGATTAAAGCAATTAAAGTTTCAGTACCAAGACTTTTGGGATAGGAGAAAAATGCAATTATAAAATCCAGGAAGGTTAAAAAAAAAAAAAACTGCAATCTTAAGTTTTAGTTAGAAATGTTAGTGTGAACTCATACTTTTTGCACTCTTTAGAAGTATGTCTTCTAGCTTAGTTCACTGAAAATGTCTTGACATAATGATAACTGACTAGCAATGCCACCCAGCAATACAGAGGGACCTGCCTTTTCCTTCAGTGCCTCCTTTCCCTCTGAATGAGAGCAGTTTCAGGTTACACCTCGGTTGTGACCCAACAGTTTTCATACACACACACACACACACACACACTAAAGTAGAAACAACGCAATACCTGAGATTGGCATTAAAATACTCCATTAAAAAACAAAGAAGTATTTTATAATAGGGGCAGAAAGTTCATTGCTGTGCTCTTCATGTTTATGTGGAAATTCTCGTAGTAAAATGTGCTTGCATAAATGAAATAACATCAGAAAGTGTTCTAGGAATGTTAAGTGAAAACAAATCTGGAAAACAATAAGTCCCATTTGAGTTTTTAAAAGATGTTACTGAGCAGATTTCAAAAATATAAAGATAGATCCAAAAAGCTAACAGAGGTAAATACTGGGTGATTTTAATTTTTATGATTTTCGGTATTTTCCGAGTATTACTTTTCATAGATGTTTTATGATTCCATTGATATTTATCAGGTAAAGTTTGTGGTTATTTAAAAATAGCTCATACCAAAGTGGCAATTGATTTTTCAAATAAACAGAATTTAATGCTGTCAGATAAAACTGTGAAACCATTCGCTGTCTTTAAGCTCCTGCACAGCTGAACTAAGTGTGGTTGTTTATTAGAGAACAAGGCTGCAGAGGGAGTGGTGGGAGCAGAGGTACAGAAAAGACCAGCTTTAGTAGGCTTCAACTCGAGCTGAAAAGCCTCTTCAAACGTAACATAAAAACTACCAAAGAGATGTCAACAAGCCTGCAGAGTTTGCTAGAAGGAAAGGGGGCGGCACAGACGCCAAGCAGCACAGGGGAGGAGGAGAAGGGGTCTCGCCAGTAAGATCAGTCCACTCCCAGCGCGCCGGTGACGCCCTGATACCCGGGGGAAGAGTTTCCTGGCGAGGCGCTCGCGGAACTTCGCTTCTGACTCAGGACTTGCTCCACCGGGTGCGTGGACTTCAGGCTCCGGCCGCCGCGCTCACTCTCGGGGCGAGCGTCTCCGGGACGCCATGCCGGCCGCTGCTCCCCAAGCCCCGCCGGGCGCCGGCCAGGACCGCGCGGCCGAGCTGCTCTTCTACGTGAACGGCCGCAAGGTGAGTGCACCTGCTGGAAGCGGACGGCGGGGAGCAGCCCCTGCGCGTCCCCTTCGTGCCTCGATGCTCATAATGCCCGCACCGGCATCGTTATTACTCTGCATTATTATTATATTACTGTGGCTGGGGAGAGATTTGCCTGTTGCGCCCGCACCTCCACCCTGGGGCAAGGTAGGATGAGTTTGAGGGGACTGTCCTGGATATTTGCTCCCACCCACCCACACACACACCTTCCTGGTACTCATTTCCCCTGTCCTTCCCAAACGCACAAGCTGGTTACCAAACTCACCTCACCCCTTAAATAAGAAGAGAAATGGCTATTCTTACTCATCGAAGCCAGCACCCTCGAAGCTTTCCTTCCTCCAGCCCCATCGCTAAAGGGAACTTCTCTCAGTAGATTGCCCTCGCTTGGGCTGTTTAGAGGAATGGGGAGCCCTGGACCATGGACACGGACCAGTTCAGATCACCCCTCTCATTTCGCAGGTAACATGTGTGACTTTACAGAGTCACACCTTGTTTCTGGATAAGCTGAAGGAAAACTGAGTTCTGGGACTAAGGGTCTTGCTGGGTGTCCTGCTGGCCCTGCGTCTAACTTCTCAAAACTGGGCTTGGTCTGCTGAACCTCTGGGAGAGTTCCAGACAGTGTCCCCAAGTTTGGAGGCCCCCTTTAAAACCTCCTGAAGGTGGTCCTAGACTCTGCTCTTTCAACTTTACTCCAGCATTTTGGCACCACTTTGGGAGGGGAAAACAAGCAGGAAGGTTAAGGGGCTTCCTTTAGGGCAGACTCCCACACGAGGGCTGGGCTACCTACCTTTGAGTGGTGCCAGCGCCTGTGGTTCCCCCCACACACACCTAATGCCTGCTTCTGGGTCAGGGATAGCCACCTATCACACTCTCCTAACTGGCAGAACCTCACCAGATACCCTTCTCCACCCCCCACAGTACAAGTTCTAGGCCCCCTGAAGCATTCCGTCTGCCCCTGCTGCCTGGGCTCCACGCAGCTTAATATGAGTTTGCTTTCCCTGATCTGTGCTGGGGACAATTAGGATCTCCCCTGTGTTAGACCACTCTGGAACCTCAGGTGAGGAGCTTAACATCACTAGCCTCAGTTTCCCCCTCTGCAAAGTGGGACTGTGAGCACTGTCATGTTCACACTGTGTCACTTTTCTTCTTTTGCATAACTGCATCGTACATGCAACTCGGATCTTTCTCTTTAGACAAACAAGGATTCAATTCCAGCTCTGACCTCTCAGTGCTGTTCCCCTGTTAAAAGGGGGTAATGCTGTTTACTTCCCAAAGTGTGATGATAAGTGTGCCATCTGTGTATTTGTTACGGGCTTGCTGTATGCCAGGCAACACTCTCAGGGGATACAACAGAATGTGAAAATGGCCCAGCCCCTGTTTGTGTGGAGTTTATTTGTGCTGAACAACCCAACCAATATAAATAAACAGAGTGTATAATGTCAGGCAGGGATAAATGCTAGGCCAAAAATAAATAAATAAATAAAGAGAAGGGTGGGGCCAGAGAGTGGGCAGGAGCTGACACTTTATTTGGGGTGGATGTTTTGTCCTCTTTAAAAGGGTGACATTGGAACAGTGACTGGTATGAAATGAGGAGCAAATAATGCACATTGGGGAGGAACATTCTAGATGGGGGATGGCAGGTGCAAATGTCCTCAGACACAAAGATTTCTATGTGCTCAGGGGGTAGCAAGGAGGTTGATGGGGTGGAGATGTGGCCATAGTCAAATTACTAGGACTTTGTTGGCCATGGTGGGCACTTTGCTTAAATGAGGAAACAGATATTTGAGTCTAGTTTGTCCCCTGCCCTCCCTTGCTTTGCTCCAACCAAACTAGTGGAATTTTTAACTTCATGGCCAGCAACAGTTAGTGCCCTATTGATTTTTAAAAATAGATTAGCTGATTCTTATCTGTGGGCTTGTTTTATCTATGTTCCAAATACCTTGTGATCATTTAGAAAGTACACTCCAGAGATGTTGATTCAGTTTTTGCAATTACCCTGTAAAAAGAAATCGTGGCAGCCTTTCCCTTCCTCTACATGCACCCCACCCTTTCCCCTTCCAAATTCCTTTAAATGTGTGCCTCAGTCTTGGCGAGCATGCCTGATTGCTACACAAACAGAATTAGAACAAAGTCTCTGGGTCAGGGTGAAGGGCTGTTGGGAGATGTGAGAGAGAAAGACCACCAGGGAAGGAGATCTTCAACTCAAGCATGATCCCTAGGATTTCCAAAGAAGCTTGGAATCCAACTAGGAGCTGCTAGGTGATGGGACTAGTCTCTGGTCTGTGTTTTTTGCAAAAGTCCCCAGTCACCAAAAGGTGTCTTTAGTCGGGGGCTAAGGCCATGCAGAGGGAAGGCACATCTGTCAGAGATCTACTAGTAGAGAGATTTCTGATATTTTGCTTGCCTCAGAAGAACAGCTATCCAATTAACAAGGAGATTGAGGGAGGAAGAAGCCATGAATAAACAGTACCCTAGAGAACGCTCACTAAACTCAGGTCAGAGGCTGAAGCGTTTCATCTGTGAGACAGTGAGGCTTGGAGATGGGAGTGTAGGCTTTGGACTAGTTAGGCATGGGCTTGAATCCTGAATCTTGCTCTGCCACTCAGCCACCCTGGGGCCTCAGGAAAGGTGCTGAACCTCAATTTCCCCCTGTGCGAAATAGGGCTAATAACCATTCCTTCTCCCATGGAATTGGGTGAGGATTAAACTCCATGAAGAGTGGTTGGCATAGTCAGTGCACAGTGCTTGGCACACAGTGAGCCCTGGATGTCTGAAAATGATTGTTGCTATCTGAACTGAAAGATAATACTGCTTCATGGCAGAAACAGAACCTGCCCACATAGTCAAGGAGGATGAAAAGTAGTCACCAAGGAATATTTGCTCAACAACACATCAGATTTTGATTTTGGTGTTATTATTGCAATCTAGAGTGAGCTATCCATTGGCTAGTGTTTCCTGGGGTCCTTGGTGTGCGGGGCTGAGAGAGGACAGTTCTGGGCTGCTGGGACAGCTATAATGATTCAAAGAAAAGTGGAAGATTGGAGGTGCTTTGGCAGGAATAACTAATGATAAAATGAATTTAAAACAACCCAAATCTGAGGCAGAATTGTCCTTACTGGCTGTGCCCTCAGGCTTCCTCATCTGCTCTGGGACTGCTTGGGTTGTTGTTCTTCGCTACTGTATCCCACAGTATTGACCTCTCCCTTCCCTCTTCCACCTCTCAGCCGTGTCCTGTCACATGTACTTCTCTCCCTGCCTTAGTTTCCATTTTCTCACCCCTTTCTCTCCTTCTGATTGCCTTTCTTCTTCTTTCTTTCTGTCTCTGTTTTGGATTTGGCAAGTTCCCTTTGGCACTAGACACCACCCTTGCCCAGAAGAAAGTGATTTCTCAATCTTGTGCAATGTGAACTTGAAACCTCCCAAGGGACTGGTGGAGATACACAGAGAGAGAGCCTACCCTTGCAACACCTGAGTCTGTCCTGAGGTGGATCATGCGGGGACCCTAACATGAGAATTGGCATTATCTCTTCAAATAAGAGTCAGTGAGAATAACTCTCCTCCACTACCTCCACATCCCCCACCCCGGTCAGCTTCTTAGCCCTGATCTCCCTGTTTCTCTCCAAGGCCAGCTAGGACAGTTTGCATGCAAGATTCCTGTTCCCTCTTCCCTCCTCCAAGTCAAGAAAAATAAATGCATTTCAAGTGAGTGACACTTTGATCAAGACCCCAATCTCTTGAGACATCTGCTAGAACAAATACCAAACAAGCAAAATCTATTTCCTCCATTGATTTCATTCCAAATCATATAAATGTACCTCAATACAAGCCTAAAATGCTACTCTTTACATTCTAGGCTACCCAGATCTGGTCTCTCCATTAAGCTGGGCTTCTGTGGATTCTTCATTATATGTATTAACTTAGTTTCAGCCGCAAATGGCACAAACTCGAACCAGTAGTGGTTCAAGCAAGTTACAAGTCATTTTTTCATAAAGGAGGTCTGGGGAAAGACAATGAGGGACTGATCCAGAAGCTTTGTGGTATCCCCTGGGACTTGGTTTCTTCTCTCTTTTTTCTCTTTTGCCATTAATGTGTTGTCTTATGGTCTAAAAGGGCTGCTGGAATTCTAACCATTTTATCTCTATTCCAGGCAGCAGGAAGAAAGGGAAAATGCATGCTGGGATAGACAACCAATAGTGTCTGCCTTTATTGGCACTTCTCTATATTTCTTTCTTTTCTTCTGTTCAGATACCCCAGCCTGTGAGACATCATCCCTCACTCCTCAGTATTCTCAGCAAATTGTACATATCATGTTCAGATCATTCCTTGAAGTTAATTCATATTTATTACATTTCTATGACATAGCCTCAGCACCTAGTTTAGCACTGGACACAAAGAATAAAGGTGAATGGTTTTTATCAGGATCAAGAGACACACATACAGGCCTCCCCTGGTGGTGCAGCAGTTGAGCGCTGGGCTGCGAAGTTGCCTGCAGCCTCTGCAGCACGGGTTCGATTCCCGGCTGCAGGAGAGAGTCCCACATGGCATGCAGACCTCTCCTGTCTCACCCGCTGCTCCCCTCAGCAGTGTATTTTGTCAGTCTGCCTGTTCTGTTCCCCGCTCCGGCTCTGGTGAATTCTCTCACCCTCCTGCGCTTCTGACTGTACCCAGTGCTTGTATAAATAAATAAATAAATAAACAAATAAACAAACAAACAAACAAATAAATAAATAAATCTTAAAAAAAAAAGAAACACACATACTTGTTATGTGAAAGATGTGTGGAATTGGACTACAGAGACACAGAGGAGATTACTTAATTGGAGTAGAGAACAGGAAGGTATTCAATGGCAGCACCCACCACAGGGGAGAATATTTGAGCAGGGCTCTGAATGACATACAAGATTATGGCAGGTAGAGAAGAGGACCTTCGGGAGAAAAGTAATCCTCCATGCAATGCAATGGAGGGTGTAAGTTCTTGCTCTGCTGGGCCTGGTACGTTCTCCCTTTTGACTGTGTTTCCAGATACATTGGTTGAATGACAGAAAATGTTGGGCAGTTTATCATTTAACTTGTGCATTTTGCCAAGAACTTGTGCATTTTGCCAAGGAGTTTGACTTTCTTCTTTTATTCTAGAAACTCTTTAATATAAAATTACCTAAGACCCACTTGGTGTGCTCTTTAAAGGTACACCTTTTCTGGTTCCCTCTCCCAGAAATCCTAATTCCATGGAAGTCTAATTTTAATAAGCTCCCTGAGTGATGCAGAAATGTGCAGCATGGCAGCCAGGAACCAATGTTGAATGTCAGCAGATGTAGGAAATGATCAGACTTGGTTTTAGAGCATTCCCTCTGCTGGTGTGTAGAGGGTAGTGTTGTGGGGGCCAGGAATGGAGTCAGAAGACCTGTTAGGAACAATGGGCATGGTTCAGGTGAGAGTCTCTAAGGGTTGACTCTGGGAGGTGACAGTAGATGTGAAGGGCGTTTAGAGAATCATTATGGAAGTGTAAGTGGCAGGACTTGGTGGCATTTGTTTTGGTGGATTGAAAGAAAGAAAGATTGAAAATTATTGATAACTAGGGTTTTTTTAAACTTAGAAGACCTGACAGATGATGAGGCTTTTAAGCAAGCCAGGGAACTGAAGGGAGAAGTACATTTGAGAAGAGAAGAGCTCCACTTGAGCACCAATTAAGTTGGGGTGTCTGGGGCCCTCCACATTTTCCCTTGTATTGCAAGATGTATGTGCACACACTATGCACACAATCACTTCTCCCTTGCTATATTGCAAACTCCTTTACGGTGCAGACTTGACACTTATGATTGGTATTTGACCTCCTAAAATATAGGGTGAGATGGCATAGAATAAGCATATTACTTCTCCTCACTTACTTCCCAAAGAGAAGATTAGTATAACATAGTGAGAGATAAACCCTACTTGTGAAATTGTGAACTGAATAATGTTTCTATTTGCTCTGTGAATCTAGAAGAAATCCAAACCTTTAAACAGAATAAAGATGTGACCCCTTTATAAAACATAACCAATCATGACTTTTCAGTCAAACCTGCCTCAGGTGTTGCTGTTCTACTGCTACACTGCTCAGTTTCCCATATAAACTTGCTTCTTTCTTAACCATGTCCTTGCTTGTAAATCTTTTCAGCATTTGGCCGATACTCCTCTCTTTCTTTGATTTTGGCATCCTGGTTGGTTATAAAATGTTCCTTCTTTGAACATGATAAACAAATAAGTCTTAAAAAAACTTATCAATTTTCAGTGGATATTCATTCTAATGGATCTCTATCCATCTGTCTATCTATTCTGGTCTCTAGCTTTTTCCTCACCTGTTTCAGACTTCCTAGGAAAAGCTAAGCAGGTCCACAAGTGTCCTGTTGGAAACAACCACCGCTTGAGAGAACAGTGACGATTCAGGACCAAGGACAGTGACAATACGATGGTGGGACTCAAGGTTTAGACTTGCTGTCTATAAGAGAGAATTTGCCTGTCACAGGTGCTCCATAAACATACATCAAGTTGAAAATATGAGAAGTTAATATGCATTTTCTAAATTTAGCATAAGCTTTTCAATATAAATATCACGCTAGCTCTTTCAACTTTGTGTGCATTAATTAGCTATTATTTTCCTTCTACCACAGGTTACAGAAAAAAATGTTGATCCTGAAACAATGCTCTTACCATATCTGAGGAAGAAGCGTATCCTTTGCTTTGCTTTGAGTTTGTATGTATGTGTGTATAACTCTTATGTCTTCATCAAGTGATATTTCAAATATCGTTTTAAAACCACACTGAATCATTTTCCCGACGATTAGGGTTTTATGCTTATCTTTGAGAAAGTCCTACATCTTAGTTTTGTGGGCAGTGCTAACTGTGACTTATCAGAAGAACCAAGTACTTTGTAACCTGTGTCTCAGAACTAAATATATTGTACAAAATGAAGAAATAATGGGAATTAAAGCAATGGAAATCAAATGAAGCTAATTAAACATCTTTCAGAATTAAGAGTCACAATATTGATATCCTGTCTTAAAGAACTAATCATCATGCCTATTAGAAAAAAGAGGGCCCAAAATTAACCTGAAATAAAAGTCAAGAACAATGGAGAAATTAAAAGGTTACCTTAGGAAAACTTTCTAAAAGTGTCATCTATGGAATGGATTCCTAGCCTCCTGTGCATGAACTCCAATGGGCTTCCTGAGATCTATAGACCCTACTAAATTATATGTAAAATTGCAAGGCTATCTGAGTTTGTGCATTTTTTTTCTTCTTGGAGTGAAATTTCTAAAAGAGTACACAACTTAACAAGCATTAGTGCTATCTTCTGAAGGTCATTCATGATCTTTGGACATAAAAACAATGAAAACCAATTTCCTGGTTATCCTTGATACCAATGGTATATTTAAGATTGTGTTCACTGGTAGGTGACAGAAGATACCAAATAGCAGTAAACAAGATAGAAGTTTATTTCTTTCTAACTTTGTTAGTTCAGGTTCTCTGGGAAGCAGACACCACAAGATGGGATTAAATGTGCAGTGTTTTATTAGGAAAAAAAAAACCTGAGTGAAAAGAAATAGGAAGGGAGCCAGAGAAGGATCAGGGAGCCATTAGATCACAAAGCAAGTCTGACCTAGAAATAAGAAAGGGAGAGAGGGTTGAATGGAGGGAATCTTAGATTTCTGTACTGTCTATCACAAGTTCATCACATCCATCGGGCATGGTTGACAAGGATGCCCATATTTCCATGGCACAGAGCCATCATTTAGGAGCAGCCCACCCATAAGACATGGCCTTAATGACAAATGGAGCGATAGAAATCAAAGTGCAGCAGCTGTGGCTCTTGGCCAATTACCCTCCCTCTTGAAGGAGGTCTGTGAGGCATATTTTCTTGGCTGTCCTATTCATGTGTAGGTAGGTAGTAAATACTTGGAATACTTGTATCATATTATCCATGTCTGCCATATTTCTCTGCTTCCCAGTGACAGAATCTTCTAATTATTTCCCAATATCTGTTCATCTGTTCTCTCAATCTTAGTAAAAGATTGTAAAGATAGTAAAGATAGTAAAGCACTATCACAACATTATAAGGGATGGAAGCTCATTCTATGTTGCTTCTCCACCCTCTCAGCATGCAACTTTCTCCTCATGATTCCAGATGACTGATTGAAGTCCAGACATCACATCTGAATTCTAGAAAATAGGAAGAAGGAAGTGATGAAGGGAACAACCCCTTCCTTTTGAGGACATTTCCCTTCTGAATTGCATGCACAATACTTATGCCCACATTAATCAAAATCATTAATGACCCTGACCCCAACCAGCTGCAGAAGAGAGTGGGAAAATGTATTTTTTTAAAATTCTGCACAACTATGTATATAGCTAAAAATGGAGCTTTCTATACAAAGGAAGATTGAGAGAACAGATGAACAGATATTGGGAAATAATTAGAAGATTCTGTCACTGGGAAGCAGAGAAATATGGCAGACATGGATAATATGACACAAGTATTCCAAGAATTATTTGCAATCTGACATCTTTCCATGTATGTTATCAGAGTCACAGATAATGGTGAGAACAAATATACAATGTACTCACACTTCCAAATACTAAATCCCTTCCTTGGGGGGGGGGTTCCCTCTTTTTTGGCAACCTGGGGTCCAGGTTTTTTTTTGAAAGGGGAGAAATAAGTTATAACACAAAAATAGAAATCAAGAATTTACAAAATTCTAAATAATAGCAGTAAAGACATATACATCCTTTGATAACTATGGATTGAATTTAATCATATGTTTAAGAATCTTTGATGGTATTGTATCCTGAAGTCAGTTCTATTCTAGAAAGACAATTATGGAGAACACATTATCTTTAACTATGCATTTTCCAGTCCGACTCACAGGAACCAAGTATGGCTGCGGAGGAGGAGGCTGTGGTGCCTGCACAGTGATGATATCACGATATAACCCTATTACCAAGAAGATAAGGTACCTTGTAGCAAAATCCAGATCTGGTTGATTTTTTACAGTTTTGAACTTTGTTTTAAGCATCATCATTTGGTAAATATCCAACGAGCACCTACCATGTGGTAGGAATTGTGATAGCATTAGGAATACGATGATAAGCGAGATAGACAAGAATACGAATGGGTTAGGAAAAAAATGTCCTGTCAGTGAAGATAATATTTGGTCCAAGGATTCCCTCGTGAAAGTTGAAAGACTGTCTGACACCCTGTGCTGTCTGGGGAGGAAAGGGAGGACTGAAATGACAGCGGAGCTATCATCACACCAACATATTACTATCAAGCCTGCTAACTGATGCTGCTTTCACCCACCTCCCTACCCCTCAGAGTGCATTCTCTATTCTGTGTTATGAAGGCTATACTAATGGAATTTAGTTTGAGTTTCTTTACATACTCAGCATCTGATGAATTTTTTAAAAAGATTTATTTATTTGTTTGTTTATTTATTTTTATTTATTTATTAATTATACAAGCACTGGGTACAGTCAGAAGTGCGGGAGGGTAAGAGAATTCACCAGAGCCAGAGCAGGGAGCAGAGCAGGCAGAAGGACCAAAGTACACTGCTAATGAGGGGATGAGTGGGCAGCAGGAGAGGTCTGTGTGCCATGTAGGACCCTTCTCCAGTGGCCGGGGAGCAGCCGGGGATCGAACCAGCGCTGCAGAGGCTGCGGGCAGCTTCGCAACCCAGCACTCAACCGCTGCGCTACCAAGGAGGCCCTGATGAATTTTTTTAAAACTGTGGTTATGTAGTTTATATGGCTTGGTTTTAGAGTAAAGGTCTTTTATGACTTTCTACATTTGAACTGAGAGCTCTGTTATCTTTGAATCAATATTCAAACTTCTGACCCTTACCACTACCTACCTTGCTCCTGCCTGTCTCTCAACGTTGAATCCTACCACTCCCTTTGTACGGATTATGCTCCAGCCTTCCCGGTCTTCTTTTTGCCCTTCTTTCTGTCCCGAAGCTTATTCCTGCCTCAGGACCTATGCATGTATTGTCCCTCTGCCTGTCCTTCTATTTCTTCTATAACTTTTCATATCCACCTCCTTGAAATCATTTAGGTTCAGCCAAAATGTCCCATTGTCAATCTTTCCTGATAACCTCCTATGTAACCATGTCTACCTCACTTCTGTAGCTCCCTATTCCCTTAGCCTATGTGAATTTATTTATAGCACTTCTCACATCGAATTTATGTGTGTGTGAGTGTGTATGTGTGTGACATCTATGTGCATGTGTGTTGTCTCTCTTCCCTCAACTAGAATCAAGAATGTGTCTGCAAAGGCAGGGATTTTATTTACCTTATTTGCTAATGAATCTGAGCACGTGGAACTCTGCCTGGCACATAGTACTCAATAAATATAATATTTACATTTATTTATAAATGAATAATATCCTTTCAATCTTTATTTTTTGTGTGTATTCATATAGAAACATACTACCTATACCATTTAGGAACTTGTATATTTTGCTTAACTTCTCATGAATATTTTTCAAATAATAAATATAAGTTTAATGATTATGTACCTTCAGTGGTTCAGGTGTGTTAAACTGATCTACAAATAGTGGTCGCTTATTCTTAACTTTTCATTATCATCAATGTGGCAGTAGAATTCATGAATATATTTATGTCTGTTACTATTTCTTTATGACACATCTTTAAAGTTAGAATTGCAAGGTAAAAGAATATATGCATCCTAAAGATTCTTATGCATTCCAGTGAAATGTCTCACAGAAAAGTATTATCAATTTTTAGTTTTATCAGCATTATATGAGTTTCATTTTCCCAAACCTTTACTAAAAGTGGATACTATAATTTTAAAACATCTTTGTCATTTTCTTGATAAAAATGGTGTTCTTCATTGCTTAATTTGAATCTCCTTTGATTGCTTTGGAAGCTGAACATTAGTTTCATGAATTTATTGATTATTTATCATTCTTGTGGCAAATGAGAACATTTTAGGAGTCATTTTAAGTTGGACATTTTCTAACAGTAGGCTCATGGGCTTGAGGAGTGCTCCCACACTATATGTCTTTTTCTGAAGCACAATCTGCTTCATTTTACTGCCCAGCCAAACCCTGACTCAGCATCAGCCTGGAAGATGGAATGTGCTCTAGGTAACTGGTCACATGTGACTGGAAAGGAAAATGCCAGGCCCTCACTCAAGAGGAAAAACAAAGACAGGGGAAACTGTTCTAGGGTTAGAATTGGGAGGCCTGAATTGAATCCCATCTCTGACACTCCAGCTGACTGAGCAGATCACTTTGAGTGTAGATCTTACTTCTCTAGAATGAGCTAAGGAGAAAGAAATCTGTGCCAGACCTGGGACATCATACATAGCCAAGTGTTGGAGGTGCTCAGTGAATGCTCTGCCCTTCCCCACTGGATACAATGTAATTTGTGCTTCCTTTGGCTTTTCAAAGGCATTATCCAGCCAATGCTTGTCTGACCCCTATCTGCTCTCTGTATGGGGCTGCCATCACCACCGTAGAAGGCATAGGAAGTACCAAGACCAGGATTCATCCTGTTCAGGTGAGAATGTACCTCTTCTTCACAAGGTTTCTGAAGAAATGGGGTATGGGATGCAAAAACCATTAATACATGGATGGAGCTGGAGGGGATTGATTACGCTAGCTCAAATAAGTTAGAAGGAAAAGGAAATATCAGCTGTTCTCACTAAACAAAAGTTGAAGAGAAAGTTAAAACTAGCAAGCTGACCATAGATCTGAGGCATACAGCAAGCAAGAGGGAGGGGGTCGGAACAGGGGAGGGAAGAACACAAGGGAATATGGTGATGGTTCACGGGTGATATGGTGGCAGGAGAACTGTGGGAACTACAACGATGTCAGAAAAAGATAATAAGAGAAAACATTATTAATGATGTGATGAGTTCCTGCTATTAACAGAGGGGAGTAGTCTGGCTCTGCTGCTTGGTTACTGCCAACAGATGAAGCTGTGCTGGGGGCCAAGGGTGAAAACTGGAATGTGTGGGTATTTGTGATTGGAAAGATGCTTTTGGAAGATCAGAGGATTTTATCTTTATTAAGAAACCTAACAGCCACTGGGTCTGTTTTCTATGTTCTAATCAAACGGGATTTGTCTATCTCACCACTTCCAAACTCAAACAAAAGAGAATTACAGGCACCAAGGGATCTAATTTTGTTCATATATACGTACATATCTGTGTGTGTATAGTGTATATACATATGCATATATATTATATATATAATGGAAAACAACATGATTTTAAATCTGAACTGAAACCTCAGCTACTAAAAATATTTGTTAAATTCAAGGTTTATTCAAAGACAAATAATATGAGTTGTCAGTAAATGTTGAGGCTTAGACAGCACCCTGTTATAGCTCTGCCTCAAGTGGATGGGCATTCAGACTCCTGACTCTTTAAATCCTGTATTCATTGCCCATAGAAATGTTACTGCTACTTGTTTTTATCGCTGTTAATGGGAGTCACTTGTAAGGAGAGTGGATGAGAGGGAATATGGGGGCAACATAGAAAATAGCTAAACTTCAAATTCTCTGGGCTTGAAGGAATCTTGGGTTATGTTTGTTTTTTTATGAAATCTTGCCTGTAAATCTTGTGAGTCTTCACTTTTCATAGGCATGAAAACACCTTTCATTAAGTACCCTCTGCTGAGCACCTATGGTGGCAATGTAGCCAGACAGCTTCCAAAATGGGGTTGTGCCTTTGAAGCCAGACTTCAAAGCACAAGTGCTGGGGAGTAGGGGAAGTTTAGAAGAGAAATAAAGGGAGTTTGTTGCCTCTGGATTGTTTTCTGAGGATCCTTTGGAAACAAACACCCGTGTGCCAAAGCTGTAAGGCAGTAGCAGGCAGTGAGAAAGCACTGGGGAAATCCTTGAAGTAGTTTTTTCTCTTTCTGAACTCAAGTTTAATTTGGTTCATTTCTCTGAAGAATTTCCAGGGAATAACCTTTGTCTCAGTGATTCCCATTCTGGACTATAAATTGAAACCACCTGGGAATTTTTTTTTAAACTTGTGTCTGTGCCCCGCTCCCAGAATTTCTAAGTCAATAGCTCTGGGGTGTTGCTTGGGCTCTGGAAATTTTAAAGTGTCCCTGGTGGTTGTGAGGCTTAGAACTGTTAATGAAGTGCAAAAGCTGGGGAGGACCAGTATTTGCAATCCCCCAGCCCAAGAAAGAAAGACCACTAGCTTGAGAAGAATTTTCTGGGGCCTCTTCTCTAACCTTATTGTGTCTACACATCTCCTAGGGATTTTGTCTAAAGGGAGGTTCTGATTTAGTAGGTATGGGATGAAACCCAAGATTCTGCAGTGCTAAACTTTGTGTGCTTCCAGGAGAGAATCGCCAAGTGTCATGGCACACAGTGTGGATTCTGTACCCCGGGGATGGTGATGTCCATTTACACCCTGTTGAGGAACCATCCGGAACCCACACTGAATCAGTTAACTGATGCCCTTGATGGTAAGATGTGTGTGTGTGTGTGTGTGTGTGTGTGTGTGTGTGTGCGCGCGCGCGCGCGCGCGCGCGCATGCGTGCATGCACACGCTTACATTTATGATGATGATGTGAGGTAATAATGGGCACCTACCACATTCCATAAACTGTACTAAATGCTATAAAGATGATTTCCCTTACTCTTTACAATAAATGTATTGAGATAAGCAATATTCACATTTCAGAGATGGAAAACTCAGGTTAAGAAAGAGCAATTTGTCCAAAGTTATCCCACCAATCAGCAGAGGAGTTGGTCAAATCAGGAATCAAGCAAGATCCACACATTTCATTTGGCTGATGTATTTCTTATGTCTTTGTATATAAGAATCTCGTTCATTTTTTATTGTTTGCTTAATTTTTGTAATCATTACAAAGCTAGTTTATTTACTCTTAGAGAGAATCCAGTTTTCTCCATGTACTGCCCTTTCACCCTGCTCTCCCCTGTTGGGTGGCTCTCTCAGGACCATATTAAGTATCAGAGGCTCTTGAATACAACGTGGAATCAAGCAGACTCAGGTCTTTTGGTGACAGTGTTTCAAAGAATTGTCTTTAGTGCTATTTTATCAAGTTCAGGAACTCAGTGTGTATGTGAGTACAGGAAAGCTCCATTAATAAGATTTTAAATAATGAAAAAAAATAACAGCCTACCTTCCAGGTCCTATTTCTGATTAAACCTTTCATGGCTCATTTTGTCTTCATCTCCTGCTTCTGCAGACCTCTCTCTGCTAGAGAACATGAGCCTAAAGCCCAGGTGTGCAGGTCCTCTGCAAAATCATTCCAGGGAAGACCAGAGAGACGCAGCATATAAACCACCTTCTGCCTGATTTCCTTTAGGTCTTATTATGCATTTGATTCCATGATTGCTTATCACACGAACAAGGGACAAAACACTCTCAAATTTGAGAGTGCTTGTTTTACATGGAGTGCTTGTAAAAAATGAAGATTTCTGGGGCTTAACTCCAGAGAGCTTGTTTCCAGTGGCTTTGTATTTTAAATATAATAAAGCATTTGGGAGTGGAAGGAGAATGTAACATTTGGGCCACTGTGAAAGAAACACTGGTCTTGTGATTTAAGTTGCATTTCAGTGCTTCCTAAGTTTAATAATTACCTTTCCTGTTATATAAGGCCTTTGATATCTCCATCAACTGAAAATTAGCAGTTGAATGTAATTCTAGACCAAGAATCTTGGGCTTGAAATCATTGTGTTCTTTGAGCACCTGTCACAGGACAGGATATGAAAACTTTCACAGAGAGAAAATACAAGCAGTTGAGTTGTTAAGACTCTCAACTATCCCAAGTTGCTGACCAAAAAATCTGACTTTAAACATTAGTTGGAGTAAAATGTCAACAGGGGGCCTCCCCGGTGGCGCAGCGGTTGAGTGCTGGGTTGCGAAGCTGCCTGCAGCCTCTGCAGTGCTGGTTCAATCCCCGGCTGCTCCCCTGACACCAGAGGAGGGTCCCACATAGCACGCAGACCTCCCCTGCCACCCGCTGCTCCTCTCAGCAGTGTGCTTCAGTCCTTCTGCCTCCTCTGCTCCCCACTCTGGCTCTGGTGAATTCTCTCGCCCTCCCGCGCTTCTGACTATACCCAGTGCTTGTATAAACAAACAAACAAATAAATAAATAAATCTTTAAAATGTCAACAGGGCTTCTTTCTGGGACAGGATCCTCTGTCCATCCTGCATTGGCAGGCTGTGAATCTCTCTAGCTTATGTGAGTAACAGAGCTGGGTGTTTCTCCTGCAGGTAACCTGTGCCGTTGCACTGGATACAGGCCCATAATTGATGCCTGCAAGACTTTCTGTAAAGTAAGTAGAAAGGAACATGGTACTGAATGTACTTTCTCCCCCAGTGAAAGGAAACAGCATGGCTTGTCAGGTGTGATTATGGGAACTGTTGTTATTAATTAGAGGTCGGGCTTGTCCCAGGTCTGTAGTTCCTGCTGTTAGTTAATCTCGAGCAGGGCACTTACTCTCATGCACCAAACTTGCCCCTGAGCACCCAAGCTCCTTGACATTGGCTGTGATGCATTGTTCAGGGGGCCTTTCCTGAGCTGGGGTGCCCTGCCCCACTCTCCTGCAGCCCTTTGGTCACACTGTGGTATGGTGGTCCACTTGCTCTTCTGTCTCTTCACCAGACAGCGAGATGCCAGACTGCAGAGGCAGTTCCTGTGCAGGGCTGGTCACCAGGCACAGAGGGAGCCGCGGCTTAATCAATATTGTTGAATGAATAGATGACAAACAACTTTGAGATGAGGGACATAAGATTGCCCTTTAGAAGTTAAACTATGAAATCAGCACATTCAAATAAGAATAGAATAATCTAATGCTTGTTAATATTTATATGTTTATTGCTATGTTGCCAGACTTGCTATAAGATCTTTCATGTTAATTTATTTCATAACCACTGCTATTCAAAATTTTTCATAAGCTTAGATTTCTTTTTTTTAAAGATTTATTTATTTATGCATACAAGAACTGGGGTGTAAGCCAGAGGTGCGGCGGGGGGTGGGGGATGAGGTTGAGAGGATTCACCAGAGACAGAGTGGGGAACAGAACAGGTGAGTTGACTGAAATACACTGCTGAGGGGAGCAGCTGGCGAGACAGGAGAGGTCTGCTGCACCATGTGGGTCACCTCTCTGGCTGGCTAGATGGAACACTTGACCTCAGTGACTGGTGATAGCTTGATAGCATTGAGACTTTAACCCCTGCACAACCAAGGAGACCCAAGCTTAGATTTCTTATTAGAAGTTAGTTTGGACATGGTTGAGTACATGTGGCTCTCTTTCATAACATTTAGTAATACCTATTATATATTACATTTCAACTAATAGTCCACTGTTTAATGTAAAACTTAGTAGAAGGGATTTTGTTTCCTGGCTGGGCTCCAGCATTCATCTTCAGCTTCAGAAATCAGCCCTGAAGACAAGCTCCCTTCTGAGGCCAGACCAGCTGCCTTCCCAGCTAGGTGCCAGATGTGAATCAAGGCTTAGGCCAGAGGGGGTTGACATCAACAGAATGGTGAGGTGGGAGTTTTACTTGCTTCTTCCTAAAGAATACCAATTTTGACAATCACCCATGGACGAGAGTGCCTGGAGAAAAGTCTGGGAAGCCAGTGAAGATGTTTTTGTGTGAAAAATCCAGCATTGGATGTTTTAGAAAGGTTAGTTTTCCTCTCCAAGGGGTCACAGCTTATGCCAAGAGGGACTTTGTCAGTCCATGATTTCTTCTACAGGAAACAGTGAGAGTATATGAGTGAGTTCCCAGTTTTCACCAGAGTGTGAAGATCGTGTCAGATAGGCCCATTTTTTCCCACCCCATCCAGATACTGAGGTGTGTTGTGTGACTATGGGGCAGGGAGGGACAGGGACAACAGCAGCCAGGGTTTGCACTGGGTGTCAAAGTGACATGGATCCTTCTCTGAGGACTCTCAGTCCACCCATGAGCTGTTGGGAACACCTTGCATGTAGATCCCCCTACTGGCCCATGGTACTGCCAATGCTCTGTGTACATCATTCTCACACACCCCTACCCAGTGACTGGTTTCCTGAGCCTGCCCTAAGGGTAGTGAGTGCAGTTTGGCTATTAGCACTCACAGAAAGTTGCCAGACTTTCTTTGAGAGTAGCTTGAGCCTAAAGCAATGCCATATGGAAACAAGTAGGAAGCTGTCAGCACCTGGCAGGGCTTTGCAGAATCAAGGTGGGTGGGGGGCAGGAAAAGGAGGGATTGGGGTCAAAATAAGGGGGTTACAATTGTATGGAGAATATAAAATAAAATTAAAATTAAAAAAAAAGAAATACCCATCTCCCCTGCCAAAAGAAGCAAGAAGTGTGGAGCAAGCATATCCAAAGAAAGGGTCTGAGGAGGCCTCAGGATCCCTAGTAGGGATGACAGAACATATTTTTCTCTGAAAGCTTCTCAATAAAGACTGAAGGGGATGATTGCCTCTTCAAATGTGAAGAAAGTAATGAAAAACTTCAAAGAACATAAAAATCAAGGGAACATGATAGTACCAAAGGAACACAGTAGTTTTCCAGAAACAGGCTGTAAAGAATTAGAGATCTGCTTTCCCCAACAACAAATTCGAAACAGCTGTTTTAAGGGAAGCTCAGAGAACAAGAAGACAACACTGAAAGACAGTTCAGTAAAATCAGGAAAACAATATCTGAACTTTTTTCAGAGAAAAATGGTACTAATTTAAAAAGAATCAAATAGAAATTCTGGAGCTGAACACAATGAATGAAATCTGGAACAAGATAAGGATGCTCATGGTCACCACTTTTGTTTAACACAGTACTGGAAGTTCTAGCCAACCAGTTAGGCAAGAAAAAGAAATAAAAGCTACCCAAACTAGAAAAAAGTGGTGAAATTGTTTCCATTTACAGATGACAATCATCTTATACATAAAAAACCCAAAAGACTTCAGAAAAAGAAAAAAAATGTTAGACTTAATGAATTCAGTAAAGTTGCAGGATACAAAATCAACATCCAAAAATCAATTGCAATTGTAGACATTTGACAACAAAACTATCAGGAAGAGAAATTAAGAAAAGAATCCCACTTACATCAAAAACAATACAATACTTAGGAATAAATTTAACCAAGGAGGTGAAAGTCAAAAGATAAGTGTTGGCAAGGACAGGAGTAAAGAGAGCCCCTATGCACTGTTGCTGGGTATAGGAATTGGTACAACCACTCTAGAAAACAGTATGGAAAATAGAACTACCATAAAATCCAGCAATTCTATGTCTGGGAATATAGCTGAAGGAGAAGGAATCAGTACCTTGAAGAAATATCTGCATACACCCATGCTCATTACAGCTTTATTTATAATAATCAAGATATGGCAACAAACTAAGTATTGACAGACTTAAATATTTCACATCATTATCCACCTGTGTGTGTATACTTATACATACAAACATATATATTATATATAAATATATAATATATTCGAGACAAAAGGAAATCCTGCCATTTGAAACAACTTGGATGAATCTACAGGACATTATGCTAAGTTGAAATTAGCCAGAGAATGACAAATACTGTATGATCTCACTTATGTGTGGCATCTAAAGAAGAAAAATTGGGCCTCCCTGGCAGTGCAGGGGTTAAAGTCTCAGCGCTATCAAGCTATTGCCAGCCACTGAGGCAAGTTTTCGATCCCTGCCCAGGAGGTGACCCACATGGTGCAGCAGACCTCTCCTGTCTCGTTCACTGCTCCCCTCAGCAGTGTATTTCAGTAGGTCTGCCTGTTCTGTACCCTACTCTGTCTCTGGTGAATCCTCTCCGTTCTTCTGGCCTACACCCCAACTCTTATATGCATAAATAAATAAAGTAAATCTTTAAAAATAAATACATAAATAAGAAAAATTAAAGTTGAACTAATAGAAACAGAGAGTAGGATGGTAGTTACCAGAGACTGGTAACTATAGTTAATAATACCATGTGCTGAGAGGAAACCTCAGGTGTTCTCACCATAATGGTAACCAAGTGAGGTGATGGATTAACCTGATTGTGGTAGTCATTTATTCATGTATTTATTTTTTAAAGATTTATTTATTCATACAAGAACCAGCCAGATGTGTGGGAGGGTGAGAGGATTCACAGACAGAGCGGGGAGCAGACCAGGCAGATTGATGAAATACTCTGCTGAGGGGAGCAGCGGGGTGAGACAGGAAAGGTCTGCCGCACCCTGTGGGACCCTCGCCAGCTGGCCAGTATCAAACTGGCGATGCAGAGGCTGCAGACAGCTTCACAGTGCAGCGCTCAATCGCCTGTGCCACCAGGGGAGGCCCTGATTGTGGTAGTCATTTAATAGAGTATATATATATGCCAAACATCACATTGTACACTATAAATATATACATTTTTTGTCCATTATACATCAATAAAACTGAAAGAAATGCTCAATATTAATTACCGGTTATTTGTTTTTTTTAACCTGTTAGACATCTGGCTGCTGTCAAAATAAAGTAAATGGAGGTTGCTGTTTAGATCAAGGGATGAATGGATTGCCAGAATTTGAAGAAGGAAATAAGGTCAGTGAAATGTTTTAGGTTATTAGCTTTTCTCAGGATATGAACATTGATCAGCTTACTCTTAGGAAGAATAAACAACTGACCAAGTTGACTAATTTGAAGGGTTTCAACATGTCCCTTCTTTCATTCTTACTCCATCTCCATTAAAAAAAATTCTATTTTAACAACTTCATTCCTCATCCCAGATATTCATCTCATTCAAATATATCCCTTTAGGAGAAAGACATTGATCCCTTAATGTCTCTGTTTAAAACAAACAAACAAACAAACAAAAAAACCTTTTTCAAGGGTCAGAAGCAAAGCAGGATCTATAGGGAAATAGAAGAACAGATGGAGGGAGCAGTGAGAGGAGACAGGCTTTCAGGAAAATAATCTTGCTTTTCCTTGTGCTGGTGCTACTGCCTGCCTCCTCCGCTTTCCCAGGCTCCAAAGAGGATGTGCAGAGAGTGAGGGCTTTCGGGGTCCATTGACATCTGCCCTGAGTCTCTAATGACCTGTCGTGTTAGAGACCTTGACTTTGAGCCGAGGGGTTGAGGTTGACCCCTTGACCTTTCTCAGTCTACCATCTATCCGTATTCTCCAATATCCTTTCACAATAGATTGAAAGTGGTAAGATCTGTCCAATAACAATAACTTCTGCTACTTTCTCTTTTAAAGATAAATGCAAAACTCTTCTCAGAAGAGGAGTTTCTGCCATTGGATCCTTCTCAGGAGCTGATATTTCCTCCTGAGCTAATGGTAAGTAAGGCCAAGTTGAGCTCGTCCTAGAGGAATTCATGGTGAAGTGTCAGGAAGCATATTTGCTTGGGGGTCTCTCAGGCGCTGACTAGTAAATAGGTAATACCCGAGGTCTAAAGACCATGGACTCAGGTAGGGATGGCGATGCGGGTGGGGTCACCACAGGGCTGTGGCTTGTAGCCAGCAGCAGGTGTCTATAGAAAGTCCTGAAATGACATCTCCACATTCTTAGATGTAAACATGTTTTTCTCCTTTCAGCTTTGCTGACATTTACTGTTCCTTAGACTGATTTGACAAAATTAAGCATGTAAAAATATGCTTAGGCATTACTGAATTCCTTTGAACTATAAAAGCACCACAGGGAGAGACATGGGAACAGTCTCCTGAGGAGTAGGCAATATTGTTATACTTTTGTCCTGATCTCTGGGCCCTCGTAACACTCTACTTTTAGGTCATTTTTATTTTTTAGAATGATCTCTATTTCCTTTCTCTATTCCTAGAAAGATAGAGCAGAAACAGGAGGACATGTTGCCATGACTTAATATAGAATCTAATTTTCAACAGATAATGGCTGAGAAACAACCACCAAGGGCCAGAGTTTTCAATGGTGAGAGGATGACATGGATTTCCCCAGTGACTCTGAAGGAACTTCTAGAAACTAAAGTCCAGTATCCTCAGGCCCCTATTGTCATGGGGAACACTTCTGTGGGTATGTAGAACTGTAGGAACTTCTGAGGAAATGGAGAAATACTTTGGGAGGAAAGGACCTCATTTATGCATGTTCTCAGGAAAAGCAGCCAGAAATAGCATTCCTCATCATTTAGACCCGGCTTCCTGAGCATGGCTCAGGAGACTTTCACAACTTCCGTTACAAAAGTAAATACCTATTGCCCCTAATCAGAGCAGTACCAAGAGTTGCCCCCAGGAGTCCCTCTCTCTAACAAATCAGACAGCTGCCCTGGCTTTCCATGTGGAGATTGATCTGGGACTTGTATTTAAAATTGCTGCCTGTTTCCTCCCTTACTGGTGTCTCAGTAGGTATATTATGTTTTCTTTTCTTTTTTTTTTTTTTTTGGCGTTGAAGAACTGGGGTGTTGGCTAGAGGCACAAGGAGGTGAGAGGATTCACCAGCGACAGAGTGGGGAGGAGAATGGGCTGATTTACTGGAATACACTGCTAAGGGGAGCAGCAGGCGAGACAGGAGAGGTCTGCTTAGCTTTATGTGGGTCAGCTCCCTGCCTGGATATCTAAATCAGGCTGTTGTGGTGGGCCGTGGTGGTGATAGTACTGAGACTTAACCCCTAAGCCACCAGGGAGGCCCTATTGTGTTTTCTTAAACGGAAGTTATAGGGTCTTTCTATTGTAGCTATTGTAAACTCACTTTGACTGCCTGCTACTTTGAGGAGCCACCTCAAGTCTCCCAAAAGAGAATTTTAAATACATTACAAGTTGTCTTGAACTCAACAGGCAAGTTTTCAGGCTTTTCAGGCGAAAAGCCTTCCACGTCTAGTGAAAACCCATGTGGCCATTCTCTGTATGTGTGACTTGGCAGTGAACAGAGAGCTAGAAAGACTTGTAATTGTTATATATTTAAAGGCACTGGTTTTAATCACAATTTCAAAATGTAAAGGGTGGTTAGCCCCCTTTTATCCTAGTCTTATTTTTTTTTTCTGATCATTTAGGGCCTCAAGTGAAATTTAAAGGTGTCTTTCACCCAGTTATAATTTCTCCTGATAGAATTGAAGAATTAAATGTTGTGGATTGTGCACATAATGGTGAGTCCTTAAGGGCCCTGTTTTCTTATTTTAAAAACATAAATCAGTTTGTCTCCTTTGAACAAAAAACAAAGAGTTATTCCTAATAAAAGTATACAGAGGTTTTTCTGTGTATTATAATGATAACCTAGAGGAGGGTCAGGGGAAAATTTTCTGTAGGTACAGAAACACCCATTGTCTAAACAGTTATATTTTTATTGAAAAAAACTTTTATTTGCCATATCAGAGCAATGTAACAAGTACATATAAAGAGTACCCTCCTGCCCCCGATATAAGATAAAGAGGAGAAAAACTGCCTTTATGTATTAAACAGCTTGCAGACTGGCTTTTCCATTCTCATAGAGTAAATTCATTTAATGGCAATGATGAAAAGCAGTATAAATGTCAGTCTGGTATCTGCGGTCTAATTCTTGACAATATCATGTATTAGCTCCAAGGACTTAGAGAACTTATGTAACTGATTCTGTTTTTTCATCTGTAAAATGGGGCTTTTAATGTTTCAAAGCTTTGATAGGATCCAAGGAGACTCTGTGAAGTGTTCTACTCTGTAATTGACACAATGAGTGTTCAAAAATTGTAGCTCCATTGGCACCACCACTACCATCTCCATCACCATCACTGCTGCATATTCCTACCACCATTGCCACCACCTCCTGCTATTCTCCATCGACATCTCCACCACCACCACCAACAACAAGCAGGGCAGCATCCTGCTTCCTATTGAGCAGGAAGTTCCCCTATGTGTAACCTGTGTCCAGTGGACAAGTGTAAGTCAGCAGTGACCACATTACATTATTTACAAGTGATTGTATTTCAGGGCTGACCTTAGGTGCCGGCCTCAGCCTGGCTCAAGTGAAGGACATTCTGGCTGATGTGATCCAGAAGCTTCCAGAGGAGAAGACACAAACATACTGTGCTCTCTTGAAGCACTTGGGAACTCTGGCCGGGGCCCAGATCAGGAACATGGCTGTATGTATTAGATGGCTTTGGTGTCACCCTGGGGTGACTGTCCCGGACAAATTATGATATTTTTACTCTTTCTAATAGACATAAAGAATATTTCTCCAAAATACTGCTTAATTCTTATTTTATCCCTTGTATTTTAATAATTACAACTGTTGTGCAAACAATTCACTATTTTATAGTCCTTAGGTGGCCACATCATGAGCAGGCATCTAGATTCAGATCTGAATCCCCTCCTGGCTGTGGGCAACTGCACCCTCAACGTGCTATCAAAAGGTAAGTGGTAATTCCGTGGGAGTTATGAAACCTGCTCATGGTTTTTTTTTTTTATTTTTTTTTAAGATTTATTTATTTATTTATATAAGCACTGGGTTAGAAGCATGGGAGGGTGAGAGAATTCACCAGAGAGAGAGCGGGGAACAGAACAGGCAGACTGATGAAATACACTGCTGAGGGGAGCAGCAGGCGCCGCAGGAGAGGTCTGTCGCGCCATGTGGGACCCTCGCCAGCTGGCCAGGGATCAGACTGGTGCTGCAGAGGCTGCGGGCAGCTTTGCAGCCCAGCGCTCAACCACTGTGCCACCAGGGGAAGCCCAAAACCCGCTCATCTTATCTCTTGTCTCTGGAGACTCAGGAAGTCTAGTTTTGAGAATAGCTATTCCTTACAATAGTAACAGTTCTCTCTGCCTTTCTGGAGCCTGGAAAGTTCAGCAGTCTGGGTCTAATCCCACACACTCCCAATGTCTTCACCTCTTTCTCTTTGAAACTTGTGCTAGATATTTTCCTGAACTGGTCATCCAACATCAAACACACTTGTGTTGGTTAGTTGCTGTGTTGGTCAGTGTCCCAATGTGCCTGTAGGCTGTTGAGACGCTCTATGCCCTTTGGTACAGGACTTCCTCCAGGTGCAACAGGAGTGTTGTGACCCTGTAACATGTCATGTACTCTACCCAGTCATTCATTGAAGGCGGCAGGTCCTTTTCTTTTTGATTGGGCTTCATTCTACATTTATTTACTTGCGTTTTGGTTTTGAAACTGAGTTCAGCAATTTTAATTTATTTCTTGCATTCCAACTTGGTCAACAATTACTAGAAAGTCCTATTTCATCCTCCATAATTTTTTCCCATTAAAAAATATGAACTAGCTTTCCATTACCTCCACTCTTAAATATCTGTTCTTTATATCATCTCAATCACAAAACTATTTTAAAGAGGAAAATTTGCATGCAGAGTTGTCAGTTTAGGAAACATCCCTTGAAAAAAAATCATATAATGGCAAACAGTTTTGTGATGTGAAGATGAACATCAAAAGCTTCTTATCTTTCACCCCAAAGTCATATATCATTATAACCTTAATTCCTCACTCCCATATATTGATTAAAGAACAGAAATTCTTTAAGTGCTGAAAGAACATATAAACAAATAAGACAGCACCTTATCATTATAAAAATTCATCAAAGGTAATTTACTTATTCATGATTGTACCTAATAATACTCCGGGTTAAACAATAAACATTTGTTGAATGAATTGATTAGCATATCAAAAGGGATATTAATAATACTCCATACTTATGAAGTTCAACATGAATTGTGTTGTTCATAAAGAAGACTGCTAAATCCTGTCCTTCCTGACCTCTGGGCTGTTTTGCTAGAAATTTTAATTTACAAGCAAACAAAGAAGACAAAAAAGTGGGACCTAACCTGGAGGAAAGAAGGTTGTAAGACGCTCTTAAAGGGTGAAAGATGTATTTAGCATAGGGAAAACAATTCTTTTCCTGAACAATTGATTTCCTCAGGTTTTTGGTAGAATTATTTCCCAAGCATTGGATTGTTTAATTGACAGAACAGATTCTATGGAAAGTGTCTTTTTTTTTTTTTTCAACAGAAGGAGGACGACAGATTCCTTTAAATGAGCAGTTTCTCAGAAAGTGCCCAGATGCAGATCTTAAGCCTGAAGAAATCTTGGTCTCAGTGAACATCCCCTACTCCAGGAAGGTAAGAATGTCCTAAAGTCCTTTCCACTTCCTGGTTTTACCTGTGAGCCCATGACTTGTTAATTCCAAGGTACAGTGAGTTAAGAAAAGGTGTTGAGTGTTTCAGTGGAAATGATGATGATGTGTGAATAGTCCGTTTTACTGGGGGTGTCCCTCTGCCATTCCTGGAATCAGAGCTCTCCTTCCTTTCTTCCTTCCCTCTCTCCTTTCCCCTCTGCCCTCCTTCCCTCTTCCTCCCTCGCTCTCTTCTCCTCACCCCAAACTTTAATGTTACTTTCTTATAGAGTTTTAAAAAGTCTTTGTTCCATTAGGCTTTTCCCTAAATAAGGTTTGAAAAAATATATCTCTAGTTTTATCTGGGGGTGAGGTGTGTGTGTGAAAGTAGCTAAAAGAAAATACTTGGGCAATAGAATTTAGTGGGAAAAAGAAGGACTTCAGAGTAAGTATCAGGATTAAATCTTGCTTTCAAGATCTGAAATGACTCTCAACTAATTATGCTATCACTTCAAGACTGATCAAGTCTCCCCCACAGAAGCATCTGAGTTTGCTAAAGCTGCCATAAGTCAGAGCCACAGACGGGGTGGCTTGAACAACAGACATTTACATCCTCATCATCTAGAAGCTAAGTCTGATATCAGGGTGTTGCCAGGGCCGGCTTGTGTTAAGGCTTCTCTCCTTGGCTTATAGCTGAGCGCATACTGTGTCTTCACACGGTTTTTGCTCTGTTCGTGTCTGTGTAAATTTCCCCTGTCTTGTTGATCTAACGCCTCTGTAATCACCTCATTTTACTGTCATTACCTGTTTAAAGACCCTTACCCCCAGTACAGTCACACTGTGAGGTTCTGGAGATGAGGACTTGTCATGCAATTTGAAAGGTTCACAATTGAGCCCATAACAGTGTGATGATGCTCAAAGCAGGCAACACCCATAAATGGCCCCTGCTAGTTTCACTCAGCGAGTGTGTGTCTACGTGTTCCTCTGAACTTCTGCTTTCAGTGGGAATTTGTGTCAGCTTTCCGACAAGCCCAGAGGCAACAGAATGCCCTCGCGACCGTCAATTCAGGAATGAGAGTCTTTTTTGGAGATGGAGACAGCATCATTAGAGAGTTGTCCATTTCCTACGGGGGTGTCGGTCCAACCACCATCTGTGCAGAGAAGGCCTGCCAGAAACTCATTGGAAGGTACAGCGTCGTGTCCTTACACTCAAGAAACTGAGCAGCTCTTTTTGGGGTGCCAGACTGTCACAGGGAGAAAAATGCCTACTACCTCCTTACTTAATGGCTTGGTATCCTAGCAAAATTTCATGGTTATTTCTGTATGTCTTGATTTTGCTGGATTCCGAAGTGAGCATCATACAGTCTGTGTGTGTGTGTGTGTGTGTGTGTGTGTGTGTGTGTGCGCGCGTGCGCGCGCGCGTGCATGAGAGAGAGAGAGAGTTCCCACCTCCGAATGTCATATAGACACAGTAAGCAAAATGAGTCAATTTGTATTCTTTATTGTGAGAGAATAATTTGCCACAATGAAAAATAGGCTATGAGAGTTGGTTTTATGATAAATTGCCAAATGCATTTGTTCACCTGGCTTTTCATTTCTAACGGTAATACTATAGCCAATATATCCTGAGCATTTGTTAGGTACTGGTTGCCATCTCAGAAGTAATAGAGAGTAATGATTAAAAGCATGAATTTGAGTCAGATGGCCGGGTCCGAATCTCAGTTCAACCCCTATTAGCATCAGTCAGCTTACTTAACCTGATGGTATCTCGGTTTCCTTGTCTGTCAAAGGGAGATGATCATCCTGGCCTCACAGGCCACTGGGAGGATTGAATGAGTGAACCCATAAAAGAGAACCACTTTTAATAAAGGGGTCAGTTAATCCTGGGCTGAGAACCTTACAGGAGTATCATTTCTTTCTTGTGACCATTGCATGACACGAGTTCTATTATGATCCTCCTTTTACAGATGAGGCACTGGGGGACCCAGACCAGGTATCCTGGGAGTGGTAGATTGTGACTTGAGCTTAGGTAGACTGACTCAAGTGTGCACTCATTCCTGCATGAGCTTGATGCTACTGACCTGTGAGGCAATGAGTCCTGTGAGGCTAGGAGACTTCTCTTTCGACTCCCACAGGCCCTGGAATGAAAAGATGCTGGACGAGGCTTGCAGGCTGCTGCTGGACGAAGTCTCCCTTCCAGGTTCGGCTCCAGGTGGAAAGGTGGAGTTCAGGAGGACACTCATCATCAGCTTCCTCTTCAAGTTCTACCTGGAAGTGTCACAGATTTTGAAGAGAATGGTAAATGGATCTGAGCCGTAGTAGTCCATGTTACTGGCAGCTATAGTGATAGCTAACGCAGAGGCAACGGCCCCCTGCCAAGTGGTTATAGGACAGACAAGACCACCCAAACTACAGACACATAGGCTGGCTGGGCATATGGCAGGCTGTCCATTGATACAGTGTAAGTTTGGAAAAGAATCACAAGTAGAGCACAGAATTATGAGGGTTTGGTTATTCTGTTTCTCACCTGTTGTCTAGATGGTTTACAGAAAACTTGTGAATAATTTGAATTATTCACAAGGTAAACAAAGAGAGAAAGCAAAGCACAGCATTTCTTCTGCTTGTTTACCTTCTTACATCTGGCTGTCTTCAGCTTCATTTCTCTCGCCTATGAGATGATGATGGCAGCTGCTCTGCAAGGTTATTGTGAGTTGCATCATCGCAGGCGGAGGGCTTGCTCTGCTCTGAACAGCCCTAGAGCTTCAGAGGAATGTGATGAAGACCGTCTAGTGGAGGCTGCCCTAACAGCTGTCATCATGCAAGCATCACCCTGGTCTCCCTTTTGACAAAAGATTAGAGTCACAATTGTCGGCCAGGGAGGACATAAGTAAAGACATTTCTCAGAGAAAATTTGCTAAATCCAAAGGGGACTTAAACATATTGACTTCATAAATCCCATGCCACACCAGCTGACCAAATTAGGCCAGACATCAAGGACATCCTTCATGTGGCCTGGAAATCATTATGGTCACTTTAAATAGGAGACAAAAAGTTCTCTTATCACTCCTTCTGGGATGTCTTCTCATTATACATGGGAACAATGGAGAACCAGAAGGGTGTATCAAATTTTGGAGAATGGAAACTTGATGTCAATGTAGACAACATATTATCACCTGGTAAATAAAGAGAAAAAGTAAAGCCAATTGTAGACTCTTCCAATTAATAGTAAACTAATAACAAATTTTGGGGGGTTAGTGAATCAAGTGGTTTAATTTTAAGCTTTCACCTTGTAGTCTGAAACCTTCCATTAAACTTCCTCTATTCAATATTCCTTGATAATTAAAGATAATGGCCCTTGTTAGCTTTGATTTCCTATTAAAATCTTTTTTACTTGGAGGTACATTTTTCTTACATCGTTGTTAAATTTTGGACAGTATAGAAGTGTAGTTCTCCCATCACTACAGCACCCATAGACCATCACCATAGTCCCTTGTCTCTTCTCCCCACCCCTGTTTTCACCCATCTCCAACCCCTTCCCTCCTGGATGCCTCATATCTATGGTTAGCTTTCAAAGTCTGTCTTTGACTCTTTATTTGGTTCCTCTATATTCCACATTTATTTAGCTTCCATCTCCTGCTTTGTAAGCCCTCAAATCATTGAGGAAAGCCTGAGACAGACTCATAAGAAACATGGAGATGTTGGAAGTCAGCGACCTACTGTATTCACGCTGTTCTTCCAATGTGTACTGGGATGGGTGGCTCTTGCACAGGGTGTGTCCTGGAGGGTGATTTGCTTGTGCTTCTAGACTTCTTGGGTGAATATTTAGTGAAAATTAGACTTCAGAGTAGAGCTACTTGCTAAGAACCATGTAGCATCCCTTCAAAGACCATTTAGGCACATTTAAAATATCGGCAATGGTTCTGTTTTTCAGGACCCTGTTTACTATCCTACTCTTGCAGACAAGTATGAGAGCGCTTTAGAAGATCTTCATTCCAGACATCGTGGGCGTCAATTAATGTACCAGGTTCGCAACTCTTTTTTTTAAACTAAAATATCTAGATTATGCCTCCTTCACCTGGACATACCACTTATTGCTTAGTGATTCTTATGCTATATATGGCTGAGTTCCCCTTCTGGTGAACTCAAAAACTCCTTTTGCATTTGTTAAAATTCCAAAATCATTGAAGAATTGTGATTCAAAACAAAGCTAGCAATGATAATTTTAAAAAATGTGCTTTGCTCTTGAAGGCCCTGTGTTTTGTTGTGTGGCCTGTAGCATTGACACGAGCCAGCTGGCAACATACTCTATGTCCTTGGCCTCCTGGAAGGCAGAACACAACCAAAGGCGCATTTTGTCTCAAAGCCGTGGGGCTGCTGTGATTTCATCTCCAGAGGAGCAGAAAACACAGCCCCCGGAGATAAGCTGTTCCTCAAACAGCGAGCCAAGCCCCCGAGCTGCCCTCTCCTTTTAGAGAATAGTCACAGGGCTTTTGGCTGGCAATTTTCCTGGAATTTGTACCTCCCACATTCCCATCACCAGCTGCCCCACCTGTGGCAGCCATAGTCTTCACCCCAGTCTCTGAGCTTGACCTATATCATTTCTCTTAACCCCTTCCTTCTTACCTTTAGTTCTTCTCTCAACAACAAGCTCAGAAAGCTAACAACTCTCATATCTGAAATACTGGGAAATAGACTGTTTCTTAATTTCCACTTTAGTGAATGAGATATGTTTAAGGTATTTACAGAAACTTAAATGCTAGCAGGATGTCTTCTATATGTCTCCAAGAAAGCCTAGCTTAAGTGAAACATTACTCAGATCATTAATGAATACCATCATTATTTTTGTCTTCTTTCTTTATTAGGATTAATGAAATTATGAGTTTTACCAATTATTTCTTAGATACCATCATTCAAATTGTTTCTTAGATATCATCATTCAAATTATTACAAAAAATAGCTCTTCTGTGTAAAGTCATCCCCTCAATATTTTCTCTAAAATATAATCATGATGTATCATGCTCTTTTGCAAAATACATGTGCCATATATGATATAACTAAAATATTTTTTATAGTAAAATTTAAAGATATCCCTGAGCATTATAAGGCAAGTGGGTATATTTTACATTATCAGGAAGAAAGGATTATATTCATTTACTTACACAGTTAGTATTTGCATTAGAGAAGCTTGTGGTCTATAGTAAAACAGTCAGGGAGAAATAAGAACACCATGGCTAAATATTCCAGTTTGGCTATTGCATTATTGAAATAGGCTTATTGCCCCAAGGTTACTGATAATACTGTTTTCATTTTCAAAATTGTTCTGATTTGCCTGTAAATTACACAGCCACCCTCTTATGGGAGACATGCATACTGTTATTATAAAAATCGTATGTTGGTTATTGGTCAAACAGAAGATAGACCCCAAGCAGCTTACTCAAGACCCAATTGGCCATCCCATCATGCATCTGTCTGGCATCAAGCATGCCACGGGAGAAGCTGTCTACTGTGACGACATGCCTGCTGTGGACCAGGAACTTTTCTTGACTTTTGTAACAAGTTCAAGAGCTCATGCTAAGATAGTGTAAGTGACGAAGTTCTCTCCCAGTGGACAGTAAGTCACATTAATGAAAAGCGATGGTGTGATGAGGGTAAGTTATTTGTTGGTGATGGCTAATGTGGATTAAAGGTGAAATGGAATGAAGATGGTTTGCTACCATTTGTCTTTCCAGAAAATAATGTTATCATCCCAGGAATTTCCCCCCAGTTTTCGAGGAGTGAACTGGTTGAGGCTTTTTGGATGAATCTTACCTGTCCCCTATTTGATTCTGCAAGTGAGCCCATTCTACGGGTCCTGGGCACTGCAGCGGCTCTGCGAAGCCCTGCTCTGGGTGTTCCCTTCTAGGTCCATTGATGTGTCAGAAGCACTCAGCATGCCAGGTGTGGTGGATGTCATTGCTGAGAAACACCTTGAAGGAATAAACTGCTTCAGCTCTTTATCCCAACCTGAGAAACTTCTGGAGACAGAAGAGGTAGGTATTGCACTTTGGCATTCTGTCTTAAAAATAACTTCCTCAGTTAATGTGCTGCATCTTTTCTTAAATGTAGCATCATGTTTGGCACATCATAAAGGATTTCAATACTCTTTGAATGCATATCTTTAAAAACTATATTCCCGATATTAAATAGACTCAAATAATTCATTATCCACATAAGTCAAGAAGTAGACTAGTTATAGAAAGGATGCTGTAGTGTTTTATATTTTCTAGTAGTAAGTTGGTGGGATGTTAATATGAAAGGTAATATGAAAGGATCAATGAGAAGAGAAGAACCTTAACTTTATTTGCTCATTCTCACCAACATCTCAGGCTCAGAGTCCCAAGTTCAAGTCCAAGTTGAAATGGAATCTTCCTTACCCATGGATCCAGGAGTTCTTTCCCCCTCTTTGAACTCACTCTGACTCATTCATCCTGCCATGTGTCTAACAGATGTTTTTAAGTGATGCTTCTTATGGCAAATCAGCACAGCTGAATAAGACCCAGATGGTCTTGCCTTCACAGAGCTTGAAGTCTAGAGAAGCAGCAGAGTGGACCATTAGTGCACTTTCTACCTTAGTGAAGCTTATGTTTTTGTTTCTTCTCTCATATTTTTCCTCTGCTTAGTAGAATTCCTTGAGCAAGGGCCTGTATCTCATTAATTGTCTCGTCCACACTCTGCTTCGCCCGTAGCAGGGTAAATGAGTGGACAAACAATGATGCCTTGTCACTTGAAAATTATAGATGATTAAAATTTTGGCTACTGTATCTTGTCAGAAATTGCAGGAGGGCCGGGTCCAGCAGTGTCCTGCATACCTGAGTCTTCTCAGTCAGTGTTTACCCCCCAAAACTTCTTCATTTGGAACAGTCCCTCCTTCTGGCTCTTAATAGCAGACTGCGTTTTTATAAGTGAATGTTTGAGGACTGAGAGTCCGAAACCCAAGCTGAACCCCCCAAGGCTGGACTGTGTGGCACCGGCAAAAACCAATGAGAATAGTGGCCTTTGCCTAAATGTTACGTAAATAAGCAAAGCCAGGCTGCATGGTGGTGCCTGCTCTGTGCGGTGTGCATGCTGGCTGCAGGTGTCTTGGGGGCCACGTCCCTGCGCCTGGTCACCGGCCCAAACCAGGCATCCATAGAGCACAGCGAGCAGAGCTGCTGGGAATCACTGCTAGCATAATTGTTGTCATTCTAATTACATTTAATCACATTATGTTTAATTAAACTAATGCTTGTTAGTTTAATTCTTTTTTTGCTACCATTTTCTTTTAAACGATAAAACTACCATATATATGCTCATTGTAGGAAAGACCTAACTGTCTAAAGTAATTTTGAAAAGTGAGTATGAAGTCCTAATTGGGATTGTGGCATAGATGGGAGAGAGAACTTAACAGTTGTGGTGACTTCTTCAAGTCCTGTTTGTTTGACCTTTCTGGAGCCTTAATTTTGTTTTCTCCCTGCTCTGGTCCCTGTGTGAACCCTGTGGGCTGCTCACCCACCTGCAGGTGAGCTGAGGAAGGGGCTGCCCGACGTGTGGCATGTCTTCCAGAAGAGCCTATGATGCACCAATCTGGAGCAGAGATCTGCTCTCAGCAATGTTGTGCCCCCTGATGACATCCCTCCTCTCCAGAAGAGAGGAGCTGTGACCCCCTTTTCCTCTGTGTCCCTGAGGGCAGAGGCTGCCTCTCACCATGGCCCTGATGGTGCTGGGACAGCCACTGCTCATGCTAGTACTGGCTCTCCGAGGCCAGCTGGCGCTCAGCAGCCCAGTTATACAACATAAGGTCTCAAGCTCCCGGCAGCAGGCCCACTCTAACAAAGCTCTTTCCTGTGGGAGCCTTTGTTAAGCCAGGCACTGCCGTTGTAGAAAGACATGAAGGGTCATCCACCATGAGTCCAGCTTTGTGCTAGGAGGGAAGAGGAGCATGAGGGAAAGGAGAGGACCTGGTGCCGGGCCACCTGGAGATCAAAGGTCTTTCTGTGTTGTAGGTTTCCTGTGTGGGCCAGCTTGTCTGCGCCGTGGTTGCAGAATCTGAGGTTCAGGCAAAGCGAGCTGCAAAAAAAGTGAAGATTGTCTACCAAGATTTGGAGCCAGTGATCCTAACCATGGAGGTAATGATGGTCAGGGGTGTTCAGGGGTGTGCCAGAGAGCAGATGTCAGCGGTGTGTCAGTCAAAACGTGTTTGGCTATAGTAATAAGAAAGAGAATCTGATTCAAGGTGACTTCCAAAACACAGGAAATTTATTAACCCACACTGTATCAGTATCAGCAAGAACCTTGATTTTCTGCTTCTCCTCTCAGCTACCCACAGCACAAGCTTTGTGTCCCCTGCGATCACAGGATGACAGCAGGAGGCCCCAGCTCACTCCAAGGAGGCAGAGTGCCATTGTCCCAGTGTTCCAAGCACTGAGTCCTGACATGCTGTCTTACCAGGCCACTTAAGTGTCCTGTCACCTCTGAATTAAGGACTGCTCAGAGGAATGGGAGAGCTGTCAGTTATTGTTGGGGGTGTCAGGTTCCTTTGAAGTGCACAAACTGTATGGGGGAGTGGTAGAGACCCCAACAGAAATCTGAATGCTGTCTGGAAAGGGACAGGTGAGAGGAATGCTAGGTGAGCAACCAGCAGTGTCCAGGAGAGTGAACACGCCCTACATCTCTGTATGACCTTCACCCAAAGGCCTCAAGGCACTCAGATGCCTCCAGGCACACAGTGAGAACCAGCATGATGCCCCCAGAAGCAAATAGTGGAGGCACAATTTTTAGACCCTTTAACTCACATCTTAAATGAGTATGAGAAATAGATCCTAAGGTGTCTGCAGGTACTTTGGCAACCTAAACAAATTGGAGAATTGCATTTCCTATGCTGTTTTCTAAAATGGACTTCAAAATTTATAAAGGTTATAAGTCATCTTCATGAAATGATAATGTCTCCTTCTGCATATGTTTCATTGGTTCTTATAACAATAAAAGCTTAAAAGTTGGAAGGCAGCCCTCTAGATTAGATTAAGTACATAGACGCAGTGTACTCTGGGGTTCACCTTCTCATGAGTACATTGTTCTGTGGTGGCTCTTATGCCCTGAGGCAGAAAATGAGGAAATGACTTTTCAAGACTATTGTATCCTGGAGAACTTGGCCTTGGGTGTGTTTCCTGTCCTGTAGCCAAAGAACAGAGAATTTGTTTCTAGACCATGTCCTCAGTTATTTTAAGACTAAAATCAGTACAAGAAGACAAACATTCTTTGATTTCAATGAAATCAAATCAGGATGACTTTTAATAAGAAATTATTTCCTGGGCCTCCCCTGGTGGCGCAGTGGTTGAGCACTGGGCTGCGAAGCTGCCCCCAGCCTCTGCAGTGCCGGTTTGATTCCCTGCCACCAGCGAGGGCTCCACATAGTGCGCAGACCTCTCCTGCAGTGCCCGCTGCTCCCCTCAGCAGTGTATTTCGTTGGTCTGCCTGTTCTGTTCTCCACTCTGGCTCTGATAAATTCTCTCTTACCCTCCTGTGCTTCTGACTATACCCAGTGCTTGTATAAATAAATAAATAAATCTTTAAAAAAAAAAAAGAAATTATTTCCTTTGTCCAGTACCAGTGGCTAAATGTCTTCCCTTCCCTCCCACTCATCAGCCAAATAAAATTTCAAGTTTGTAAATAGATACCACTTTCTCCCTGCCCTCCCCCACACCAAACAGCAGATTAGTACTTGTCTGCCAAAGAACACCAACATCAAATGCCAAACTTTGACATTGTGGAGAAGACCTGCCTAGTCACAGGTTAAGCTCTCCGAAGTCAGTCAACTGGAACAGACTGGATCTAACCAAAGTTTACAGCAGGGAAATCTGCCCGGTTAGTTCCCTGTACTTCAGAGTCTTTGGTCACTTTCCTGATCAAGAAGCATTCAGGAAATTGTCTCAAAGTTACTCAAAGAGCAACTAGCAAGTGAAATTGAAATCAAACTTTTAAAAATGAGATTTGTAAAACTTAACTTTGGTTTTCAACCAATAATATCTGAATCTTAGATTAATAAGAAATCATATGAATTTGGTTTCAGTAGGAAATAGGGTAAAGACAAATGTATGTCTGTCACTATCATGATGGCTTAATCTACCGTATGCTTTTTAGAGTTTCTGGTAGTTTAAATGGAGAAGCTCTTATCAAAACTCTTGAGGCCAGGCTGATGATATGGTGAAAAAAATATGTTCCTGGCCAGAATTCATCATTAGTCATCATGAACAGCACAGGACCAGCGCTAACACCTGCAGGGCACTCACTGTGGTCACGTGGCTCTAAACAGACTCCACACATTAACTCAGTGCTCACAGCTATCCAATGAGGCAAAAACTGTTACTATCCTCATTCTGATGAAGGATATAAAGCACAGGATATCCAAGGTCATATGGTCAGTCATCAAAGTAATTAACAAACACTCTAGCAAAGAACCTGGGCCCCATTGGTTTAAAAAAAATAAACCCAAAAACCCCAAAACACCTTTTTTTTTTTAAAACCACCCTTTATGTCTTCAATGCTACAAATACCACAATGCTTCAAATACCACAAATTTTCAATCTTTTATTGCAATTTCATATGTTACCAGGGTTCTGCTCATTTTCTTTTCCGTCTATTTTCTCTCTGATGTTCAGGTTAGGGAATTTCTGTTGTTCTATATTCTTGTTCACTCATTCTTCCCTCTGTTCTTTCTAGTCTGTTGTTAATTTTATTTTGGTTGCTGTATTTCTTAGTTGTAAAATAATAAATGATCAAGACAACCCTGTCTGTCAGCCCCATCCCCTCCTTCAGGAGGAGCACTGCATTTCATAGGGTGGCAGAGCACCTGGGGTCTCCAACCCTGAAAATAAGATCCTATTACAAGTCCAGTCTGGGCACCACAAGTCCTTTTATAATGTAGCTACAATAATCCAGGTTGATTTTTTTAAAAAATCTATTCCTAGAAATTTATCTCACTATAATCCCTTGTCCACTAGCAAATAGGACGTGCTAACTCCTGCTATCATTATCTACCACAAAATGTTGTCCATGCATTAACTTTTAGCCTACTGGTAGTTGGGAATTCTCCTAACTCTGGTTCCCTCTGGCCACAAGTAGGTGTCTAGATCTATCAAAATACCTTACAGAATATTCTATTGGATTCTGCCATTTCCTACATTCAAAAAATGGGTTGTTTTTTTTTTAATTTAATATGATTTCTTTTTTTTAATAAATTTTATTTTTATATTCCCCATACAATTGCAACCCCCCCATTCTGACCCCAGCAGTCCCTCCCCTCCTGCCCCCCACTCCCCAAAAAGTGTCTCTGGTTCATAATTTTTTGTTGATTTTGAAAAAAATGGGTTGTTTTTTTTTAAGGTGGCTTTTTTGGTTTTGTTTTCAGCTAGCAATTATTGAGCACCTACTCAATAATTGCTGTGTAAACACTTTACTTCCTCATTTCATTTTATCCTTACCAAAACCCTACTAAAGCTCTATGCACAATTATAACCTCCATTTTATAAAGGATGTTGACATGAAACCTGCTCAGTTTGAGGTGCCCCTTGGACAGGTGTGAGGGCAGGGATCCCAGAAATAGATACTGGGATGAGGGGCCTCTAGGAGAGATGAAGTAATAGACCCAAAGGGCGGGGTGAACTATTAAATGGAGTGAATAGCAAAACTGACTAAATCCAGAGCACAAGCTCTACTCTATGACTTTAGCTGCATAAAATGGGTTGTGGAATGAAAAGAATATGGGGCCACCGAGGTGTCAGATTTTTCCAAAGCATACTTGGTTTCTCTTGACTCCATGGACACATGCACGTGCTCCTTAGGGAGTCTCTGAAGCCTGGTTCTTAGCTCACCGTGGTCATCCTGAGAGCATAGGGTGTTCTAGATGAAGGGAAGAAATGCTGCCTTGACTAGCAAAACACACCCCTGCTGTGGGCACTGCCATGGGCTGGTCTCTCACCAGCCTGCCTCACTTTTCTGTTCTCTTTCTAGGAAGCTATACAGCACAACTCCTTCTTTGAAGGGGAAAAGAATCTGGAATGTGGAAATGTTGATGAAGCATTTAAAGTGGCTGATCAAACTCTAGAAGGTAAAGCTATCAGAAAAAAAAAAAATGATGAGAGAGGAGCAACCCTAGAGCCTTCTAAACTTGTCTAGTTTCGTGTTTATTGTCTAGACATTGTCATACACAAACACACAGATAACACAATGTCCTTCATGCCCCTAATTTTGTAGTTGTGCTAAACCTGAGGCCAATGGTGGACTTACTGAATAATCTCTTCTGGAAGCTATTGAAAAGATACCTTGTGCCATCACCCTGCCAGCATTCTTTAGTACCCTGGGCTCCTGGTTTCAAAAAACATGGGGAAAAAAAATACTGGCCTTGAAGATCCACTGTGAAGATTATAAAAGATAATGCATGTGTGCTTGGCACACAGTAAGAGATGCATGACTGTGAGCAATAGCTGATAAGTTTAGGTACTTTTGTTGTTCTCTGTAAAAGCTCTCTATTATTGGGTTAACACACTGTCAGGTATTCATTCATCAATCTCAGTGTCTCCCAGATTTTCTCACAATAAGATGTTTATGGACCTGCCTAGAAGTTCCTGTGGAATTCCTGAGTTGGAGGATCCAGGGTAGCCCAGGAGTCTACACTATTTTTGACAAGTTTTAACAGTGCTCTAGGGGACTTATAGGTTTAGTAAAATGTGGTAAATCCTAGAAGGATGGGTATGTTTTAGGGGCAGAATAGGAAAGAGCATTTTTAGCATAGCCAGTCCATGGTATGAACATTTGGTAATATTTATGTTTGAGGGGGTTCCTCCCTTGGGTAAGTTCTTACCTCTGTTCTTGCTGTGTTATGGTTTTGTTTGAGAATTTAGTTATTTATATTTTTCTAGTTTGGTTCATTATTTAATTCAGTTAGGGAATTTGTTCAATCTCTTACTTGAATTTTAAATTAGAACCTGCACTATACCCTATTGATAAGCATACTAATGATACATAGGGCTTTAAAAGAGGCATTTATACTGTTTTTAAGTTATCATCTTGATTCACTAGTTCGGGTAATTTTTTTTTTTCCTTTCTCTGCAATTGACATTTGAATTAAGAATTTTTGACTACTTATTTCAATGACAGGTCATTGGAGATAATAATCACAACAGCATTTTATCTGCCCCATAGGAAAATTGGTGCTCAAAGTTAAAAAAAAAAAAAAAGAATATTTAAAAGATAAAATAACCAGAGCATTATATCATGTCTTAGAACTGTGTTCTCAAAAGACATGAGATCATGTGTTTTTACCCACTGTGAAGATTTATTTCAGTCCTCCCTAGCCGTGGTGTCTGAGCACCAAGGGACATTAAAGATCACTGTTTACAAATGGAGCCAGCTGAGACCAGAGGGGCTTGTGATTGACGGAGAATCAAATCAAACTTTGCCAACTCTGACGTTCACATTCTCTCCTTTACATTATGCTGTTTCTCATCTATCTCTTTAAATTCTTCTAGCTGGAATGGGCTTTATAGTAGGGAGTGCAGATGACAATCTCTGTAGCAGGATTTGTAAGAGACCCAGGGAGCCCTGAAACTGAGATTATTTTCCCCAGAAGCTGTTCTGCTGCACGTAAAACAGATAGACTCCTTCATATCTTAATAGCTTTTCAGTCTTTAAGGGCATCTTATTAAAATGCAAATATGTCTGGAGGAATCACTCCTAAACCCATAGTGGGATAAAATTTGATCTTGGGGATTAGCTGATCAAATTGGTTCCCAACCTAGAGAGTTGAGAGCAGCACCCTAGGGTGCAGAATGGGCACCAGGGTCATAGGGTCAACAGAATGAGCAGTGTCGTGTAACAGGTGCTAAATCTGCCCACCTGAAAGGTGAAGCAGGATGGCTTTTAGCTGTGTTTATTTGTTTGGTTTTTTTTTGAGAATTGTAGCTTTGCTTTATTGATTTGTTTTTCTTACATTCTTGTTCATTTTTGTACAATATTTGTACCCTCAGGTGTTATCCCATAAAACTCCCACCACCACATCACCCATGAACAATCATCATAGTCCCTTGTTTAGCTCTATATTTTTTAATGAGGTAGATATTGAACAAATTAAATTCTGAGTGGGTGGGTGAAGTTGCTAATCCTGCAAACCATGAATTTGAGCCTACTGACAAGTGGGCTTTTCAAAGTGCAGTCTTCGATAAAAATTAAGTTGATTAAATAATTGGGATCTGATCTGTTGGTGTTTTAATTTTTACATTTTATAGAAAAACAAGATCTGATCATTTTTCTATACTTTACTCAGATTTCAAATAAAATTGGAAGTCCAGACTACAAAGGATTTCCTTGGGAATATCCTGCAAGCAATTTGCAAAATTTATTGGGTACATTTTTTAATTTTTGAAAGTTCTGCCATCTACCTAGTATATCTGATCATAATTTTATTCTGATTTTTTTGTTTTTATTTTTTCTCTGGCTTCCTCAGTTACTTGAACATTTTTTTAAAAACTCCATGTAGTGGTTTTGAGTGTATCTATTTGTGTAGGTTTTTTATTTTTTTTAGTAGTAGTGCTAAGTGTTAAATTTTATGTATATCTCTGTGTGTGTGTGTGTGTGTACAGCATATTTTGTAGCAATATTAGTTTAAGTATAGAAACTTACTTCCATTGATCTCCTTTACCTGCCTTCATTTATAAATGGCTTTAAAATTTCCTCCAACTACACTGAGCACTGCACAAAGCAATGTTTTAATTTTGCATGCAATACAATTTATAAAACTTAAGAAGCAAAGGCAAGTCTATTGTAATTAGGTAATTTAATTCTTTCCATGTTGTCTCCTCCCTGCTGAGAGATTCCTTAAAAAAATATTTTTTTTTTCTGTTTCCAAACTTCCTTAGCCATCATTTTAGAATAGAGTTGTTTAAGATACATCCTCTTTATTTTCCTTCATCTGAGACTGTCTTGAGGTTTCTTGTTTGTTTGGTTGGGTTTTTTTTGAAGGGTATTTTCACTAGGTATGTGATTCTTAGTCGCTAGATCCTTTATCTCTTGAAAAAGATGTTTATGTTCCTCTGGCCTCCATGGTTTCTGATGAGAAATCTACCCTTTTAGTATTTTTCCTCTATAGGTGAGGTGGTACTTTTCTCTTTCTGCTTTCAAGATATTTTGTTTTTAGGTTTCAGAAGCTTGGACTGTGATGTGTCTTGACATGGATTTGTTTGGATTTACTTTCCCTATTTTGAGTTCATTCAGCTTCTTGAAATCTGTAAGCTTATGTCTTTTGCCAAATTTTGGGAATTTTCAGCCATTATGTCTCCAAATACTTGAATTCCACAAATGTTAAATCTTTTATTACAATTTCATGGGTTATTAGGGGTCCATTCATTTTCTTTTCCATCTGTTTTCTCTATGATGTTCAGGTTAGGCAATTTGTTGTTCTGTATTCTTGTTCACTTATTATTCCCTCTGTTTTTCTATTCTGTTGTTAATTTCATCCATTGAGCACCTGAAATTTTGGTTGCTGTATTTTATAGTTGTAAAATTTCCATTTGTTTGCTGAGATTTTATATTTTTTCCACTTATTTCAAGTGTGTCTGTAATTGCTCAATGATGCATCTTTATGAGGGCTACTGTAAAATCTTGTCAAATAATTCCAGCACCTGTGTCATCTCAGTGGTGGCACCTTTTTAGTGTTTTTTCTCACTAAAATTCAGTTTTTATGGCTAGTGATTATGGTATCCTGATCATTTGGGGCATTATAAGACTTATTACCCAAATCTTATATTTTACCAGAACTTCCCTGACCCTGTATTGGTGGGGGAAAGGTGAGTTATATTATTGGCAGGTGGAGAGTAGAAGCCCTGGTTCCCCAGGGGATTTTCATTGATGTCACAGAAGTTCAGGATACCTCATTACTGCCTGATATGAGCAGAAGTCTAGGCTTCTCACCTAACTTTTACTAATAGGAATGGGGCCACATATTTTTCTGTAGAGTAGTGTGGTTGCCTATTGTATAAAAGTTTTCTGTCTTATTAGGTTTTCCCTTTCCTTGTGCTCTGGCTAAAGAAAGTAGGCTTTTCTGGGCCTTCTTTATTGTCTTTCCCTATTGGTATTTTTGGATTACTGACTTCTCTGGTACCAAACCTGGGATATATGGAGCAATCAACACCACCAAAACCCACCAAACTCACTATAGTATCCTTCCATGGACACCTGTGTCCTTAGCTGGCCTGCCTCCTTCTAGCTACCTTTAACAATTTTTTTATGTTCTTTTATATATAAGATCTAAGGTCATTAGCTACACTTTGCAGAAGGATTAGGGAGAAGTGCATTTATTCCATCTTGTCTAAGAGTTTGAAGTCTCTTTGCCATAGTATTTTGACTGTAGGAAGCCACATGTGTCTCCTGTGATCTTCTGTACTGCTAGCCATGATGGGTTCCCTTACAGAATTCATCTTCAAATCTATAGGGTTAATGAAAGTTAAATGTGCTGTTTGTTGTCCTTAACCATGAAGACTGCTGTCCCAGAAGAAGCACCATCAGTGGAATTTCTATAAGAAGGTAATTGCAGGTCACTACCTGTTCTATCTGACAGCCTCGTTGACCCTGGTGTATTTTCTTCTCTCAGGTGAAATATATCTGGGAGGCCAAGAACATTTTTATATGGAAACTCAAAGCATGCTTGCTGTCCCCAAAGGAGAGGATCAAGAGATAGATATCTATGTGTCCACACAGTTTCCCAAATTCATACAGGTAACATGGGGTGTGTGTGTGTGTGTGTTGGGGTGGGGGGTCCTGTCAATAAAATGTACCAAGAACAATTAGGGACAAAACATGTCATTTCAGAAATAGAAAGAATTTGGAACACTAATAACCATACTCATTTTGGGTATTAGTAGCCATATCATTTCAAAGTTTTTAAGAGAATATTATGAAAACAGGAGCCTCCTGTGTGTGAATCTGTTTAACTCTCAAACCAGTTATGGAATCAGCACATCTCATGTAGTACTTTTGGTACCATTAAGAATACAATCAAAAAGGAAGAAGGCCTGCCCTCCAAAACTTACAGTATCTCTCTCACATGAAGAAGTCGGAATACAGTACAGGACAGATGTCACCAAGTGCTAGATCAGAACTTACACTGGTAGAAGAACTAAAGTAATGGAGAGCTTGTGGAGGGCTAGAATCATCCAAGAAGTCCCAGGAAGACCAAGTAACACTATGGATTTACAGTGAGGTGAAGTTTGTCTAGACGCTGAGGAGAGGTTATTTCTAGAGAATTCTACACTAAGATCAAATTCTACTCATTCATTCATTCACTCGTTGCTTCTGCAAATACTTTTTATCTGTTCTACATACCAGGCAGCTTACATGTAAGAAAAGAGGGATGGTAGAAAGACTGGCCAAGCTGGAATGGAGAATGCAATTAGGGGGGCTAGTTTAAGGCGAACAAAACAGAGGGGTCTTGATTCAGTAGATCATAAGGAGCCAGAGTCATTACTGAGCAAGTAGGAATGTTGGACTGTGAAGAATGTGCCTTTTAGAAGTTTGTATACTGAGACGGGACAAGCTAACTCTACTCCCTGCTCTACTCCATGGATGTGGGGCCCATCACTTCACCTCCCTTGGGCCCACCATCTCTGAAAATGAGTTGTTAAGATTAAATGACCTATAGATATTAGAGGAAGAAAAAGACCTGCCTTCAGAGAAGACCCACTGGCCAACTTTATAAGTAATCCAAATGAAAGGTGAAGGCCTCCTTGTCCAGTGAGACAGTAGAGTACAGAGAAAGACCCACTCAGAGATGTTTGGAAGGCCATGAAATCTCACAGCTTCACGAAACATGTCTTTAGGAATTAGTGTGAAAAGGATACTTTGGATGTAGATCATGGGGAAAATTTATTTTAATTTGTTATCACCTCTCATAAAAACCTCTCACTGATATTGAAAGGACTACTTAATATCAGTGACAGCTTTGGCAATGTCATTATGCCAGATACCACTGAGCTCAGCTATAATACATGCCTAGGTTATTGAAAATCCTTCCATGATCCTGCCTAATCACACAGCTTGCATATCATATACAACATTATAGAACCAAAATTTATAAAGGCTGTGCCACTGCACAGATGGGCCAGATTAATGTGAACTGCTGTCATTCACAGGACATGGTTTCTGTGACCTTGAAGATTCCAGCTAACAAAGTCATGTGTCACGTAAAACGTGTTGGTGGGGCATTCGGGGGGAAGGTGGTCAAGACCAGCATCTTAGCAGCCATCACAGCATTGGCTGCCAACAAGTAAGTGGAGAAAATCTGCTAAGTAGACTAAAAACTAAATGAAGTCATGCTGAAAATTCTCAATGTTGAGGTTGAGGAAGAATCTAGGTCAAGATTATTTAAAATGATATATAGAAACACAAAACAAGTTGCCAGCTTGTTACAACTTTTTAACATTTTTTAATCTTACGTTGTCAAAGTACATACTATAGGAACCAAAACAAGAATCAATTACTGAAAAAAGATAAAAGTCACAGAAATAATACCTGGAAAGCAGACAAAAGCAGGTCCTTGATGGGTGGGGCTTACTTGTCCTTAATACTTGTATGTATAGGGTCTCCCCGGTGGTGCAGCGGCTTGAGCACAGTGCTGTGAAGCTGTCCACAGCCTCTGCAGCGCAGGTTTGATTCCCTGCAGGCAAGGGAGATTCCCACATGGTGTGGCAGACCTCTCCTGTCTCTCCCACTGCTCCCCTCAGCAGTGGTTTAAGTCTGTCTGTCTGTTCTGCTCCCCACTCTGTCTCTGGTGAATCCTTTCACCCTCCTGCACCTCTGGCCTGTACCCCAGCTCTTGTATAAATAAAAAGTAAATCTTATAAAAAAAATTGTATGTACATACATATCCAACCTTTTGAAAATAATTCAGTCATATATATTTCCTTAAACAGAGACTTTGCTTTTGTTATGCTTACCTTTATTATGTTATTTTTTCTTTGGAGGATCTCAAAACATTACCATAGGAAATTATCTTTAGAGAAAGCACATCTAGAAGGCTTAATTTCATTGCTGGGTAGTATGGGTCAGTTGCTCTAACACAGGCAGCAAAGACACCTTGATTTCAAATCTGTCCTATGAGGAAGCACTTGGCAATGAGACCCCACCTGAGCGCCTCCATGTGTATGCTTCCCATAACATGGCCATAACAGGGCCACTTGCCTGCAGAGGAGGTGGTTAGCACAGTGGGAAATGCCTCCTAAGCAGTACTCTGAAGTCTTTGGCACGTAAGTAAGTACGTGCCTCCCATAAGTATGGGATGCCAGGCATTTCCCTGGCCCAAAAGGTGGGGAGACCACTGTGAATGCCTGAGATGAGCCCACTTGGGTGGAGGAGTAGTTCTGTTTTTCTGATGTAACTTGTGTGGACCCCACTAGATTCTCACTAGGAGTTACACAAATCTCAGATAATACCTATTTGGTAAGAGTTTACCTGTCTTGCTTTTTTTGTTTTTTCTATTTTAGATATGGTCGTGCAGTCCGCTGTATCCTAGAACGAGGAGAAGACATGTTAATAACTGGAGGTCGCCACCCTTTCCTTGCAAAGTACAAGGTGAGTAGAATATATATGTAAATATATGTAACATATCACAAATGCAGAGGGAAGCTTGTGTCTGTCTCTAGTAGGGAATAACAATTAGAAGATCAACAAACTATGCTCCCATTTAACTTTCTGTTCCTAGTGTTGACTGGTTGCTGACTTTTCTGCTTTGTGAAACTTTTCTGCTTTGCTCAAAGATGTCATTTTGTGAAAAAATACTAACTGGTATTGGCTGCTACAGTAAATAACTGGAAAACCTGAGAGTAGACCTGATAATCATAATATCCCCACCTGTATAAGACATAAAAATAGAATAATTCCCATGAAAATAGTCCTATGTGAATTTGCAATTGCCTGCCAAGAGTTTCCCATTTTTCAGTTTTCAAGGGCATTTTTGGAAAACTATGTTCTAGAAATTGCTTTAAAAATTTCCATAGCAGAAAATATTATTCTTTTGCTTTATGAGAAATAAGATTACATGTCAGAGTAGGCTAAGTTCTCTAAGAAACAACCAAAAGTCTCAGGGACATAAACCTTTATTTTTTCTTGCTCAAGTAACAGCCCTATGTAATCAGTGGGGGCTGGGAAGGGAATAGGAGAGGCCTCTGCTCTGCACAGTCATTCAGGAACTCAGACTTTTCCCACTGGGGAGCTTCACATCACCCCTTCAATAGGCTTATATTGCTCCTTAAATTTTCTAAATTAAATAAAATTTAAAATTCAAACCTCCATTATATTTCAAGTGCTCAGTAACCACATGTGACTAGAGGCTGTCATATTGGACATGGAGATAGAGAAGATAATCATCATCATAGAAAGTTCTACTAGCTAGCACTGCCCCCAGGCAGTCCTCCACTAAATTCTGCAGAGGGCAGAAGACAAAGTAGCAAAGGGAATGCAAAGTGTCATGTGGGAGGTATTTTAGGCAACAGGCCTGTGGGTAATAGACCTTGCTTTTATCCACATGTTATTGGCCAGAATTTTTCCATCTAACTGCAAGGGAGACTGGGAAATGCAGTCTTTGTGCCCAAGATGAAAGACAACAGAAATTATTGAACACAGAGCATTGTCTCTACCACCTATAACTGGTGTACCTACATACATATTTTTAAAAGATAGTGAACATATCTATTTCAATTCGGTTACTCTAAGGTATATTTTGAATTTGGTTTAGTTCAACAAAGATTTATTAGAATTAACTTTGACCTAAAGGAGATTACATTTTGGGGGTTGAGAGGGAAGTAAAACTTTCAGATATGAAGTTATTATTAAACATAATAATCTCAGGTTAAAAGATGAGGCACACCTAGTAAAACTACAGGGGTAAGAGGAATATGTTAAGGGGTGTGTAGAGGAGACTTTTTACAGAAAGTGAAACATAAATGGCTTCAAGGATGGATAGACAGAAAGAAGGCACAGCAGGTGGTGGAGATGTAAGAGCAAAGATGCAGAGGTAGAATGAACATGGCATAGTTGATGGGGCTGAAGTAAGGGGAGAGGGAGAATTAGAATACTGAAAGCTCACTGGAGAGAAGTGGAAAATAAGGTTGGTTGGGTTTGGGGACGTCAGACTAAGGGTCTAGAGTCCCAGGATGGAGAGTTTATCTTGATCCACAACAAAGAGTGAGACTGAATAGATCCCCCTCGACCAGTCAAGTGTCATAACCATACATGGGTGCTCTGAGAAGCATAATGGCCTGGACAGGATGACCTGTGAAGAAGAGAGGATGGATGTGGGCAGAGCACTAGGTTGCCAGTGCCCTCAGACATGAAGCAACTGGGATCTGAGCTTTGATAATAAAATGTAGAAGAAGAGATGAGTCTAAGAGCCATTATATTTTGGTGATGGCATATCACCAAAATAGGATTTGGTGAAAAACTTGACAAAATACAATGAATAATGAAGCCACAAATGTGATTTAAGAAACAGAAAAGTTGGAAGGAGGAGCCAATCTGGAAGAGAAATTATGCACATGTGTAAGAGTTGGGGAAGAGGTATCAAGGGCACTTAAGTAGAAATGTCCTTCTCCAATATGGGAATTTAGTGAAAGGTCTTGGTTATGGATATAAAAGCCAACAATGTAGTGATAATTAAAACCACGAGAATATAATGTTTTCTGATGGAAAGTGGCATGATAACAGGAAGTAATATTAATGATATTAAAATAGTAAGCCTGAATTTGATCTCCGACCAGGGAGCTTACCCACAGATGGCACAGCAGACCTCTCCTGTCTCACCTGCTGCTCCCCTCAGCAGTGTATTTCAGTAGATCTGACTGTTCTGCTCCCCATTCTGTCTCTGGTGAATCCTCTCACCCCCCCCCGACCCCGCTCACCTCTGGCTTGCACCCCAGCTCTTGTAGGCATAAATAAAATAAATCTTTAAAAAAAAGAATAAGAGGTCAAGAAATACGTATTTATTTTTGCTTTTGAAGGAAGGAAAGGATCAGTAGTGATGTGCTGAATAGGACAAGTTTCATTTGTTTGTTTTGCTTTTATATCTTTTGCTGCTCTTCTTTTTTTTCCTCTTTAAATTATTGTTTTTAGTTGTGGAAAAATACACATCTCAATCATTTTTTCAAGGAACAAGTTCAGTGGCATGAAGTACATTCACAGTGCTATGTGACCATCATCACCTTCTTTCTCTGAATAGTTTTCATCTTGTAAAACTGAAACTCAAAGCCCATTAAGCGTAACTCCTCATCTTCCTTTCCCCAACAGCCACTGGCAACCACTGTTTTACTTTCTGTCTCTATGAATTTGACCTCTAAGATACATCCAATAAAAAGATTCATAAGGATTTGTTTGTATGTGTAATTGACTTATTTCACTTAATGGTATCCAAAGTTCATCCATGTTTGATATATGTCAGAAGTTTCTTCTTTCTGAAGGCTAAGAAATAGTTGTGTGTGTGCGCTTGCGTGTATGTGACTGGCCTATTGTACTTAACATAATGACCTCAAAGTTCATCCATGTTGTGGCAGATGCTAGAATTTCCTTCTTTTTTAAGGCTGAAAAATATTCAGTTGCATGCATATTCCATATTTTATTTATCCACTCATCCATTTATGGTCACCTGGTTACCACTACCCCTTGGCGCTGGTGCATAATGCTGCAGTGAGCACAGCTGTACAAATATCTCTTCAAGACTCTCTTCAGTTCTTTTAGGTAAACACCCAGAATTGGGATTACTGGAGCATGTGGTAGTTCTATTTTTAATTTTTTGAGGGACTGCTGTACTGTTCTTACAGCAGCGGCACCACTTTGCATTCTCACAACAATGTGGGATTCCAATGTCTCCAAATCCCCACCAGCACTTAGATTTGCTGTTTCTGTTGTTTTTTTAATACTGTCCTAATGGGTGTGCAGGTACTAGCTTGTAGTTTCAGCTTGCATTTCTGCAATCTTTCGTGACAAACATCTTTTCATGTGCTTATTATATAGTTTAACATCTTCTTTTGAGACAGTGTCTACTCAAGTCCCTTGTCCACTTTAATCAGGTTGTTTTATTGCTGTTGAGTTGCAGGAGTTCTCATAATTCCTAGATATTAGCCCCTTCTCAGATATATGATTTGCAAATATTTTCTCCCATTTTTCTGGGTTGCCTTTTTTTTAAAAAAAGATTTATTTATTTATGCATATAAAAACTGGGGTACAGACCAGAGATGTGGGAGGTGAGAGGATTCACCAGATACAGAGTGGGGAACAGGACAGGCAAATCTCCTGACTCGCCTGCTGGGGTACCTTTTTAATCAGATGATTACGTCCTTGACTCATGGAAGTTTTTAATTTTAACATAGTCCAATCAATCTAATTTCTTCTTTTGTCACCAGTTCCATGGTGTTATATCCAAGAAGTCACTGCCAAATCCAATGTCTTGAAACTTTTCATCTATGTGTAGAGAGTTGAGAAGGGACAAAGCACACAAGTGAGACTTGGCCCCGGCAGCAGCATCACGTGTCAATTCTCTTTCCCCAGGTTGGGTTCATGAACGATGGCAGAATCCTGGCCCTGGACATAGTGCATTATAACAACGGTGGTGCCTCCGCGGAGCTCTCCTTATTTGTGAGTGTTTGAAGGAGCACAGTCACAGTCTGGAAAGTATTGCGTAAAGTGACTTCATTCAGAAGATGTTCAATCATTACATAATATTTAGTTATAAAAGCAAAAAAAACCCTCACTAGTGGTAGCCATATGTTCCTTACCCACTGGACACCCCAGCAGAAGCCCAGAAATATCAGCTGAGTCTGCACATGTGTGTGAGCCCCACATTTCCTGTGCATAGAGCTTTTTTCTCAAATGCAAGCCTTAGCCCTCAACCTCAGCCCCATGGTTATTTTGGACTGGGTAGTTTTGGTTGTCACAGCTGCCCTGAGCATCAGAAGGCAGTTAGCAGCATCTTTGACAGCTGTCCAGGAGATGCCGCTGACTGCCCTTCAGTCTTCACCAGAAATGTCTCCAAACATTGCCACATGACTCAGTGGAGAGGATGTACAAAATTACCCTTGGCTAAAAGCCACATCACTAGACTAATCACTAAGCATCTTTTTTTGTTTTGTAGGATATTGTATTTATTACATCCTGTAAAATCGGTGTTTAAGGCCTATGAAAGCCTGAAAGGTTTTTGGATGGATTGGAAACTTAGGGAAAAAAAATGCATGGACTCTAAAATATGAAAGTTAAAAATAATGATTTCAAAAGGAAAATTATTCAAAACCTTTAAAGTTATTCTGAAGCAAATTAATTTGGGATCTGGGCCCATTTTAGTGTGTTTAGTGTGATGTGTCAGGCATTTCCCGCCTGATTTTGGTCTGAGGTGTCAGGACAGTAAAGCAGAAACAGCAGGACAAAGGTCTCACCGTGTCAACTCTGGCCACCCCCAGGTGCTAGAACAGGCACTTCTGAAAATGGACAATGCTTACAAGTTCCCGAACCTGCGCTGCCGAGGGCGGGCCTGCAAAACCAACCTTCCATCCAACACGGCTCTGCGTGGCTTCGGCTTTCCCCAGGCCGGGTTCATCACAGAATCCTGTATCACAGAAGTTGCAGCCAAATGCGGCTTGTCCCCCGAGGAGGTAACACTAAATTAGTCAGGAGTGGGAGGGCCATGGGGGTCACCAGCGGACTGGGTAATACAGAGCCGGGAATCCAGATGTCAGCGATCCTTGCCTCAGGCGCCTTCTCAAAAATCATGACAACAGGACACTTTAGACCATGGGGATATGATGAGGGAGCGCTGAGTTCTAACTGACCTAGTGAGACATCTCCATTGGTCGGAGATATAACTGCTGCCAGCAAGTTCTGTCAGTCCCTTCTTTACCCTGCTATCTTAACATCCCAGGATGTTACCGTAAAATTTCAGTCATTTCAGCTACTAGTGACCTCCTTTCAATTCTTTAAGTCCTGAGCCCCAACTTCATCTGTTAACAAGCTCTGCCCTTCCTCATGCCTCTTCTACCCAAAGTCCTGTAGTGGAGTCAGGGTGGAGAGATGTGGGGTGTTCTCTCTCCCCTGACTTCCCCTCTGCCTTCTGTGGTGTTGGGCAGGAAAGAAAAAGAGGACCACCGCATATGGGCAGCTTCTCCCTCTGACTTCTCCCAGTGAGATCTCTGCCCACTTTGTTAGATGTAGCCATTTCCCAAGTGTGTGGTCTGCGAGCTCCAGCAATCTCAGAAAACAATAGTCCCCTGTGAGTGTGGGTTAAATCTCCATTCGACCATTAGCTGTCACATCACACAGCATTCTGTGATGCCCATGTCTTTATGTCCCATCAGCAGCAACCCTTGGAAAGCCCTAGTTCCCAATTCACACACCCGGTATCAGACTCTGTGGCCATAGGCAGGAGCCACCTTCTTCATGTCTGTTGAACTTGGGGATAATCTTTGCCCCTCCCTTCCTGGCCATCTTGCCACAGTCTCTCTTTCTCCCAGGTATTCTGACACATTTGGTAGCAACAGGAAAGAAAACCTTTCCTGGGGAACCTGGAGAACAGCCATCCTTACTTAATATGCTGCCTTCCCCAAAATGACACAGCCCACTGTGGCATTTCTAGTCTTCCTGTGATAATGATCTGGAATTACTTTGGGGGGTTGGAGAGAGCATATGTCTGTATCATGGCCCCTCTCGACCTGCCCTGGCTGGCCACAACTGTTGAGAGTTCTTCAACTATGAATGTGGGGTGACTGGCACTTGTTCTCAGCCAGATTCATTAGTCCTCAAATCAGGGAATTCAGAACCCTACTCATGGCGCAGACATCCTCAGAATCTTTGAATATGTTCTATTTCCTAGTTACAGGTTATATTTTAGCAAACTTTCATATTTTCCTGTTTGGAAGTGAGTGGTTTTATCTTTCCACAGCATCTGAATAATCCAAATCATGTGGCCTGGAAATTAAATTCAAGATTACCTTTCAACAGATATTCATATATCCAACCAGAATGAAGTCTATAGTGTACCTGGGCTCTGTTAAATTATGTGTGAAATATGAGGAAAGGATTCCTTTCCTTGAACTTTCACAAGAGCATCTCAGAAAGCACAGTTCTCGTGCATTTGATAGAGGCTCAGAGCAGAGGGAGAGGACATTATGCCCTGGAAAGGGCTTCAAGAAGGAGTAAAAACTCAGTTTCAGCCATATAGGATGAGCAGAATTTGACTAAGCAGACAATGGATGGGCGGGGCCCTCTCTCTCTCTTAATCTTTTCTTTCATAGGTCCGAATGATAAACATGTACAAAGAAATAGATCAAACACCCTACAAACAAGAGATCGATGCCAAGAACCTGACCCAGTGTTGGAAGGAGTGTATGACCATGTCTTCCTACTCCTCAAGGAAAGCAGCTGCAGAAAATTTCAACTCGGAGAATTATTGGAAGAAGAAAGGGCTGGCCATGGTCCCCCTGAAGTTTCCTGTTGGTGTTGAATCCCTTGCTGCTGGTCAGGTCAGTTTTCCAAACAAATAAACAAAGGAAACCTTCCACTAATTGATTAGCCACATGGCTGTACTACCTGATGGTTAACCTCTGCCAACACTGTGCTCAGTCAAGCCAGTTTTTCCCAGAGGGACAAGTGCTCCTTGGCCCAGGTCCCCAGGTTGGTAAAAAGCATTCTTGCCAGGGTATCAGGAGACCCAGTGTCTTCTCCCTGCCCTAGCATCAAGCAGCCGAATGAACCTGCTCTGGACCCTGGATCACTCAGTTTAAAGTAAGAGTATGGGACCCATGCCTGGCCTATTTCTGGTGGCAAAAACAACACCAAGCCATTTGCTCATCTGTGCACAATTTATTCAGATAAGAGATAGTCAAGTGGCTATTGTGGAGGAATAAAAGCAAAAACAAGGTTATTTAAAAGAAGAAAGAGGAAAAGGGCTCATGAGCAGTGAATTTTAGCCCAAAATTTTGGGTAAAGTGATTAGAAGCAGCTGGTGAAGAAGTCATTCTGAGCTGTGTCTGTCCTTGAGCAGATGGGCCAAGGTCATTGGAGCAAGCAATGGCTATTGTTCAGGGATCTCTGGAATTAGTGTTTTTGTATTCTTCAGTTATACATGCAGAAGTGGGATAATAGAGTGTGTGAATTTCTATTTTTAACTTTTTGAGAAGGCTCCATAATATTTTCCATGGCAACTGCACCAGTTTATATTCCCACCAACAGCACGTGAGGCTTCCCTTCTCACCACATCCTTTGCAACACTTGTTTCTTGTCTTTTGGGTAATAGCCGTTCTCAGGTGCAAGATGGTATCTTATTGCGGTTTCCCTTTGCATTTACCTAATAATAAGAGATGATGATCATCTTGAGATGAGCTCTCGTATCCAAGCACATTTGGCCAGTGAGTGGCAGAACAAGAATTTGACTTCAAGACTGTCTGGCCATGTGATTTTCTCATTCCCTCCTGCCTCCTTGAGCAGAAGCAGACCCTACATCCCAAAGGGTCAAAGATACCTCATTATGTTACATTTAAACATGACTTTTTTTTTTTAATTCTATTTTTTTTTTTTAAGATTTATTTATTTATTTATACAAGCACTGGGTACAGTCAGAAGCATGGGAGGGTGAGAGAATTCACCAGAGCCAGAGCGGGGAGCAGAGCAGGCAGAAGGACGGCAGGAGAGGTCTGCGCGCCATGTGGGACCCTCCTCCGGTGGCCGGGGAGCAGCCGGGGATCGAACCGGCGCCGCAGAGGCTGCGGGCAGCTTCGCAACCCAGCGCTCAACCACTGCGCCACCGGGGAGGCCCAATTATGTTACATTTAATTCCTAGAGCAGGAACTCTGAAGGGCACATCATGTCTAATGAATGTCTGTATTCCAGTGCCTTAGTATAAAATCTGGTGCAGAGTGGGAACTCAGATGTTTGAATGATTGAGACATTTTGGGAATCTGTGGGACTAAAGCTAACTTCTCACCAATACTAGCGATCATTGCTTGAGGATTTAAATTTCACAGACTAAGTCCCCAATTTATATCCAAGAACCATCTGTTCCAATGCTCCAGTTGTGCCAATTTCATAAATGAAGCTTTGTGGAATTATCTTTTGTGCCACTAACAATGAAACATCGGGTGGTGCCACTTAACTGAACCAAATTTGACATTTGAAATGGCCCGAGGAGATTGCAGCAGCACATGGAACAAATTACTCAGCAGTCTCTGATAGAAACGCTGCCCTGGACACGCGGGCAGAGTGCTGCTGACAGTAGGGCCCCACCATGTGGGAAATGTACAGTCCACTCTAATCATAGCTCAATCGCATGTGCCCAGGACAAGCAACTACTGAATTGCTCACAGAGCCATGGAGGCCAAATACAGAGTCTTCAAGATTAAGGAACAGATCAAATGGCTATGCTATCGCAAATTCCTTTATCAAACTTTTATTGAGCACTTAGTACATGTGACACACCATGTTGTATTCCAGGGAGGCCTTAGGTTGTGGTGCTTCCTTCTAAGGGGCTCGCATTCCAGCAGAGTACAATGAAGTTCCATATGATGGAGCCATTGCAGCTGGCATCTCCTGGCATGTGACATGAATTCCCATGGCAGACAGCCTGGGCTCTATGTAGAGGATGCTGCTCCGTGTTCTTATTATTTTGAAAATAAATAGCTGGGAGCACAAGACAGTGTCCAGGAGTGATGTGTCGATAAGCAGTAAAACACATGTGCAGCCTCTTCAAAATTTCATGGCTGTCATGGCTAAGATGCCTTCCTCAAGGTTCTAAGACTCTTTGTTGGACTGTGAATGTGTGTACCTTTATCCTCAGAGAACTGATCCCTCTGTCCGTGTTTCCCCAATTTATCCCTTCACCTGGCAAGTAGAGCCTATTTTCACTGTCAAGTGTCTTGGTTGGAATGATAGAGGTTTCTGCTTGCCATTCCTGGAGTTATGTAAACTTTTGGAGTCCTTAAAGAAGTGGTTCTCCAAGTGGCCTCAGCCCACAGGTAGCTAAGCGGGTCCTTCTGGTGGGCAGAAAATCAAACTAGGACACGTGTTCTTTGGGACCAATGATACTAATATCGTTTTTACATGGAAACTCGAAGTGAAGATGTCATCCTGGTTTTCTGCAGTCTCCTGGGATTGTTCCATTCCCCCTACTTTAGTGTGGAGAGACTTGCAGGAAGACACATTCTTGTTCATTGTAAAACATGTTGAGCTAAGAGCTTGGATGTTTCTGATTACAGCAGCCTTTTACTACTGCTAGTAGTTTGGCTTGTCTGGGCTCCTGTGGGGAGCTGTACAGTTAGAAAAATATACTTCCAAATTCTCTTCCAACTAAAAGTTCTGGGATTCTGTGCCAAGAAATTTTAGAATGGGTTTAGCTCATTTTGCAGCAAAAAATTAATGATTCTCTGCCCTGTCTTCTTTGGATTTTTATTTCTGCTTCTCTATAACACACTATGGGAACATGTGTACACTTAAGCAGTTCTCCCTCTGCCCCAATATATATTCATATTCAATTTGGCATCTTAAATCTGAAACCCCCCCCCAAAAAAAACCAGCCAACAACAACATCAAATCCAGGATGTTATTCCCCTCTGGATAGGGGGTTGAGGAGTTGGGTTGAGGGTACCAGTATGCTGAATTGTCCTGATGAGGACAGAGTAGCTTAGGGAGCACAGGCCTGCCACAGACTGAAAGCACATGGCCTCCTGCAGGGTGGTCACAAGACAGCCCTCGCCCTGGCACTGCCCTTCCTCTGCTCGGTGCTCACAGGACAATGGGGAGCATGTCTGCATATTTCAGCAGGAGATAGAAAGGAGGGGATCGATTCCAGGGAAAATGTTTTCATGGACATGAACTGTGATAATGTTACAATGATCATGGAAACTGCTTTTCATCTTTTTCACATAGGCTTCTGCCCTGGTTCACATTTACCTAGATGGGTCTGTGCTGGTGACTCATGGTGGAATTGAAATGGGACAGGGGGTCCACACGAAAATGATTCAGGTAAGAATGCAAATAATTCAATTAAGTTGGATATGTGCTTGAGGCCATGTGTATGAGAGAGAAACTGTGAATGCACATTTTCTGTTCCAAAATAAAAAGGTCTTTTAGCTTTGGCAGCTAAGCTATTAGCCATGAGCAGAAACTGGGTAAACAAGTCAGTTCTGTAACTGACCCTCCAAAAAGATTGTGGCAGAAGAGCCTTAGGCTGTCTTACTGCTGAAGGTCATTTACTGTATTTCTTTCAAAATAGTAACATGTGAGTAGATTTTTTTAAACCTTTGCTGAGTAATAAAAAGATGCATAAATTCTGATCTATAACATTATTTCTTGCCCTTTTTATAGGGAGGTGTCTTAACAATTGACAATACAAAAATATAAAATATTTCCTAGATCTGACCAAATTTTACCAGTTTTCGTGTAGCACATTTACTTTGGTTATTTTTTATCTACTGTTTCTATTTTTTTCTAATCATAATAGCAATATTTTAGATCATAAAACATTGAAAGAGGTGAAAAAAAAAAAACCCTACACAATTCTACCACTTAACAATAATCATTGTTTGGGGGCCTTTTTGCTTTGGTTTATTTTTCTTTTTTAAAAAACACTGACATGCTCCTCATATAATCTTATATCCTATTTTTATTTTTAACCTAGTCTGATATAAAATGAGTACTCCCTCCTGTCATTAAGAATTCTTTGCTGATTTTTCATGGCTGTGTGTGTGCATAATTGAACCATCTCCAATCTTTGATAAACTTTGAAGAGCAGCAACTTTTGAAAGTTTTGGTAAATATTTCTGTACATAAACTGCAATTAAATGAGTGATTTTTTTTCCTTAAAATGGATTCCCAGAATGGTATCACAGAACTTACCCTAAGTCCCCAGATGCATGTCACCAAATTGTTTTCCAGGTGATCTCCATCTCATTGTACCGTTAACCGGCATTGCATGTTAGGGATTATTACATAATTTTAGATACCTTGATAGGTGAATGACAGTACTTCATTATTGCTTTAATTTTCACTTTCCTAATTGTAGATATGTGGGATAGATATTTTCTTCTATGTTATCAGCTACCCAAGAATTGTCTTGTCAGATTGTCCCCATTTGGGGTGAGACTTCAGTGATTTCCTAACTGGGCCACTAGACACCTTACTTCTAAGCCTGTGCACTATGTGCAGATGGTCTTCTGGAAGCTACACACATCAGAGGGCCCCATGTGCCCCTCATAGCAGTCTCAGGCTGACTATATCGAGCCATCCTGCCAGGGGAAAGAGGAAATTTGTGGATCAGCTGAAGTCAGTATGTTCACCAGCAAAATCTCCCTTTTGTTTCTAAGACAATGCAGCCAACTAAGTCTTCACATTGGTCAGTGATCCCTTGTTGGTGCTGCTGCTTTTCCAAGACAATCGTCCTTTCTTATAAGAAGTGCTCTTTTTCTGGAGCAAATCCACAAATGTAGATGAGGCATATGCAGCTGATCTTATCAGATAAAATCAATGTGTGTGGGCATCCCCTGGTGGCACAGGCGGTTGAGCACAATGCTGTGAAGCTGTCCGCAGCCTCTGCAGCATGGGTTTGATACCAGCCAGCCGGTGAGAAACCCACATGGCGCAGCAGACCTCTCCTGTCTTGCCCGCTGCTCCCCTCAGGAGTGTATTTCAATTAGTCTGCCTATTCTATTCCCCGCTCTGTCTCTGGTGAATCCTCTCACCCTCCCGCACATCAGCCTGTACCCCAGTTCTTGTATGCATGAATAAATAAATCTTAAAAAAAAAAAAGATCAAAGTGTGGTCACAGTGGAGGGTTCAGAGGTGTTGATTTCACAATGGTAAAGATAGAAAGTGTTTCTTCTTACCTTGTCATGGGACCGAGCCTCCTCTTCCTGATGCTGATGTACAAAGAAAAGTCACAGAACACAAAAGTGTGCAGGGCTTGAGGTCCACAACAGTTACAAGGTTTAGAAAAGAGGACATTTTTGTAGCTGAAGAAAGTCTTGGTTCTGCCCACCTGTTTGTTGTATGTATGAGGGCTTCAAGCATGCACTGCCATGTGGGCATGTGCTAGTATGTAACATGTGCAGGGGTCTGTGACTAACCAAGGTATGAGAAAAGAAACTTTCTTCTAAAATCCAGGTGGTCAGTCGCGAACTAAAAATGCCAATGTCCAACATCCATCTGCGTGGAACAAGCACAGAAACAGTCCCCAATGCAAATCCCTCTGGAGGTTCTGTGGTGGCGGATCTCAATGGGATGGCAGTAAAGGTAAAAATCATTGCAATACATCCAAATCATGAACATCGTTAATGCCCAGTCCCTCTCCTTCCCATGCCTTCTCATTGCAAATTATGCTTCCCCGTGTCTCAGACTCAGAGCTACAGCACCCAGTGGCTGGAACACCCCCTCACCCTTGACATCCCTCTGGCCAGCAATGCATGTCAGTGCCACTTGGAAAATGCGTCTGTGTCTTTCTGCTTCCTGGTCAGGTCATTCAAACATGTGCCTCTTGCCTCGGCCACTGCAGGGCCCTGTCTCTACCCCAGTTTCATTGCCTTTCACTCTGCTTGCACATGGCCAGGGCAAGCTTTCCCATAAAGTAAATCTGACCATCCTGTGTTTAAAACAGCACCCAACAGGCTGCCAACATTTTTTGTTCTCTCCTGAGCTCTTAGCACAATCTGCAAAGCCCCCATCCCAGATGGTCCATCTTTGAGACCAGCTCACACTTCACCCACCCCTGGGAAACCTTTCACATCACCTCATGGGTTTGGTCTCTTTTTTCTCATGGGCCTCTTAAATAAAGCTATGTCATGCTAGCTCTTGTGTTGTTTGTATGAAATTATGACTCTAATTTTAATTTTAAAATAATCCCTAGGATGCTTGTCATACTCTTCTAAAACGCCTTGAACCCATCATCAGCAAGAATCCTCAAGGCACTTGGAAGGACTGGGTGAGAATCACTGTTTCTCTATGTTTTGTGTTAGGATAAGAAAAGGAGGGAATTAAATATCCATACAGTGGACAGTGGACACCTTAGAAGTTACTATGGTTACATAGTAATTTAACAGAGGCCCTTTGGCTCTTGGCCTGTGGAAACCCTTTAATAGAGGAGTGGGGGAACTCCTGCATTTGGGAAAATCACCTTATTAGAGAAAAAGGTGGTTTTTCTGCCCAGAACTCTTGGTTGTGAATAATAGTTAATTAACGTTTCTTCTTATGATCTAGGTACTTCCTAGATATTTGCCATAAATTTATTTGTTTTCTTTCTTTGGTTTCTACTGCCCCTGAAATGGGAAGTCAACACTAGATTTCTATAAAAATAAAAATCACATAAGTGATCATTTAGAAATAGGAAACCAAGCCCCTGGATATTTATTCAACCCCTGCGAGGCACTAAATTGTGGAAATATTCAATGACTTCCTTTGATCTAATTGCAATCTCATTAAAAGACACACACTCTAAAGTGAACTAGCAAACTTTTGAAGCAATGGGATACAAAACCCCAGATGGTGCGGAATGGATATCAGCAAAAGCGGGACATGTCCTGCTGACTGTTCCAAGATGCTACAGTCAAAGTGTTGGTCTGGGGGAAATAACATTTAGAAGTCCTACTTAGAAATTGCTCCTGCTACTCCTCAGAGTTAAGATTCATTCTATAATTCTTATTTATGGACGCTCTCAATCCTTTCTGGGCACATTCATTTCTGCCCTATGCTCTGTGCTGCCTGGGTCCAGAGGGCTGGGAGAATCTGATTAGGGAGAGGCGGTGAGTGAGTGCGGGAGAAACGGTCCTTCTCTAGCAGATTGCCACCTCCTTGATTCTCTAATGATTGTACTTCTCCCCTTTTTCTTTCTCAGACTTGGGGACTTAAACCTCACCTCCATTTTGCAGTATATTAACCAACTGTGCATTACAAACTCATGGACCATTAGCAAAGTTATACCCCTCTTCTAAGACTGTTATGGATACATGATATTCAAATTAAACCTCCAGCCACCCATTGTTTCCTGAAATGTGGCATGTTAATGGCTTGTCTTTCCAGATGATGGAGTCAAGTCTTCTTAAGCAGATCATATGCTACCCACTGCAGTCCAGTCTATAAGTTCAGCATAGCCTGGCAGTCATTAATGTGGTCACATGCATTGAATAAATGCTGTTCCCCTAACAGTGCATTATAATTGCTTTGTGGAGCTGGAGAATGCTGAAAGAACTAAATTAATCTGGTCCTTCCTAATTATTACTCCTGATAGATTTATTTAACACATAGTAAATTAAAATTTAATTCTTGAATGATTCTTTCGTTAAATATCCTTACTGTGTCCTGCCATTCTCTTCTTTCACAGGCAGAGGCTGCTTTTAATGAAAGCATAAGTCTAACCGCTACTGGATACTTCAGGTAAATAATCCTTTCAGTCACACACTATGGAAAATAGCAGTGGTATCTAGAGGAAGACTTTTACTTGTGTTTGCAATTTTGGCAAAAATTGATGCTGTCCCTTCTAGTATTAACCACTGTTATTAAAAACACTTAACTGCTAGTTAATCCAAACGTCAAAAAAAATAGTTTTATTGGGAAAAGTAAACAAACACACACACAAAAAATAGCTGAATTGATTATTCAAGTCATAATGGGTCTTATTTAGATCCTGGGTGGGTCTAGTGCTCAAACCCCACAACTGTGGTCAATCCTTTGTTCAAAACTCAGAGTATCCCATAAGTTAAGACACGAAGGTGTGGAAGTGCATGTTAAAGCCATAATAAGAGAAAAACATTTCACACCTGTGTTGGAAAGAAATAAGAAATTCGACAATAGCCATATAGTGCAAGATATGGAACAACTGAACTCATGTACTTTGGAAAACAATCAAATTACTTTAATGGACGTCACCACTGAGCAAGATGGTATAGAGAGACTTACCTGATTTTGTCATTTTGTCAGTTACCTCGGGAGGCCCAGAGCATGGAGTGGCTTTCAGAAATAGGCAGTAGAAAAGTTTTCATGACCACCTCCACTTAATGGCTAGAGAGAAGGCTAGAAAGTCCTATAAGCTACTCTTTTACATGGCCCATGCTTCTCTTTTACATGACACTTATGCCTCTACCAGAATAGCAACAGAGAACAAGGGCCATGGACGCTTCACATAGAAAGCTGAATTCTGGAGCCAGAAAGATAGGTGAACAGACACAGGTGCAACTTCAAAGCAACATTTAGTGTAAATTGCAGGTTGAATTCTCCAAGTCTGGTGACAATAGGATTAGATGATTGAACATTAACTAAAACAATAGGATGGATAACCACACACTCAGCAGCTAACATCCAGGCATAAGGAGACTTTGGTCAGGAGAGATGGGATTTATTATCATACAAAGCAAATTTAATAAGAAATAGGTAAATAGTTATTTATTAACAGGTTTATCACCTGCCTTATGTGCTGGCACATCATTGTGCAAGTGTGCGCCTCTATTTCATTGTACATACAACACTGAGTACAGTTCCTAATGGGTCTGCATAATCATCAGGGTCAGGGATTAGGGGATATGACCACTTAACAACACTCCTCAAAGATTCTTTTTCCTCCAGGGGTTATGAGTCAAGCATGAACTGGGAAACAAGCGAAGGCCATCCTTTCGAATATTTTGTTTATGGAGCTGCCTGTTCCGAGGTTGAAATAGACTGCCTAACAGGTGATCATAAGGTCGGTATCAAAAGGTCTCCCAGTTGCACTGAGATACATCAAATGTTTTCCATCTATCTGAGCACCATAGATATGCCATGTATTGGCCTGAGAGTAATTTCTCTACACTACCAGAAAAAAATAGAAATTCAACAATGGCACTGGTAATATGGTTGCTTCCATGGAAAAAACTGGTAGTCTCGTCTTTATTTTCTTTAGCCTCTTTTAATTAGGAAAGAAACCATTGCAGGGAAGAAACACAGCCTAAAGAAGGTTTCCGTGTAGACGGTAGGCACAGCCAATGTGCCAACCTCTTCTGTGAAATGCCAATGCTAGATAAAAATGTGAAAGCCAGGAGTGGGAACCCTGCTTTAAGGGTTATGTAAGCAGGCTAGCACAACTGAAACCACTCTTTTCAGACTTATCCAAAGACATGACAAACAGCAGGAGTTCCGAAGTTTTGAAAGAAAAACCTTCACTATGCTGTACCTCTCCTCTCCTCCAGTTGAGGCCACTTGTCTCCTGGAAGACCAGCCTGCTAACTGGTGTTAAGCAGTTTTGCATTGCATTGTGTTTTCAAGGAGGCAAGTGCCTGAAGTTTTACTGCAGTAAAGCATTCTTGATCACTATCTAATTGCTTTAAGAAAAATGTCTTGATGGAAGGCCCAGATCAAATAGTCTGAGGTTTGCTTTGTTCCATTAACAGTCATCAGTAGACTGTCATGGCAAAGACCGTCACATCACATAAAGAATGGCCAGGCTCACCGGAGAGCAAAGGTGTCGCTGCTTGGCCAGCTCTGCTCCTCTTCATTTGTAGGTTAGCAGAGAACTTTTGCTCACTGAGTTGTAGTCAGATTTACTCTCTTATCTGCTTTCCTGTAAAAATGAAATAGCTACAATCAAAAAATGAAATGTCAAGAACAGCAAGTGACAGCTGAAAGACTTTTTGTTAATGTGCCCTAAACTCTTTGCTTCAGTAAACATCACCCAGCCAAGTTGGACTCTGGCTGCTGGGTTGTGTGGTAGACACAAAGTGTTGCACAATGAGTGTCATGGAGGTTTTGTGTGTCACATGTTGTGTCTGTCATGGTGGATAACTCAATATGTTACTTCACTCAGCTGGAAGCAAAGACAAGTAAATATTTTTCTCTCTTATTGTTTCCAAGAAAAAAATAGTGCTTAAACTAGTAAAGAGTGCTTGTATAACTTTGGATTACATGTAATAAGTTTGGTGGCATCATAAAAATCTTTGTTGCTTCTTTCTACTAAAATATAAGGTAGCCCAAAGAGAGGTTCTATACACATGCCATCCTGGCAGGAACTGTTTCTCACCTTTCTGTAAGTTGTAATCACTTAAATAAACATTTTTGCTTTATTTTTATTACTAGAACCTCAGAACGGACATTGTCATGGATGTTGGCTACAGTATCAATCCAGCCCTTGACATAGGCCAGGTATGCATAATTGATTTGCCTGACTGCCTGTTTGTAAAAGCCAGAAATATTACAGTAATCTGCAGAGAAAACATTCCATCCTGCTCAGTCAGAATCTTGTTTTTCTACCCTCTTTGTCAGAGTCTTATTCAGGTCACCCACAGAATTCAAATTTCTTATTTCTTTAAAAAGGGAAAGAGACAAAGGTGCTTTAGGTAGTTTTTGAACAAATACAATCTGTGACTGGGGAACTTGAATGAAGCAAGATGAAGCCTTGTCATGGCAAAATAAGCCACAACTCTAGGACTGAAGTAAAATGCAGGCTGAGTGTCAAGCCTTGGGCACTGATGGCTCTAGCTCCAAGGAGTTTGAAGGTTGGATTGGGATAACAAATATCAAGTAACCACAGCAGTAGCTGTCAGTAGGTAACCTGTTTTTCACAGAGATATTTTAATATAAATTTAAAATAATTGACAAGATTGGAAAATCACAAACTATTTTCATAAATATTCAAATGTTTAACATGTATTAAAAAAAAATTTGCCAACTCTGTTGTTTCATTTCCACCAAGGAAAGTCAGTTAGTTGCCTCTTTAGAGAGTCATGCTCACAGGGCCCACCTGGAAGCTTCCTCGCATTCTTTACCTGCCTCACACCCGTGGGCAGTTCAGCTCACTACTTCCAATTGAGAACATAACTTGTGGTATCTCCAGTCATGACGTTGCTTGGAGAACAGAGAGAATACATGAATTGAGAAGTCAAAGGCTTCAGGGAGGAAGTGGGTGTGGAGGAGAGAGTCAGGGAAAGAATAGAAGGAGGCATGCAGGTTGGGTGGAGAGTAGAGAAAATCAGCCTCTAGGAAGACATGAAATTTGCTGGCTACAAGGTGAGGCAATGACACTGGGGAGCACCTGCTTCAGAGGAGCAGGCCCTGAGGCAGGAGGTAACAAATGAAGAGGGCCAGGTTGGCAGAGGACCTGCAAAGACAGAGCTTAGCTTGGCCTTGGGATCTAGTCTGGAGTTACAGGAAGTTTCGTCTAACATGGTGGTAGAGAACAACAGCAAAAGTGAGGATGACCTGCTAAAGATGGAGCTTCCATATGATCCAGCAATTCCACTCCTAGGTATTTACCCAAAGGACACAGACTCATTAATTCAAAAGGGCACCTGCACCCCTATGTTTATAGCAGCACTATTTACAATAGCTAAGCTATGGAAACAACCCAAATGCCCAAAAATAGATGACTGGATATGGTACATATACACAATGGAATATTACTCAGCAATCAAAAAAGATAAACTCATGCAATTTGCAGCAACATGGATGGAGTTGGAAGGGATCATGCTCAGTGAAACAAGACAGAAAGAAAAAGAAAAATACCAGATGGTCTCACTCATAGCAGGAATTTAGAAATAAGGGACCAGGAAAAAGACTAATTATAATAAAGCAAAAATCAAAATCAATAAGCAACTATAAACCAGAGATGCACTACAGGGGAGGTGGGAGTAGGAGGGATTATGGTCAAAATAAGGGGGGCGGGTTTGTATGGGGACTATAACCAAGATGAAAATGCATGCATTGTACAAAAATGAAAAATGATGTAAAAAAATATAAAAAAAAAATATATATATATATATAAAGTGAGGATGGAGAACCTAGCTAGCATCACAAGAAGGAAACACATAAAGAAAGATCCAGGAATCAGAAACATGTGTGGAAAGGTCATTTTGCCCATGTGTTGATAGCTAAGAAATGGAGTATCTTAAGGAGCGAGCCCTCAGTTCAAACCTTCATGTTATAAGTGAGGAAACTGAGTCCAGAAATACAGGGGTACCCCACTCATGAGTGAGAGTGACGAGATGAGATATCAGATGCTCAAGCCTTTGGAGCCGTGTCTGTGGACATAGTCAGAGAGGGCTTCATCTACTTCATAGGTGGAAGCAGTGTGGGCCCTGGGGCTACAGAGGCTCTGAGGCCTCTTCCAGAGCTATAATTTTAACAGCCAAACTACAATCCTTTACTAGCATTAAATAAGAATTTTTAGAAATGCTTTTAGGTGAATTTTTAAGTAAATTTTCAGAAACATGCTCCAAGGCACAATGAAAATCCTCTTAAACTGTATTTCCAAACTTCAGACAAGCTGAAGAATGAACTTGAAATGCTATTGTTGAATGTATTTTCTCATATGTGGAAATTCTTTTTCCCCCTCTCAGATTGAAGGTGCCTTTATTCAAGGCATGGGACTTTACACAATGGAGGAGCTGAATTATTCTCCTCAGGGTGTCCTGTATACTCGTGGTCCAAACCAATATAAAATCCCTGCCATCTGCGACATCCCCACAGAGTTGTATATTTCTTTGCTGCCTCCATCTGAAAACTCAAATACCCTATATTCATCTAAGGTAAGCCGTGTTCTGTGATTGAAAGCATGTCAGTGTGTTATCTGTGTAGTGGGGGGCAACATTCTTCTCTTAGTTATTCAGGGGTTCTAGTAAACATTTTCAGTATTAGGAAATTTAATAACATTAAAATTTTCAAGAAATATATTCCAAATTGGGAGCCTGTCTTCTGTTGCTGTTAGTTTATATCTGACTTTTCATCTGCCATAGTCATCTTCAGGCCTCTGCTATCTCTGCTTTCTCCATGGGGATCCCCTCCTTGAAAGGCTATAATACTAAGAATAGACATACTAAAATATTTACTTTTTTAAATGAAAAAGTTGCGAATAAAATCTTCAACACGTGCACATATGCATGTTGCTACCTGTATATGAGAAGAGAGTCATCAATCTGGTTAATCTGTTTCCGCTCCAGGGTCTGGGAGAGTCTGGTGTCTTCCTGGGGTGTTCGGTGTTTTTTGCCATCCGTGATGCCGTGAATGCAGCACGTCGGGAGAGAGGCCTAACTGGGCCCCTGAAGCTCAACAGTCCACTCACCGCAGAGAAGATTAGAATGGCCTGTGAGGACAAGTTCACAAAAATGGTGTGTTCTGAGCATAAAACTCTCAATTCTTGTCTCCTGTTCTTTTGATGACGTTTCATTAATCCACCACAGGGCTTCTCCCTGGAAGGACAAGTGACAGGAATCCTGAGGGCCCTGGCCAGGAGAGCAAGTGCCCTTGGACTGTGTCCTCTCATCACCTGGCCCTGCCTGCCTATAGAGTCTCAGTTCTATATCACTCCTCAGTTATATCTCTACCCCCTCCCCGCCGCCCTTGTTCTGTTCCCTTCCTGGGATACTTTATTCTGGAATAGAATTGAGGGAGTATGTCCTGAACCTAGGATATCAGGCCAAGAATACAGGCCACTCCCACAGTCTATCTCTCTGTACCCCAGCCAGGCCCCAGCCAGGTTATGCAAGTGCCTGTTTTGAACCATAGCATGGGAAGGGTCCTTCTGGCCCCAACCCATTCAATACCAAGACTTTCTCCTTCAACACCGCTGCTAAGCAAACATCTCAGCTTTCCTAGGTCATTTTCAGTGATGGGGTTTTGAATTGCAGGAGGAAGTTCACAGTGACTCCTCTGACTATACACAAATTATTCCTATACCAAGGGGAGGGCCCCCTCCTGTCCTCTCTCGCCAGCTTGTTGTGTAAACTCCACACATCACTTCACAGAGACTGACTCCACTTTTCTCTTGTCCCTCTCAAGCCTGAGATGATGACTCTTAGAGATGTCTGTCCTGACCCTTTATCCTCTCTGACTTGCTCCCCATTTCTTCTGCTAAAACTCCAGTGCCTTCCCGTGCTGGCCATCCTCTGGGTGGTTTTATCCTATTTTATATTTTGCTATTTTTTTTACCACCTGTCACAAGTATGCTCCATGTTACAAATAACCAAATTTGTATTTTAATTCTAGATTCCAAGAGATGAACCTGGATCCTATGTTCCTTGGAATGTACCCGTATGAATCAAATATAAACTTCTGGAGAAAACAGGGTGATTCTTCCAACACAGAAATGTATCCAATTTCTATAGTCAAAGATGCTAGGAATGAAAGACGGATTTTTACTGCTCAGAAATCATTTCACAAAGCACTGCTTCTATATGACACTGATTTTAAATGTTCCATTTAGATTTTCATAGATGCACATAAGTAGTTTATAAATCATATTTTAAATGGTATAAATACTAACTGGTTTCCTCTAGATTGATATTCTCCATTATTCTATCCCTTATATATATTCAACTGAATGGAATAGATGATTATTTGTATGTGATTCATACATAGCTGGCTTATATCTACCAACAGAAATTATATTGTCTAGTGAAAGGCAATTTCTAAATAATTTTGCTAGTAGTATAAACTGTAAAGTTGTCATTTTCTCATTTGTCTCTAATTTCTACCACCCTCCTTTTCTTGTCAGAGTGGATCCAGGCACTGTATCTAAAGAATCTGTAGGACCACAGTAAAAAATTAATAAATTAGACTTTATCAAAACTAAAAGCACTTGTGATTCAAAAGACACTATAAAAAAACAAAAAGGCAAACCACAGCCTGGGAGAAAATTTTGCAAAGCATGTATCTGATAAAGATTTAGCATGCAGAATGTGTAAAAATCTCTTACAGCTCAACAATAAAAAGATAAATAACCCAGTTTTAAAATGAATGAATGAATTGAACAGACATTTCTCCAAAGAAGGTTACATAAATGGTCAATAAGCACATGAAAAGGTGCTCAACTCATTAGTCATTAAGGAAATGCAAATCAAAACCACCATGAGAGCCATTTCACACACATTGGTGACTGCAATCAGAATGATGAATAGTGAGTATTGGTAAGGAGGTAGTGAAATTGGAACCCTTATCCATCACTGGGGACAATGAAAATACTGCGGATGCAGTGGGGAAAAGTTTGGCAGGTCCTCAAAAAGTCAATGTGGAATTGCCACATGACCACTCCTAGGTTCTCCCAAGAAAACATATCCTTGCGCAAAAACTTGCACACAAACGTTCATAGCATTATTCATAATGGCCAAGAATAACCTCACTCTGGCCAAGAGTGGCCTCAGACTGGTCGTGACTGATAACAAAATACTGTAAACACAATGTGGCTTATTTGCACGAGGGGATTTCATTCAGCCATCCAAAAGAAGGAAGGGCTGATACCTGCCACCACGTGGCCAAAAAAGACATTATCTAAGGGAAGGTAGTCAGACACGAAAGGCCACACATTGCATGATGCCATCTATGCGAAGTGTCCGGAACAGGCAAACTCATAGCGACAGGAAGTTGGTGAAGGGTTGCCAAGGACTGAGGGGAGAAAGGAATGGGGAGGTGACAGCTAGTGGGTATGGAGTTTCTTTTGGGATGACGAAAATATCCTGGAAGTAGATAGTGACGATGGTTGCACAGCCTGTGAATATACTGAACACCAAGGAATTGTAGACTAAGAGAGTGAGTTTTATGGTATATGAATTACATCTCAATTTAAAAAAATGCAGAGAAACGAAAAACATGAGAAAGAATGAGCAGTTGTGAGAATCATAAAAAATTTACTGCCATGATCTTTCCTGACAAATCTCAAAGGGAGCAAAACAGCAAGACTTAATTACTGAAAATATGTATATATACCAAAAAAAAAAAAAATGCTAGGAAAGGCTCTAAGTTCATGCGTTTTACCTTTTTGGTGGGATCCCTGGTTTCATAATAGATGTAATGACTCACTTTAAAAAGAAGAAGAATTCCATTTCCATCAATGGCAGAGACAAGTTCTACACTGAGGTAGAAAGTACCTGAGACTAATATATATCTTCTTCCAGTCACACTTTCACCAAAGACTTTTGTCCCAGGGCCAGGTTAAGAAGGCATTGGTTCTTAATGGCCTCTGACTGATGACTAAGGTATTCTTGTTATTGGTTACATGGGTTTCTCCCATTAAAGAGGAAATTTTCTCACTAATGTCACAAATATTTTAGAGCACCTACTATGTGTTAGGTACTGTTCCAGTCACTTAGGATATAACTGTAAGCAAAATCAATAGAGACCCCTGCCCTCATGCAGATTATATTCTGGTCAGACAGAACACTATAAATAAATAAGTAAATTATGGAGTAGAACTGATGTCAATGAGGGGACAAGTAAGAGCAGAGCAGGTTAAAGTCAATGAAGAGTGAGGAGGGTAGGAACAGGTTGCTCTTGAAATGGGGTAGAGAATGAAGGTGGTGAGGAACAGTCAGCCAAGAAGCGGGCACTTGGGACAAAGTCCCTCTGGCAGGGGGTGTGCTCAGCCTGTTTGTAGCTGGTGAGAGGGCTTGTGTGACTGAAGTAGAGAGGGGGGAGGGGACAAAAATCTAGAGCTTTGAGACTGTTGCAGGGCCTTAGGCTTTTAATCTGAGTGGGTGCGGAGCAAGAAGGAACATGAACTGACACATTTTAAGGCTGATCCTCCTACAGATCATAGGAGGACATCACTTATGTTCCCAACTTAATCTTTCCCAAGTTGTCCCTTTCTTTTGCTTTCTCCCCATCTCTTTGGTGTGTGTGTGCCCTTTTTGCCCTTTGCCTCTTGCTCCTCCAGCCCGTGTTGGAATTCCCAAAGAGGCTGAGGGTCCTTGTTTCACCTTGTCACATGCCTTCTCCCAGGAGGTGCCCCTCACTTCCATGACTGGGGAGTCCTCCTGAATCTCTACAGCTCAGGCCTCTGAGCTATAGGTTTCCAGTTTGGAAAACCTAGCACATGCCTTTGCTTGCCACTGGTATGTCACAAAGTCACCTCAAACATAAGTGGCCCAAACAGATCTGTGAGGATGGCCATCGGGAGTTTCCAAGCCAGAACTGGGGTGGGGGACCCAAGATATTCCGTCCCCTGAGTGCACACACTTCTTCAGGCATGAATTCCTGTCAGTCCCACCTCAGAGAGAGGTCTGAAGGCTGCCTCGCACTCTCTCACTCCCATGGCTACTCAAGCTCCTTGTCCTCCACCCCGGCGGCTGCAGTGTTCTCCTTTAGGACTGCCCTGCTTTCCGGCTTCTCTTCCAAACCATTCTCCACATTGAAGCCAAAGTGACATATAAATTTATGGACACACACACGCACACACACACACACACACAATATGATCATTTGCACCCTTGCCTAACACCCTTGAATGGCTTCCTATTCATCCCCCTGGAAGATTGTTCCAAATCCCTAAGATGGCAAGTGTGTCCTCTGTGATCTGGTCCATGCCTATCTCTCTAGCATGATCGCCCTCTCTTTTACAATCTGTATTTCCCTTCTCTATTTGGGTGTCTTTGTCTTTGTCCTCTACCTGAAGGCCCTGTCACTTCCATCCCTCCTCTTGTCTGTCTGCTACTGAAATTTTAATATGCACATAATAAAGAGCTTGAGCATTTTGTTAAAATGCAATCAAGCAAGCTCAGAGCAACAAGGTAAGATGGAAGAGGAGCACCTAGAGTCAAGCACCAGCAGGCGGAGAAGGAAGAAGCAAGCGCATGAGAGGGTGGCCACAGTCCAGCCATGCACCGCTGCCGCCTCAGCTTCCCTCCCTAGCTCACGCCTGAGTTGCCTGGGCGAGAAGCAGCTCCTGGTGGAGAAGGGAAAACAAGCTCTGTGTGTGCGAGCAGCCAGCTACGCTCAGGGTCTGCGCTACTACTCACTCAGAGGGTGATGGGGACGGTCTCCCAACCGTGCTGCCCTTGGTTGTCCACTTTTTTTTTTTTTAATAGAGGCATGTTTTATTTATTTATTTGTTTGTTTGTTGTTTATACATGCACTGGGTACAGTCAGAGGCGCGGGAGGGTGAGAGAATTCACCAGAGCCAGAGCGGGGAGCAGAGCAGGCAGAAGGACCGAAGTACACTGCTGAGGGGAGCAGCGGGCGGCAGGAGAGGTCTGCGCGCCATGTGAGACCCTCCTCCGGTGGCCAGGGAGCAGCCGGGGATTGAACCGGCGCCGCAGAGGCTGCGGGCAGCTTCGCAACCCAGTGCTCAACCGCTGCACCACCGGGGAGGCCCGGTTGTCCACTTTGAGTGGAAAAGTGACCTGGGGTGAGAAGACAGTGGACTCACAGGTCGTGGTGAATGGTTTGGGCAGCTGGGCAGGATCTGGAAGAGGAAAGATTAGAAGACAAAGCAACAGAAATGAGTATCCAGGAGAGGCACAATATGTGATTTTCCTGTCAAATGTTAAAGATGCAAACTGTTCTTGACATAAATTTAAATGTTACAATGTGGAAAATTTTACCTTTCTTCTAGTCACAAAGAAAACAAATTCATCCACCTCCTTAAAATGAGTCTTTTTGCCTAATTAATTGACTGAAAGTTGTGAAGTTGTAGGCAAAGTAGCCTCTGTGTGTTCCCTGAGAGACTGACCTGAGATCTACCCCTGGGGGGTGGACAGCTGGACACGGGGCAGCCCCCAGGGGCGAATTTGATCTGTTCTCTGAGTTATTCCTCTAATCAAATCCTGTCTCTCTAATTTCCCTGCCTCCCTCTTCTATCCACACTTTCTTCCTCCCTTAAGTCAGGTTGGAGATGAATTTCCATCTAGTTCTCACATAGATCACACTCTTCCCTGCCCTGGGGTGACCAGATTTTCTAAGATAATGGCGAGAAACAAACTGATAGAAAGGAGATACTAGGCTCAAGCGGCCAGTGTGTGAGCTGGTGATTAGCTGGTAACTAGACAGTCTGTATCTGCAGTTGTCTGGGGAGCGGGGAGGAAATAAAGAGGTGGGGGAGGGAGAAAGTACGAGATAATAAGATTCCTAGATGAAAAGCACTTGATTATATTGATGTCTTCAGACCACATTTCGTAATTGCATTTGTGCACTTCTAAGTATTTGGTATCGACTTCTCTTTATTACAACCTTCTGCTTCCCTCTTCCTCCCCACCACTTCCTCTGCTGCCTCCTTCAACCACCATCACCAACACAAACACACACACACACATTTGGAGTCTAAAATCTTCAAGTCTAAAATCCGTTGCCGATATTTTTAAAACTTTCAACCAGCAAGAACAGACATCATAGCAGAAAGCTAGGGACACATTTCCCCAGTCCGTTTACATTTTAACACTTTACTCCTTTAAACAAGGATGCTCAGATCACTAAAGAAAGTGGGCCAAATAATTTTCCAGCCCCACTTTTGAGCTCTTGAGCTTTAGCTGGGATATAATTCATGAAAGGAATGTGCTCTTTGATTTTCACTGTCCTGTGGTGCCTGCCGGGCGGCTTGGTATCATAGCTCTCAGCGCCACGGGCAAAGGCAAGGCAGTCAAGGTTGAGCTGAGGGGTGTAGCCCAGTGTGGCTAATCACACTCTACCCGGGCTGTGCAAGGATACGACGCCAGGTACCCACGGTCAGACAGGCAGAAGAGGGGTCTTGCTCCCCATCTGTCTGGTCCCAGAGCCCCCTGCTCTTTCCCCACGCGGGTTCCCTCTCCTAGGAGGTGGCAAGCAGCCTTCACTAACACAGTGGGTTGTGTGCATGTTTTCCTGCGGCTGCTGAAATAATACTATTTGTCTACAATTGCCAAGGTCTTGTTAACTTTTCAAATATGAGTGAAGAACAGGTATATGTTTTGCACATAGTGATGAGAATAAAAAGCCTTTTATTCAAGAAATTTAAATGTTTATAGCTATTTAACCTGTCCTAACCTCTTATATTTTTCTG